AGTTTGATTGGTATTGTAGCAAAAATGACACCGTCAACAAGTGCTTGTTACCGTTGTATTATTCCCACATCACGCGTAAAGCAACTTGGCTTGAAGGATTTTTCACCTAACAGTGCAATTGAATTTTGGGGTGGTTTCGATATTAATAAGATTGTTTTGGCTCCCTGTTGTGCAGGTGAAATTGTATCATTTTATTGCTTTTATCCAGCTTCTTATAATCATCAAAGTGAAGAGGGTTGGAATTTCAGTGCCACACCATCGATGCTAATTGAGCGTTTTCCTGATCTTGATCCAGATTTATTAGCAATTTTTAAGCATTGTGAAGATATTAAGTTGTGGAAGTTGGTTGTTCATGAACCCTATCCATATTGGGTAAAGGGTTGTGTAGCATTGCTTGGGGATGCTGCACATCCAATGCTACCTGATCAAAGTCAAGGAGCATGTATGGCGATTGAAGATGCGGCTGCACTGGGTATTATATTCTCACCTAAATATTGGGGTAATAAAATACATACAGTCGAGCATGCCTTAAAGATGTATGAAATGTTAAGAAAAACGAGAGCAACACGAGTTCAAGAGGCCAGTGCACGTGCACGAGAGAATCTCAATGAAAGAATTGGCTGGAGTTCACAAAGAAATCCTGGCAATCAACAGAATGCGACAACAAAATTAACTATTGATGAAATCAACGCTTATGACATGGAAAAACATCTAGTCGATCTTCTTAACTAGGGTGTGACTGTAAGTGTGGTAGACCGAAGATCTCATCTATACTCACAGTCACATTCAAATCCTTCACTTGTAAAAATAAAATAATATCGAATCTGTAATCTGTTTTTTTTTAATATGATATTTTTTTGTTAAACAAATATACGAATCACGAAATCGACATTAAACTTTTCAATTTTTATTGACGCACTTTATAAGAAAAGCATATTTCTAGAAAGATCGATGCTATTCAGTGGTTCTATATTTACATCATCTATATAGCCCTACGATATGAGTTAAATTAAATGATAATTATATTTATGTCGACATAGATATTAATTTAATCGACATTAGTTTAAATTAAAATTTAATCAAGTTGTGTCTATCTTTGATAGTCCGTGACTAATTATATTTTTAAAATCTTAAGCCCAGAAATCGTTTTTGTCAGCACGAAGATCATCCCACATATGTTCTACTCCCATATCTTCAAGTCCTTCGTCATCTTCTATTTCAATACTAGCCGGAGATGATCCATCTTGAGTCTGTTTGCAATATACATCACGCTTGAGTCCAAGCGTAAGATGAATTCCAGCTGCATTATTTTCATATTTTGCTTCAGGAGTTTCACCTTGTAAAAGAGAAATAATATTTTTTTGAGCAACTTCTACTTGACCGAGTGCAGGTCTAACTGATTTAATTTGTAGTAAATCATTTACATCGCCGACTGCGAAAATTCGAGGATGCTTTTCAAGTTGTAAAGTAGGTAGTACATGAATAGTTCCATCAGCATTGATACTTTCTTTTGCTAGTTCGCGAATAGGTTCTGAATTAATTATTTGTCCTGTGCATTTTAAATAGAAATCGACAGATATTGTCTTGCCAGATTCAAGTTCTATTGTGCAAGGTCCATCTGTATTGGGAAGTTTTGCTCTCGATCTCAGATGCACATTAATACCAAGATCTTTACATGACTGAACAACGACGTCGCCAAGACTTGGATCAAATCTCGACATTAATCGATCTCGTGAATGTATAACATGTACTTCTTTATCAGGATAATAACTTTTTATATCTGTAGAGATTTGCACACCGAGAGCACCTCCACCGATTAATGCGATACTTTTGGCAGTTCGTATCCGCTCTTGCAAATTTTTTAAATATTGCATTGAATCAAGTTTTGTGTTTGTTGGCATATTTCCAGGTGGTGATAATCTCGAACCAGTTGCCATGACTAATATGTGCCAAGGCAATTTACGTCCAAACGGTGTGTCCCTATCAACGATTACTTCACTTTGATTTATAGTTTCTACTGAAGCACAAATAATTTCAGCATTGCACTGTGCTTCACTAAATATTTTGTTCATAGGAATAAATGCTTTATGTTCATGCGACGGCACAACAACAAATCTTGGAAAAGTAAATAAATGTGAAAAATGTGAATTGGGTTCGATCAATAAAACACGATGATTTTCAGCCAAATTTAGAGGCATTGATTTTGCTACAGCTCTAGCAACCTTGGAGCCAAGATAGGACGCACCTACGATAATGATATTCAATTTTTCAGCCATTGTGCACACTGTTTGATTCATTTTCAATCACGTCTAGATTCTTTGTAGTTCTACAGAAATTTCAAGAAAATATATCAGTAGTATGTACGTGAGGCTGTTACTAAAAACTGTAGTTGTACCTTATTGAAATTGTGAGAAGTAAAAAATAAAAGTACATGTACTCCATTTAGATTGTGAGTAACACAAAATAAAAGTACATGTACATGCTGACGCATATTCATTTGATAAATATCGCTTGATTGATCACGCAATTCTTTTATTTATTTTGTTTTGGAAAGAAAATAGAATTCAAAATCTAATATGCACTTGATCTAGGATACTGCTATTGTAAATAAAACTTCTAAAATCTAAATAGATTATAAATTCATCAAGATTAAATTTGTTTTGAAACAATATTCATTTAGATTAAGTAATTACATCTCCAATCAAAGTGTATAAGGGAAACCTCTTTGGTGTATAAAAAGGTGTATAGTATAAAAAAATCAATGCGTGTATCAGGTGTCGCCATTGTATGTACACATTAAATAATAGAACTGAATATAACATAGGGTATTAAATCCACCAACAAATAATATTTTATGATGTTCATCAACAAGTGCATGTAATTCAAATATAACAGCGTATAGTATATCAACATTTAATAATTATCGGAATTTAAATGTTATTGGAATAGTACAAGATGAACATCATATTTATGGATTCTATGATTCAAATGGAACGGAAGTAAATGGAATTTTTAATCTTTTTTTTTGAAAGATAATTCGATTTTTTTATTTTAGACAACAAAATGTTTTGATATATGTAATGGAATGTTTTTATGATTTAATTGGTAATTATACTCATTTTACAACACGAACATATTCGTACATAAAAGAATATTTTGGTCCAAGTAATTTTTCAAATGTTGTTCTACGTTATACAACAAATCCATAATCAGGATATACAAAACTATCATCAATGAATTTAACAGTAACAACATCAAGTATTGCAATGATAAAAGGATCATTATTCAACTCGTTTATTTACATTAGTTCAATAATTTTTATGGATTATTAACAATAAACTTTTCCTTACCTTAACGCGACAAATAATATATAGAAAAATTCCACAGTTTTTACTTATTTTATGTGAAAGGACTTCATTGAAAGAAAAAAATAAATTTTAATTCTATGAATTATTACTTCACTGATATTGAATGCATAATAACGAAGTAATGAGATAAGATTTTTCCATAAAGATGAAAAATATCTTGTCTTATCTAACTGGAATTATTCTAGTAAAATATAATTGAAGAAACACTTCGATTATTTCAAGCATTTACAAAATCAAATTGGATTCAACTAAACATAACTACAGTTTTATCAAGCGACAAATTTTATTTTCACACTACTCATCATTACAACAAAGTAATATCATTAAAAATGATAAAACATAGTCATTGACTCATTCATTCGTAGCGATACACCATACTTTTCTTTTTCGTTCTTCACGTTCACATAAGATTGATCATTAACGAAGATATGTATATTGTAAAAAGAAATAACTGTTCGATTTAAACAAAATTATATCTTTTTAGAATAATAAAACAATTCATTTTGATAATAATATTTATGTCTACTCAGTATATTTAAAAATATTTTTTATCATAATATTATCTAGTATATTAACTGTCCTATTGGCGATTTTCTACCTGACTGATTCTTTTTTATTTTTCATCAAGGCTAGCCAATGATGACATGATTACTCAACGTTTGTGTATATATTTTATTTTACCATGTTTTTTATATTTGTATCTGATCATTTTACGCTTTTTTTTGTAAACAAATTTTGTTTTGTATTAAATTATATCATTCTCGAATAGAAATTATCAAATATAAAGTTATATTTCAGATTGGAAAATGCTTGTAAATAATGGTGAAGTTGGTTATCGTGAAACAGATCCATTACAAATAGATATAATTTATAGAAAAATACCAGGTATTTATGGAAAAATATGGTTTAGAAAGGAAAATTATGTTGTATATTTAGGTACAGCTGATGATTTTTCGGTTGAATCAGAATTACAACGACATGTGAAAAATGTAAGTTTATAGAACCTTTCGAAAAAATGAATAATTTCTTTTGTTTTTAGGCTATTAAAACATTAAAACTTAAGTTTACAGATAATTCTGAGTAAGTCTTTGATTTCTTAATTTATAAAGAAAATATTTTTGAATATATTTAGCGAATTAGCTCATTATGGATTTTTGGAACTTAAAAATCGAAAAGATAATATTCAAAATATAGATGATGTTGATGAAAATGATCGTTTTCCATTTGTAAATTATAAAATATTCAAATTTTAAAATATAATTTAATATATGTATAGTTTATTCATCTTGCTACAAATACAAAATCATTATCAATATCAAGATATATTGAAGTATATCAACTTCCAGCTCCGGATTTTATTCTATCAATTCAAACAAGTCCTATTTATGATAATAACGATTCACATAAACAAAAATCAGGTATTCAAACAGAAACAGAACGTGCTGTTCAAAATGGTCTTACTGCTATGGCAAAAATAACACGTAAATAATTTTTGTCGTTTTTCTTTTAATATTTCTATAATGAAATATTTAGGTCCATGGGTAACAACGAGTTGTATTAATGATGATATGATGAAATTACTTGGAGATGCTTTACATAGAGATGTATGTGGAAGGGACATACCTTGTTTAGGAATTTGTAATTGGAATTATGCATCAGGTATTTTAATTTTAAATTCGATTATTTTCATATATAAAATTGTTTTTAATTAATTAGGTGATGAATTATTAGTTAAAAATTTTAGTAAAGCTTCAATTAATGATGAAATTAGATCTATGGTAATGAAATTTTTCATTATTGTTTATATATATTAAATTAATTTATTTATTTTTAGATGGGGGATGATTATTCTACTGTTCATACATATGTTATGATGCCAAATTTAGATTGTAATAATATCGTATCTCATCGAAGACTTCAACCAAATCATACGCATTTTATTTTACTTAATGATGAATCAAAAGATATGAAAAATATGTTATCAAAAAGACAAGAGATTGAACATGAACTTAGTATTAATAGAATATTAAAGTCTCCAATAGCTAATTATCCACCGAAAAATATTGGTAATACCATTTTTTCTAATAAGATTAAATGATTTGTATATATTTCTAGTATCTGATCACGATATTCCTATTATTATGTTATTAATTGCCGGTGATTTTTCAACATTAGCGACGATATGCAATGGTTTAGCAGCAGCAACACCAATCGTCGTTATTCGAGTATGTTATTTCATTTATTCTTTTAAATTAGCTTTTGGCTTCAAAGTATAAGCTGAAAGAATTAATATATTTCTTTCAAAAAAATATCAGCAGATTCAAAGGATGAGCGTTATTTGTGCAGTAAAACCCCCCTAATGTGAACACCATCGGGACCGAAAAAAAAGTGTTCATTATACGGAGATGTTCACTATAGAGAGCTAATATATAACATAGTCTGAAATAGAAGAAATCTTAGACTATTTTCTTATGCCTTTATAGAAGAGAAATACTCGAGTATCTATTATATTGTCCATTTATTATTAGTTAAACGGCTTTAATAAAAGTTTGTTTCAAACTATAATACAAAAACAAGGAGTAGCTGTCTAATTCGCGTTCGAATATAAACGGATATTAAAAAAAATAAAAACTAGTACTTATTTCTAGGAATAGATTTAGTTTTAGAATAATTTTCAGATAAATCCCCTCACCCACTTTGTCATCTTCTTTCACTCATCCCTTGGTCGTATATATGAATCATATACATCTTAGAGTAAAACTAAAACAAAATCTATTCCTAAATATCATCATTTATTTTCGAATTAGTAGTGTGCTGTTGGATATCTATTTATATTCGAATTTGAATTAGGTAGCTCATCAAAACATACGACAGAAAGTAGAAAGAGGTCAAAGAAACATCATATATATGTTCATACTGGAGAGGTGACAATACCAGACGGGACCGAAAAAAAGTATTCACTGTTCAGAATAAAGAGATGTTCAACATGAGAGGTTTTCCTGTAATTAGAAGTGAACATTTTCCATTGATGATTAAAATCTCGATATTGACGAAGTCTTAAATATAATTGTAACACTATTTGATTGAAATTGATTTTCGTATTTAAGCATCTATTATGCAACTAAGATTCACAATACTTTTCTCTTTAGAATACGGGTGGTATTGCTGATATTATTGCTCAACTTTGTCGAAAATTATCTCCAACAGATGAATTAGGAAAATTTCGAAAACGAACATATGTTGAAGAATGTAAAAATCAATTGAAAGCACTTTGTCTTGATAAAGATGATATTATTGATCCTGATGAAGAAATTGAAAAATATATGAATATTTTTAATGAAATGGAAGAACTTGTTATTATATTTGATGCTATTGATCATACAAATCTTGAAGATGCTATTGCTGATGCTATGCTTAGAGGTATTAAATATCGTGCAGAAAATTGGGAACATTTTTTTTCTTTGGATGTTCGAGATACAAGTCTTATTTGGTGTATGGTAAGATTTTATTTATATTCTAAATAAAAAATTTTAATAAAAAACATTCAGATTTGGAATAAAAGTGATTATGCAAAACAATTACTTGTTGATCGTAATGACGATAATACGACATCAACTGGTAATCATAAACAAAAGAAAAATCATGTAAAATTTCTTTCGGAAAACTATTTTTTTTTTATTAAATATTTTCTTTAGATGATGATTCCATTCATGCAACAGTTATTATTCGAAGCTTTATGTCGAAATAATGTTTCTTTTGTTAGTTTATTGATGGAATATGGTGCATCAATTGAAGAATTGACTGAAGAACAATTGATTATTATTTGTGTGAAAACACTAGTAAAAGAATTTCTAAATGAGAGAATTAATTTTATATAAAATCTTGTTTTTTTTCATTTCAGAATGATGATGCATTAATATTAAATAATTCTGAAATACATTTAAGTTTATTTAGATATGAAAATAAAATTCGTGGACTTAAAACATTCGTTGAAAAAAAATATAATGATTATCTTCTACAATATTTAGAACATTATGTAGTAAGAGATCGAATGAAAGAATACTTACTGCATGAACACAGAACAAATCGAAATTTTCTTTCAATATCAAAAAATTTTGATGGACGTAAAACTGAAGCACTTTATCTTTGGTTTGTATTTATGAATCAACCAGCATTGGCGAAATATCTTTGTTCAAGAAGTCGAGTAAGTTAAATATGAAACTAAATTTCTCATTGAATTGAGATTTTTGTTCAATAATTAGAATCAACTTGTTGCCAGTCTTCTTGCAGTTGAGATTTATACATCAGCAAGAAAAGGTGTAAGAAAAAATAAACAAATTTTAGCAAATATAGCTCAGTAAATCGATTAAATATTTCTATATTTATATATGAATTTATTTATATATAGAGAATTTGATCAACATTCAAGAAATATTATTGATAAATGTTTAGTAACAGATAGTGATTTTGCACTCAAATTACTTGAATGTAAAGCATCAGCATTTTATAGTTGTGTGCCATTGGATATTGTACAACGGACAAATTGTCAAATATTTCTTGCTAGTGATACAATTCAAATGCATCTTTTGAATATGTGGTATCATCGTTTTAATCATCGACAACGTTTATTGAATATTCCTGCTGCTGTTTGGGTTTGTGAAAAGATTTTTATCAAAATATTGAGTATTTGCAAAGACTGACGGTGCAATCACCATAATTCATCCCTACACCTCACCATAGATACCATAATTTTGATAACTAACCTCTCTTTACCTCATCACCCTTGGTCACACCCACACCCACACCCTAATAACAGAGTATCAGTGGAGTACTGAAGTATCACTTTTTTCCCCTAGAGATTCACACATTCATCCACATTTATGGCGATCTCACTGCCAGTCTTTGCAACTAATTGAAATATTTCAAATATTTATTCTATATAGATTATAACTACAACTGTACTTTTTCCTGTTTTACCAATTGTACCAATATTATTTCCTTCATTATTTAAAAACACTTCCAGCAAATCAGAATCTGTAAGAATAAATAAATTTTTTACAACTGAATTTTTATGTTTTGTTTTCTAAAGATATCGAATTCACCCAATCCATATCATGCTGTTGTAGCTTATAAACCACCATCACCAAAAGAATCTGTACCAAATCGTTGTAGTATAGGGAATGTTTTTAAAAGAATTAAATGGTATTACGAAGCACCAATGATACGATTTTATAGCAATTTAGTAAATATTTATAAATATTTAATTAAATATTCAGATTTTAATTTGTAATTTAGATGTTCTTTATCGTATTTCTACTCTTATTCAGTTATGTTCTTTTGGTTAGCTATTTTCCAATAAATGCTTACATTGAACATCGATCGAAATATGAAATATTTTCACTTCCATTAGCAGAATTTCTATTACATGTTTGTATGTGGAGTTTAATTATCGATGAATTATATCAAGTTAGATTTTTCTTCAACGGAAATCGATTATTTCACATATTCTTGTTTTATATTATTTAGTTTGCATCACAAATTACAATGCATTATAGTTATAGTACGAATTCTTGGAATTGGATGGATCAAGCAGGTATTCTTATTTATTTGATGGCATTCTTTTCTCGTTGGTCTCATCAACAAACATGGTTCATTTGGTCAAAGTAAGTTATAAATTTTATTTATAGTAGGACGTAATTGATATTATCATTATTTAGAATATTCATGTCGGTCACTTGTGTTATTTGGTATATTCGAATACTTTTTTTCTTTGCTGCATCGCAACGATTGGGTCCAAAATTAACAATGATTTATGAAATGGTAAGTTTGTATGAAAATAATATGTAATTTATCTGAAAATTTTTGATTACAGACAAAAGATGCTATGATGATCTTCGTATGTTTCATTCTCGTTATTCTATTCGGTTTTTCGGTTTCTTCTTGGGCTTTATTAACAACTAAATCACAAATAATATGGCCAAATCAAAGTAATGATTCATTATGGACTATTCCAATAGTAACTGCAGATAGTTATGAATTATGGAATTGGGATTTATTACGAGATGTATTCAATTGGGGTATTTGGAAAGTATTTGGACAAGTAGCTGAACCATACAACGATGCTGTTAGTGGTAAGAATAAAATTATTATTTCATAATGATTTTAACGATAATTATTATAGAAAATGATAATAATGGTGCATTTGTATTCTTATTTTCAATTGCTTTTACAGTTATATCGAATGTACTTCTTCTTAATGTTCTCATTGCAATGTTTAAGTATATATTGATTAAGAATAATTGTCTTTTTTTTATTTTTGTATTTTATTAAGTGAGAAAATTACACGTGTTCAAGAAACATCAAAAGAATTATGGCGAAATCAACGATTTTGGCTTATTTATGAAATGAAAGATAAAACAATTTTACCTCCACCATTTAATATTCTATGTTATATTGGTCAATTCTTAGTATATATTTGTCATAGGTGTAAAAAACTATTTACATTACGTCGAGATCGTGATACAGATGGTAAAATACATATGTTGTTATCATTTTTGATAATCATTTCTCATATTTAGATGAATCTAAACTATCACTCGTTGTTATTTCCGATACAAATCCAGATCGTAATATAATATTTAACTAAATAATTTTAATGAGAATTTTTTTATTTGTATAGAAGGAACATCTCATTTAAGTTTTCCAAGACATACTAATAGTCTTTTAAATTTAATTGATAATCAGGTAACTAGTCGTGAGAAAGCTATTGCTGAATCATATTGGCAAGAAGTATTTCAAAAAGAAAAACAGGAAGCATCGTATGTTGTTTAAACATTGTAGAATAATAGAACACATATTCGTTTCTTTTTCGTCGTAGATCCAACAAATTATATGAAGATACAGAGAAACTAACGCAAAACTATGATCAACAGCAACCGCTTCATGAAATATTACATGTATTAAGTTTATTCATCAATACATAATAATATCTTTCTTGTTGAATAGACGCAAAAAATACTCGAACTATCAAAGAATAAAATTAGTGATAAAGGTGCTCAACAACTCGCGGATGTTATACCAAAAAATACGGTAAATCTCTTTTATCTATCTCATTCATATAAAGATTACTTTCTTTACTTCAGACATTGATCAAAATTAACTTATCTAAAAATCGTATTACAAAGCTAGGTGCTCAATATTTATCTGATGCTTTATTAAACAATAGAGTAATTTATCTTTTCATTTCATTTGCATTGTATATAAATGCGTAATGTTTCATACATAGACCATAACCGAACTTGATCTATCATCAAATCATATTGATGCACTAGGTGCTCAATATATATCGAAAGTTTGTCGAAATAATAAAGTAAATATAAAATTTATTTTATAACGATCGTCATAGTTTTTTCTCTATTTAGGCACTGAATAATATAAATCTTGCAAGTAATCAGATTGGAGATAATGGTGCACAACATCTTGCATATGTTATACCACAAAATACAGTAAAAATTTTCTGTTTTTCTCATGATTTATATATTGATTTTCGTTTTAGACATTGAAAATACTTAATTTGGAAAATAACCAAATAGGAAACTATGGAGCTGAATGTTTGGCTAATGCTTTACAAGATGACATGGTGAACTTATTAATCTTTTCTTTTTCTATTCATTCTATAAATTTAATTCTCTCATAGACACTTATTCATCTAGATCTTGGTGCTAATCATATCGGAGCACAAGGACTTCGTCATTTAGCTTTAGCATTAGCTAATAATACTGTAAAACTTCTTTTTTCATATTTTCTATTGCAATATTCACTTTCTTTGAAGACACTTAACGTACTCAATCTTACATCAAATAAAATCGAAAATCACGGAGTTCAATATTTAGCTAGTATTCTATCAAATAATACCGTTAGTTTCTTCGTACGAACATTTATGTAGATAACATCTTCTTCTTTTCTTCATAGACATTGACTACTCTTAATCTTGGATCGAATAGAATTGGACCTCAAGGAATACAATACTTAGCTGATGCATTAGGAAAGGGCGCGGTAAATCTCTTTCTATTTGGTAACTATTTTATTGAGACTTTCATATTTATATATAAAGGTTCTGAGTACACTTACAATTTCTAATAATCAAATCGGACACGATGGAATTGTACATCTAGCTAATGTTTTAAAAAATAATCAAGTAATTATGAATTTTCTTTTAATTTCATAACGATGTAAATCAATACTTTCTCACAGACAATCACTACACTCGACGTTGGCAGTAATGGAATTGGTGATGAGGGAATACAATATTTGATCGATTCTTTAAACAAGAATACTGTAAAATATAGTTATCTCAATTATTCTTTTATAACTACATTTGTATAGACACTTACTAAACTCAATATTTCATCCAATCAAATTAGTACTACTACAGCCAAAAACCTTGCTCAAACTATCGGTTATAATACAGTAAATATTATTTGTTATCTCTATCTTTTATTGTATATTTCTCTTCGTAATACAGACACTTACTCAACTCGATCTTAGCTATAATCAATTAGGACCTGATGGTATCCAATATTTGGCACCTATTCTACGACTTAATACAGTAAATTGATTTTCATTCTATCTTTTATCTTTTATCGATTCATATATTTTCATATAGACATTAACTTCACTCTCTCTATCAAGCAATCGAATTGGAAATACTGGAGCACAATATCTTGCATATGCTTTGCAATCAAATAACGTATTTTATAATCATTGTTGATCTATATCATTAATATTCGTATTGTTCTCAATATAGTCAATCACTACACTTGATCTATCAAGAAATCAAATTGGCAATACTGGTATAAGTTATCTATCTGTAGCTTTATATAATAACACAGTAAGAATTATGATTTTTCTATAAGATATATAATCTCTTCATTTTTGTGTACAGACACTTCATACACTCGATCTTTCAAATAATCAGATTGGAGATGCAGGAGTGAAAAGTTTAACTGAAGCTTTTGGAACTAATTCGGTGATTTTACAGAGTTGCCTTTCTTCTATTTTTAATAAAAATTTGTCGTTTTAATTTGTAGGCATTAAATAACATCAATCTTCGATTCAACAAAATTCGTGATGGTGGAGCTCATTCTTTAGCTGTTGCTTTAGTATATAATATGAATGTGGCTGTTAAACAACTCGAACTTGGACATAATCAAATTTCAGATCAAGGTGCACATAAACTTGCCGATTTTTTACAATATAATGCGGTAAAAATAGTTTTTCGTATCATAATATTTTTCGTTATGTTTAACCTGTCAAACAGACACTCGTCAAATTAGAAATGACAGGTAATCCAATAACAATTGATGCTGCAAGATATTTGTCTCAAACTTTACGAAATAAATTGGTAAATATTAATTTTTATTTGTAAATTATTTTCTTGACATTTTCGACTTTATAAAGAGTTTAACTACACACAATCTTGCAGTTAATGAAATCGGTGGTGAATGGATTCAATATCTTAGTGATACACTACAAAATGATAAAGTAAAAATCTTTTTTCATTTGTAGTTAATGATTTGTTCATTCTCATTATCTTTTAGACATCTGTCACACTCGATCTCGAAAATAAAGAAATAGGTTATAAAGATATTCGATTATTATCTGTTGCCTTACGAAATAATACAGTAAATTTTAATAAATTATTTCAATATTTATTTGAAATTATCTTTATTTTATTAAAAAGACAGTTACTGCAATTAATCTTAATGGTAATCATCTTGATGTTATGGGAATAGAATACCTTTCTAAAACTTTACGTGACAAACCGGTAACTTATAATTTTCCAATTTACTTTTCTCTAATTCTTTCTTTTTATACGACGACAGATGTTAACTAAACTTGAACTTGATAGCAATGAAATTCGAACCGAAGGAATGTTATCCTTAACTGATATCTTTGATAGTAATACAGTGAGTAAATTTCAAATTTTCTCTGTTTTGATCTTTAATCTTATGTTTATAGTTACTTGTTGAACTTAATTTGAATAATAACGATATTGGAGATCAAGGACTTCAACATTTAGCTCAAGCACTTCGAGACAGTAAGGTATATTATCTCATGTGTTCAGAATGTGTATAGGATCGATGATTTGATTATTTTTTAATTAATATATCAAATAGACACTGAAAATATTGAGACTTACTTATAACAAAATTGAAGAACGTGGAATACAATATTTGGCAAATGCTTTTCAAAATGTTACTGTAAGTGTATCCTGATAATTCTTTACATATATTCAATTCATGAGAATATCTTCTAGACTTTGACAACATTAGATCTTGGATTTAATAAACTTGGTGATTCAGGACTTGGATATTTGATAGATGTTCTTCAAAGAAATACAGTAATTAACAATATCTCTTTACATTTCTATTATACATTTATTTCTATAGAATTTAACCACATTGCATCTAAGCAGAGTCAATTGTAGATTTAAAGGAGTTCAACATATCGCGGATTATCTTCGAAATAATACGGTAAGTTTTAATGTCCTTTTTCTTGTCATTTTTATCTGAATTATTTCTTATAGACACTCACTGAACTTGATTTTTCAAGAAATAGAATTGGTATCGATGGTAACGAACCTATTGAATATTTGACTGATGCTTTGTGTACGAATAGGGTAAATTCGATTGTATTTTACTCGTATCTTATTATCATTATTGGATTATCATTTAGACACTCACAACATTGAAACTGGCTACCAATAAGTTTGGTTCTGACGGAACTGAATATTTCGCGAAGATGCTCGAAAATAATATTGTGAATTTTAATCTTTTCTATCTTGATGATATAACTTGATTGTCTCATATAGACACTCACAGAACTTGATCTTTCTTACAATTGGGTTGGTGATAATGGACTTGAACGTTTAGCTTCATTTTTGAAAAATAATCAAGTAAATTCTAATCTTTTCTTTTATAATGATTCGTTTTAGTATCATTATCATTATTATTGTTTATAGACACTCACTAATCTTGCTCTTATTCAAAATGAAATTGAAGATCTAGGTATTTCACATTTGGCAGCTGCTCTTGAAGATAATCATGTAAATATTCATTATCCCTCGAATTTATTTCATATTCATCTTTATTTTCTTCCATACAGGCACTTACTACACTTCTTCTTAATAGCAATTACATTGGTAACAGTGGATGTGAATATCTAGCTAACGCCTTGAAGAATAACAATGTAAATATTCTTTTTCTATGTCTTTATTCTAATATCAATATTTCTTTAATCATAAGACTCTCACTAATCTGGGTCTTTATGGTAATTTTATTGAAGATGAAGGAGCACAATATTTGGCTGATGCATTTCGAGAAAACACAGTAAAACTTATTTTCTCTTTATTAATTTATCGTTGACTATTTTCTTTTTCAGACACTGATTACTCTCAATCTCAAAAAAAATAGTATCGAACCGGAGAAAATGCAATATTTAACAGAAACTTTCCAGAATAACATGGTAAACTTTATCATTATCTTTTTGTACTCCATTTTACTATATATTCATATAGAGAGTTACACCAATAAAGCTTGAAGATAAAGAATATTCTGATCAAGATGATCAACTACAGATTGATAGTTCATTAAGTAATACAGTAAGTTTGACTTATTTGTATCATTTTCAAAATTTCAATTTCGAATATATCTTGTAGGCATTAATGACATTCGCTTTACAAGATGAAGATAAAGGTGTTGAAAGAGCTCAATATCTAGCTGATATATTTAAAAATAATCAAGTATGTCTCATACACCAAATCTCTTTTACGAATAAAAATTCTTTATTTAATACATAGGCTCTCAACACCTTAGATCTTGAAAATGATAATATTGGTACTCGAGGAATGGAAAATGTGGCGAATGCTTTTCAAAATAATACAGTAAATTTTTGTTTATCTGACTTACCTATTCTCATTGAATTTTCATCTTCAGACACTCATGACACTGAATCTTGCCGCGAATGATATTGGTGATGAAGGAATTCAATATTTGATTAAAATTCTTGAAAATAATAATGTAAACCTGACTTTCTATGTATCATTCGTTCTTTCATCATTCATATTCTATACAGACACTAACTAAACTCAATCTTCAGTACAATAAAATTACTTCTGAAGGAGCTGAACATTTGGCGAAAGTTTTAGCAAATAATACTGTAAATCTTTGTCTGTGTTTTTCTTCTATCATACTTTTCATATTTCAATTAGACATTAAAATCACTCGATTTATCAGAAAATGAAATTGGTATTAGTGGCACACAACATTTAGCTGAGATCCTCAAAAATAATAATGTAAATATGAATATTATCTTTCTTTTTCATTATTATTATTATTATTATCATTTTATCATATAGACATTGACAGAACTCGATCTAACTAAGAATGAAATCGATGATGAAGGAATTACACATTTAGGCAAAGCTCTTGAAAGCAACAAGGTAAATTTTAAATATTCTTTATATATTCTATATCATTTGTATATCTTTCAGACACTTACTACAGTCAAGCTTGGCGATAATGGAATCACTGCTGAGGGAATTGAACATTGCACTAATTTTCTACGAAACAATACAGTAAATTTCAGAATCGATATAAGAACACAGTATTAATATTTGATTTATAGACTCTTACTACACTCAATCTGAATATTAATCTACTCAGCACTGATGGTGTTAAGCATTTAGCTACTGCCTTTCAAAATAATAATGTGAGATTTAGTTTTTGTTAATCTTTTTTATTTATTTCTTATATAGACATTGACTACACTTGAACTTTCACGCAATCAAATTGATAACGAAGCAATGGAATATCTAGCTGAAATTTTACGAAATACTCAAGTACAAACTCTTACTTTTTGCTCATTAATTATATTCTTATATATATCTTCCTTCCTAGGCATTGACCACACTTATCCTTTCTCGCAATACGATTGGAGATAAAGGAATTACATATTTGGCTAATGTTTTACGAAATAATATGGTAATACTAAGTGTTCTTTTTTTCTTTCTCTTGTTTAAACATTCAAAGTCTTCTAATTTTATAGACACTCACTAAACTCGATCTCAATCATAATGAAATTGAAGATCAGGGCATTGAAGAATTGAGTAGTGCTTTGTTGAATAATACAGTAAACTTACATGTCTAGTTTCTCTTCTCTTTTTTAATTTGACTTTTTCATCTAGACTCTCACCTCTCTCAATCTTAGTAATAATAAAATCAAACAACAAGGAGCTCAACATTTAGCTACTGCATTTGCAAATAATAAGGTAAACATTTTGTTTACTCTTCATTTAATTTATTTTATATTTTGTATTTCTAAAATAGACACTTACTTTTCTTGATCTTGCTACGAATAATATTGGAGATCAAGGTGCACAAGTTTTGACTACTGTTTTTCGAAATAACACGGTAAATATCATCATGTTTCCTATTATTCATCTCAATTTTTACATGTAGACACTGACCACACTTGATTTACGACGTAACGAAATAGGAAAAATAGCCAAACGTTATGTGATGAAAACTTTACGAAAGAACAATGGATTGAAATTATTTTTAAGAGATGATGAATATGATCAATATTGATTTATTGCACAATAAATTTTTATTTAATATCACATATTTATATATTTTTTAATATGATGTGTTGTTATTTTTTCTTCCAATAAAATGACTAGATGCTTGTTTTGTGTCACAGATTTCATATAATGTTATAATCACATGTTTGAAGAAGAAAAATGATGTCAACCAGAAAATCACTGAACAGGCGATTTTATTCAAAGTAACGTTCCATGCTAATTGATAACCTACTGTTACAAGTATAGGTTGTTGAAATTTTTCAAAAATACGACTTCTGTTTTTAAAACATACTGCAAAATCATACCCTTATACCCTGTTCGAATTATTTTCAAGTTATTTCTTATGTTTTAATTATGTAATATATCATGAGTTATTTTTCTTTATTGGAAAATATAGATCACCATAATCTTGTTTAACAAATAACAAAAAAAAATAAAGAACTAAATGTGAATGAAAAATCAAGATGATAGAATAACGAAAAAAAAATTATCTGAGCTCTTTATTGCCACCGATGATGTTTATAGCTAGAAAATGAAACTAGATGTATTTTTATTCCATATGATCGTTATTTTCATTGTTACCTAAAAAAAATGAACAAAAACACTTTGAATATATAACATGTTAGAATAAATTTATTAAATAATAATATTCGTTTGGTTTAGAAAAAGAAAAAACGCATTTCTCGAAATTTCATAGCTCTTCTTTTAACTCAACCAATGTTACTTATCTTATATGAAAGCATAGACTAGATTATAACCTTGATGAAATGTGAATCTTTTGAACTATGTATGTTTAGATTTTGATTAAATATGGATAGTATTCTCTGATATTTTACTATACCTTGATCATTATGTTGACCTCGACCATGACTACCACCGAATCGTGAACCTCGGTTTCCTTGATTAGTTGATGAAAAATGAGCATTATATCCATAAGGATCGTCATCTTCATCATGTCCATCACCATTTTCATTATTTTCATCTTCATTTCCATAATCAATATCTAAATATTTAAATAATAATATCGATGAATAAGAAATAAATATAACAAGAATATTTACCCGAACCAACTTCATCATCTTCAACCATATCATCAAGTGGATCTGGATGAAGTGCTTGACATTCAGCAATAGTTTGATAAGCAATTTTTAAATCTTCTGATGTTAACATTACAAATCGATAATTAACAGTACGAATACTATCATATTCAACAGGTGATTCACTTCGTCCATCATCACCATTTTCTTGATGATTTGTTGTATCATCGTCATCTTCATCATCTTTTGATTTTTGAACAATAACAACAAGATGTTCTTCGGGATATTTTGGATCATGTGTAACAATTCCATGCATAGTTAATGATGGATAATCAATTGCAATGCCTTGTCGTTGTGTTTCATTCGATGCAAGTGCCCATACTAATTGACTAAATAAAATAAATACAAAATTAAATAAAATTATTAAAACAAATATTTTAAATTACCTTTCAGCAATACATAAAACACCTTGACCTAAATAATCATCTTCTAAATAAGCTTTAACTGATGGATATTGTTGACGAATATGTTCAGTTGGAATTGTAACTGTATTTAAATGAGAAGACATCTACAAAAAGCAAAAAAATTCTATTTATTAAAACAACATAATATTACATGAATAATAATGTACTACAATAATAAGAAAAAGAAAAATATTAATTTAAATTCTCAATCGATGGACGGTTTCTCATGTCATTGTGTATCTGACCGACACGAGCAAAAAAAAGAAGAAAGTAGAGAGATTTCCATTTCAATGAAAACCATTGTCAGATGATGATGGAAAAGTTTTCATTTGTAATTGAGCAACTTGTTCACGTAGAAGTGCAATTTCTTTTTGAAGCTAAAATAAAAAAAAGGAAAAAGAATTATTATGAAATAAAATAAGAATAAACTAACTCGGGAATTAATATGACCCATATGTTCAATTTCTTTAGTTGATTCAGTTGCTTGAGTAAAGAATGCTCGATTTGAATCATTCTAAAGAATAATGGAATAATATGAATAAGAAATTGATTCTATTTACTGCTATTCGTTGTCGATCAACATCTGATTTAAGTATTTGATTTTCTGATTGAAGATGATCAATTTTTTTTTTCATTAATGCAATAATTTTTTCTAATTCAACAGTCGATCGGCCAGAATCTCCAATCTTTAAAAGAAAATTTTTATTTTATTTTACATTATAAATAATATAGAATTTACTCGTCGCATGTTTCCACTCGATGAGGATCGAGGGCTATCACCATTTCGTAAACCTTCATTTTCAGATTTTAAAAATCCATTAATCTTTTGTAATTCTTCATTACGTAATCGAACTCTACATAAAATTATCATTAAATTGACCGAATTCTTTTCAAATTTAAAAATACATACTTGCTTAATTCATCTTTTAATTGTTGATTAAATTTAAGTAATTCTCTTTTATGTGTATCTAAATCAGTTATTTGTTGTTGAAATGATTCGATTGTTCGTTTTGTTCGTTCGTCCTTAATAAGAAAAAAAGATTTTCATAGTTTCTCGATTTCATAAGAATGAAGAAATTACGAAATAAATATATGTAATTATACAAGCATAGAAATTATTCTTTGTAGAGGATGTATGAGTAAATTTGAGAGGAACATTCAGTTTATATTACTTACTCGATTTTCATCAAGAGGTCGTTCTGCTGTCCTTGTTTTACGAAGTTTATCTTCAAGTAAACGAACTTGACGTCGTAATGATTCAATTGTATCTTCACCCTAGAAATTTATTTGATGTAAACAATTCAACTATTTTTCGACGTTCTCATACTTGGCCTTGTTGAAGTTGTTGACCAGTCATTCGTCGTTGTACATTGTCCGTAAGTGTTGCATTTTGTTGTTGAACTTTATTTAATTTCTTTTCATTTTGACCTATAATTCAAATGATTACATTTATTCTATTGAATAAATATATAAAAAAACAAACTACCTAATTTTTCTCGAGCATCAACTGCTTCATCTTTATATTGTTGTGCTAAAGCTTTTTGTGCTTTTAATTCTCGTTTTAAATTTTGTATTTGTCCTTCATAATCATCAATTTTTTCTTGTAATTGTGATGTTTTACTTGTAATTAATGCTTGTACAGAAAGACTCTGTTTATCTTCATCACTCATAGCTTTTAAATTTCCTTCAGCTATTTTAACCATATCACTACGAATATCAGCTAAAGCACGTATTAATTCTTGACGTTGTTCTTCTTTCAATGCTAATTGTTCACGTAAATTTATTGAATTATTTGTTCCAGTATTTGCTGGAGGATTATTCTTTGTTGTTGTTGTTGTTCTACTAGATGTAGATCTTTGTGCATTCTCAAGATCCATCATTGATTGTCCAATTTTATTATGTTGATCTTGTAATTGTGAACTTTGAATTTCAATTTTATGACTTAGTTCATTAACAAGTTTTTCATAGGTAGATTTAACACTATAGAAAAAAAAGATATAATTTATTTATTAAGATTTAAATAAACATTGACTATACTTTTCTCGATCATGTTTAAATTGTTCCATTTTTTGTGTTAATCGTCCCTTCCATGTTTCAGCTTCACGACGTGCTTCACGTAATTTTTCATTTAAATGTGCAATTGTATTATCTTGTACAGCAACATTCTCTTCAAGTTCACGTATACGTGACACCTATAAATATAATAAGAAAATAAATTTCTAAAAAATCAATTCAAAATAAAAAACCTCAGCTGTTGATGATGATCCATTAAAAAATCCTGGATTACCACCACGTTCAACAAAATCTTTAAAACGAATAAAATCGAGATCACGTTTATTTTGTAATTGTTCATTTAATAATTGAATTTCTTCTTCATGTTGTCGGATTTGTTTATTTGAATCATCACGAGCTTCTTTAAGCATATCTTGATATTTACGTATACTTTCTTCTTTTTGTATAATACGAGCCTAGATAAGAAATAGAATTAAATTTCTATAAAGAAAATTTTATTTCATATACTTGAAGACTATCAATTGTTGATTGAGCAGCTCGAACAGTTGATAAACGAGAAGAATCATCGGGACGTGTCATAACATCAGATATAAGTTTATCGGAATCAAGAATAGTTGTTGTTGGTAAACGAAGTCGAAGTTCATGAATAACTTTATCACGTGCTAATACAGCATTTTCCATTTCACGAATTTTATCATTATGTTCAGTTGTTTTCTTAATATTAAAATTACAAAAAAAACAAAAATTAAATCATATGAATCTACTTTGTCAACAAGTTGATGTTGTATTTTAGCTTCCATTAATAAATGAATATTATCACGAATAATAGTTAATGCTTGTTCTAATTGATGAGCAACAGGTAATGATGGATCTGGATAATTACCAATAGCTTCTTCAAACTAAAGAAATATATTTTGATCAAATAGAAAACGAAAAGAATTTCAAATATTACTCGTTTTGCTGCATTAGCAATATCATTTTGTTGTTTTTCAAGTTGATCTATTTTTCTTTCCATATCTAATTCACGATGTTCCCAAATTAATTGTCGCTCTTCAATTTCCTATTAAATAACAATAAAAATGATTATTCTAAAAAAAACTCAATCTATTAAAAAAATACCTTTTCAAATTTAACATTTTGTTCTTCAAGTTCAGTAACATTTATTTCAAGTTGTTGTACCAATTTGGTCAAATGTGAATTCTATATAAATAAAATCATTAATTTTAACAGATCTTATCGTAGTCTCAGGTATATGAAGAGATCAATTAGTACTATGCTCTATTATACTCAACAAAGTTTATTGTTATTCAATAGGAATCATTATAAACGGCATAGATTGTATAGAATTTGTCAAGACTCATTCTTTCTTCTAGTGGGGTGACTAGGATTTTGGTAGTGGTTGGACGACAGTAAGCGATGTCTGTAGGACGCGCAAGAAAATTTGGCTAACAAAGCTAAAATGGGCGGTGCCACTACTTTCTTCTTCTCTGTTGAAAAATTTGAAATCAATTCTTTTATTTTAACTGATATTTCTTATTATATCTTTTTCTTTTCTATACAAATATACTTACATCGGTTTCCATACGTTTATTAAGTCGAATATGTCTTAATTCATTTAATTTAACTTTCTCTAGCTTTTGTTGCCATTCAATCATTTTTTGTACACGAGCATTACTTTGACCATCTTTAAGTGTAGCTAAAAGTTCTTCAAGTGATTTATGTTTAAATTCATATGATGCTATTTGAGTTTCAAGATCAAATTTTTGATCAGCTAATTTCTTCATATCCAAATCTAATTGTTTTTTACCATTACGTAAATCAATCATTGTTTTAGCGTATGATTCTTGTACGCGTAATGGTAATGCACCTGCATATTTATGACGATAATCCTAAATGAGAAGAAAAAGAATAATTCATTTCAGATAAATTAAGTGAGATTAAAGTTTACTTGTAGAGCTGTTCTTAAATATCGAATACGTTGTGTATATTCTTGACGAATAAAGAATAAACTTTGTTCTTTTTCATCTAATTTTTGTTCTGTTCGAAGAAGTAATGCTTTTTGTTTAGCTAAATCATTATCAGATTGTAATTGTTTTCGTTTAGCTGTTGCTTCACTTATTTGTAGTGCAAGAATATGACGATGAAGTTTACCTACAAAAGATAATTGTTTTTTTTGAACAACAAACAAAAAAAATATTTTCTTTTACCAATTTCACTTTTATCATCTGTTTTCGATTGTAAATCAAGTAATTGAAGACGTAATGATTGAAATTCTTTTTCATCTAATACTTTCATATCATTAATAGCTCCGACTTGATACGTTGCAACTTCAGATATTTCACGTAAACGACCTATTTCTTGTTTAGCATGAATTTCAGTACTTTCAAGTTCAGATATACGTCTAAAGAAAAAATTAGATATAAATTTTTAAAATATCTAACATATCAAAATATATATACCGTTTGTCAGCATCAGATACTGTTCTTGGTACACTATGTGCAAGATCATCACGTAATTCACGTTCAGTACGTTGCATTTCGAGATTCATTCGTGTTAATTCACTAAATTTTTTTTCTAATTCGAGATTTCGATCTTCCATTTGTCGAAGTGTTGTACGTTGTTGATCATAAAGTTTTTGAGCATATTCAGCTCGTTGTCTTTCATTAAGTTCTTTCATTTCAAGAACAGTTATTTTACGTGAAAGACTTCCAGGATTCTCATCTACGAAACCACTTCTATTAGATCGCACTGATGTACTAGTATAACCTTAAAATAAACATAAATTCGTTAAAAAATAAAAAATTGATTTTAGTTTTTATTACCAGCATCAATTAATCCTTGATTTTTTAAATTTTCCATTGTTTCTTCTAATAAATGCATTTTTTCTTTATCTATTTGTAATTGTCGTTTAAGAAATTCTACTTCATCAATTAATCGTCGATTATCCTCCTAAAATAAATCAATTTCAAAATCTTTTATAAGCAGAAAAAAGGATTTTTACCGTTAATACAGATGATTGTTCAGTTTGTTGAACATATGCATGTTGTTGTTCAAGTAAATCTCGATATTTTTCTACAACATCTTCATATTTTCTATTAATTTTATCTAATTCATTTTGATGTACACTCTCTTCAACTTGTTTTTGTAAGTGTTTTATACGATAAGCAGATGTATCTTTAAAACGTTGTAAATAATTCAAACGTGTTTGTACAGCAACTTCCATATCAACAACTTCCGTACGTAATTTTGTATTATCCTATTTAATTAAGATTATTTTTGTTTTCAAAGAAAAATTCAAAAATATTTTTAACCTTTCGTAAATGTGTTTCAATATCTTGATATGATAGAATTTTTCTTCCTAATGTTTTTTCATTAACACGTAAAACAGTTATTTTTCTTGTAAGTTCTGCAATACGTCGACGAACTTCAACATCATCTTGTTCCAATGTATTAAGAAGACGCTAAAAAAAATAAAATATTGAAAATAACGTGTGTTTTTTCGAATTCTATTACATCAAATTCTTGAAGTTTAACAAGATTTTTTTCAATTTCAGTTTGTAAATCACGTTTTGCATCATTTGTTTGTTCACGTTCATTTAACCATTGTTGTTGTTTCTCATGAAAATCTTTATAAAGTAAACCTGTTTGATGTTTAATAACATTTAATTTTCGTCGATATTTATCAAGTCCTTCTTCAAGACTTTTATTCATTTCACGTTGTGCTGTTACTTCCTATATATTATAAAATAAAAAACCCAATTATTTTTTTGATCTTTTCAAATACATACAGCTAAAGCATCAACAAGATATTCATTAAGACATGATATTATATCACGACTTGATGGTGATAAACCATCAGGTAATTTTAATGATTGATATGTAAGCGGAACAGCACCAGCTTCTTCAAATAATTTTAGATCACGTTGAAGTTTTTCATTCTAGAAATATTGTTCATTTGAATGATAAAGAAAAACAAAAAAGATTTACGAACTCGTTCAACAGCTAATTTAAGATTAACATCAGATTTAGTTTTTTCGTGTCGAGCATTATATAATTCATCTCGTAATTCAGCAATACGACCAAGTAATTTATCATTTTCACTTTTTAATACCATTGAACCATCATATCGACCAGCATGTGATTGACTTTCAAGAACCTAAATTATTAAAGTTATTTTAGAAAATAAAAATTCTATTCTATATACTTGAAGCATTTTGTCTAATGATGGACATTGAATAACGTAAGATGATGATGGATCACCAGATGATGAACGTGGAAAACGTTTTTGTTTTAATTGTTGATCAATTTCTTTTAAACCTTGTTCAAGACCATGAATTTCAGTAATTAATGCACGATTTTCATTTGTTTTCTCAATAAGGTCACGTCGAAGTTGATCAATATTTGTATCAAATGCTCTTATTTGTTGATCATAATCATTACGAGCAATACGAATTGCATCATCCGCAGTTGTACTTATAGGTCGAGCTATACCAGTATCATCTGTCCATACAGAATCACCAGCAAGACCTAATTCAGCTGCTCGAACACCAGCTTGACGAGCTAATTGACGACAGTTTTGTTTTAATTTCAATCGTTCTTCTTCGAGACGTTCGATCTATCAAGATGAAAAAGATCTTATAACTTCTATTCTAAAGATAATTCATTTTTCTTACTTCTTTTTGTAAAACTTGTACAACAGCTTGATTCGCTTCTGTACGTGTCATTCTTGCTGTTTTAAGTTGTTCGACGGACATTGGTGTTCGTGGATCCATACCTAATTTAGCTCGTAATTCTTCATTTTCATCAGTAACTTCATTAACAGTAAGTTCATTTCTTGATGCAAATTGTGCTAAATCTTCCATTTGTCGATCTCGTAATTTAATTTGTTCTTTTAATTGACGTATTTCTTGTACAGCATCACGTAATTCATAATTTTTATCCAAAAATGCTTTTAATTGTAGATCAAGATCATGTAAACGAATATCACGTTCACTTAATTCTTTTTCATAATCATTTAGTTGTTTTCTTAAACGATTTGTTTCATATGTATTCGAACGATTTGTTGTTGATGTTGGATCAGCAGGTGCTTTTAATGAGGAGGAAACAAAAAAGAATAGAATTAATTTTGAAAATGTATTTTATTTACTTATATGATCACTTCGCATTCGATCAAGAGCATCGGTTTGTTTAATTAAATCATTTGTTGCTTCTTCAAGTTTTTTTTTCAATAATGAAATTTGTTGATCTTTTTCAGCAACTGCCTAAGATTTCAGAATTTTGTATTTTAATACAAATGACAAAAATATTATTTCGATTTCTATTTACTTTATTCAAAGTAGTAATATCGGTTTTTTGATTTTCTAATTGATGCATTTGTAATTGATCGCGTTGATCAATTATTTTTCGTTTAAGATCATCAATTTCATCATCTTTAGATTTAAAAATATCCTTTAAAAAAAAAATCGAAATTTATTAATAAATAAATTCAAATTAATAAACTTACTTTCCATTGTTTAACTCGTTCTTCAACAAGTCGCATAACCATATCATCATCATCGCTAGCATTTGTTGGCATTTGTTCTCGAAATATATTAAGTTCATTTTTTAATTCAAGATTTTCTTGATCTTTTTCATTGAGAAGCGACTAGAAATAAATTAATAATAAAATCTTAATATTAATTATTGAATATACTTTAATTTTTGCATGTTCATTTGATAATTCATTAATATGACGTGTAGCTTCTTCTAATTCACGTTGAAGAGCAGCTGCTTTTGAATTTACTTTTTGACGGTCATTAAATAATTGCTAAAATAAAATATTTCTTTAAGAAATAAATAAATCTTTAGATATAACATACACTATTTTCATCCAAAACACTATTGAGTTCTTTTTCCATGGCACGTACACGTGATGTTCGTTCTCCATCATCTTCTCTTATTCGATTTGTATCACGTAATTCTGATACACGTTTACGTAAATCTTCTGATAATTTATTTAATGCATCATTCTAGAATAAATATTATTGAATAATAAATGAAATACTTTCTTTTTGTTGATTTCCAAACCTGGTTTTGTAGATCTCGAACTTTATTTTCACATTTTTTAAGTTCTTCTCGAACTTGTCCAGCTTCACCTAATGTATTTTCATAGGATCTTCGATAATCTTCGTTTTCACTTCGAAGACGATTGATTTCATTTTTTAAAAATGAATCAGCCTAAAAGAAATTTAATACAAAATAAATTCAATTTCAAATTAAATATTTATTTACATCTTTCGCATTGTCAAGTGCGTTATTTTTTAAGTTGTCATCTAGATAAAGTATCGTTAAATATAAATTTCGAAAAAAACTAATTTATTTACTCTGTTGTGCAACCTCGACTAATTTATCCCAAAATCCATCCTTTTGTGTTCGAAAAAACTGAAAAACAATATATATAGAATTTTCTTTTCATATCAAAACAAAATCGTATTACTGCAGTAAATTGTTGACCCAGTCGAAATGCATGACGTAGATCTTGTTCATTGTCAAATTCATCTAGTTTCAGCTATGAAAATATTTTTATAAAAAATATTTCAAAATTTATATAAAATTCTTACACTTTCATAATCTTTAGCAAGTCTATCATGTCGATCTTCATCTGTTTCGTTTTCCGCATCAAAATCAGCTGGTTTCAGCTTTAATAAATTTTGCCATTTAGGAGATGATGGAGCCATACTACAATCTACAAAGATACGATGTAAAAAAAAACAAACAATATATGCAAAATTTTGAATTATTGTTCTAAATTTAATAATGTTGATTTCATATTAAGTACAAGAAAAGGACTATCATTAACAAATTTTTGTTTCCATTCTTTAAATATATACAAAAAATTATATTTTGAAAATAATCGACGATTTTCTGTTAATTCTGAAAGTTTTTCAAATAATATTCCTAGTTTTTCCATTGTTTTAAGATCAAATGTTGGAGTAAGTGGAAGATGAATATTGCTTAGATTTGTTGATGAACCAAGACCATCATTACATTGTTGGGCTAATTGATAAAATAAATGAAACCATGTTTCATTACTTAATTGTTTTAAAAATGGACGAAGTGATTTGGAATCCGTACAAAGAAGTAGAAGAAGATCAATTGTATCGAATATTACTAAATAAATGAAAGAAAAAACAATGCATTCTGCTCGTAAATATAGTCATAATTCGGTCAAGTCAAGTGTGCTCCAAGTTTTCGCGAAAAACTCTAATCATCTGTTTTTGATTGCTCTAATAGATACTCTGAACTATGCTGAGTCGACTTGCGATGCCCAAGAAAATAAGCACACAGTTACAAGTTATAAAAAACCAGAGATGGGCAACTCCGGAGTTGACGTTGCCCATATTTGATAGATACTTTTTGCTGTTCTCTTACACGTCATGAGATCCGCCGGAGTTGGAAAAAAGTACCACCTCCAACTCTACTCCAACTTCAAGTAAAAAAGCGTCAACTCCGGAGCTGGGGTTGCCCATCTCTGTCAAAAACTTCGAACTCTTTAACGTGACCTCATAATTCTTACGTCGTTTGTGATGTGATGGTGGTTTAAGCCATCTATATAATGCGATAATACCATAATTTGTAACAAAGAGATCAATAAATGGTTTTGAATTTAAATCAAGTCGAAGTTGATTATAAGATGTAATAAGATCAATAATTTTATTACATGTTAATAAAACAATTAAACAAGCATAAAGTCGAATAAGTGGTTCATTATCATCAAAAAGATGTGGACGTTCCTTAAAAAGAAATATGTATATATATTTGAGTTTGAAAAAAAAATGTGGATTTCTACTTGATTTTTATCACATTTAAGAATTTGTTCACATAATCTTCGATACGAACATGAATAAAGATGACGCGTTTGTCCGCTTGTTGTTGGACATTCAATCATTATTAATGAAAAATAAACTAATTTAAGATAAGAAATAATTAAATTTGAATGATTCTTATTTAAACAAAACGATGATTGATCAGCAAGAATAGTTAATAATTTCGAATATCTTTCAATTGTATCTGGTGTTATTGAAGAAGTATTTGGCCATTCAGATACAGTTGTTTGTGTAATATCAGATAACCAATTAAATAAGAAAATCATAGAATCAGGAGAAGCAATACTAGGAGATTTTGATATAGTTGTCACTACAAAAAATCATATAGATATTGAAATTTTTCTATTATATATATATATTTACGTGAAGTTGTTGATGAATGATGTTCATTCGATTGATCTGTAATTGATGTAGTTCGAGATGAATGAATATTTTCCATTGATTTTCTACATTCATCATTTGGATTATTTAATAGACATTTTTTATTTATTTCAATAGTTTTTTCTAATTCTTTTATTTTTTGTTCTGATATTTGATTTAATCGTATTAAATTTTCTGCACGTTTTTCTGTTTGTTTAGTTTTTTCAGCTAATTTATCATTTGTTTCACGTAAATCATTATAATTACGTTTTAATTCACTATTTTGTTCACGTAATAATTGTAAACTATCATTTGTTCGTTTAAAATCTTTTGTTACATTATTTAATTTTTCTTTATAGACATTTAATTCACTATCAAATTTATCTTTATGTGCTTGCCAACCATGTTCAATTGTTTCACGCATACGTTGTTCCCATTGATTTAATAAATCTGATTTGATTTTTAAACGTTCATTTTCTTGTGATAAACGTTGACGAATTAATAAAAGTTCATTGTAAACTGTTTGAATATTTGCTGGAGAATATCGTATGGATGCTAATGTTGTATCAATATCAGCATCGGCATTATCTGTAGCTGCTGTACTATTAAGAGTCTTAATTTCATCATCCGATGATTGTTCATCTCCTGAATTTAAAGAAGAAAGTATCGTTTGATTTAAATCTACACGATTCATTGTATTTGATTAATATGAATAGAGATTCTTGTGTCGATATGGTAACGACATAGATTTAGTTTCAATCGATATGGATGGTTTATTTACAATCCAATCAGAAAGAAAAAGAAAATTCTATTTTACTAATTTATAAACATTTTTAAGAAATAAAAATGACAAATTTTCTATATATTAAAAATTTTTTGTCAATTATTTGGCAAGTCCATTATATATTGGGTAAAATATGGACTGATGTAATTGTTTGTTTGTAAATTTTATACTCAGTTGTAATCATACCTTATTTTTAGGAAAAAGAAGGTAAAAAATTATTTTACGATCTTTTTTTATTTATTATCATATAGTTTTTAACATAAATATTCTATTCTCATAAAAGAAGCCTTTGTTTTATCATAAGAAATTTATCATTATGATTAATTTTCGAAAAAAAAGAAGTTGACTTTGTTTTTCAATTCTATATATTCGTTAAGGTTATTAAGGGTGAATAATATGTTTGAGTCAATAGTTTCTTATTTGTTTTAGATTTTATCACAAAAAATGAACATTAGATCTGTTTCTCATCAGCATTTTTTTCTTTATCTCATATGTATATCAATCGTAGCAGCATTTGACACATACAATTCTATTGTACGATTAAAACCAGGAAAAACAAAACAAAATAACAAAAAATCCAAACAAACGAAAGATGAAGGAACGTTAACATTAATTTATTTAGCAAAATTTGTACCTAATATTTTGGCTATATTGATATATTATTTCTTTAAAGATACTCATCATTCATCCTTCTTATCATCAAATATATCAGCTACATTGGGTATATTTACATTCATAGCAGGTTTATTAATACGACAAATTGCTATAATACAATTAGGCAAATTTTATACATATAAAGTCAGTATTGATGATGATCATGAAATGATTGATACAGGACTTTATAAATATATGCGTCATCCAGCATATACTGGTACATTTCTTGAATTAACTGGTGCTGCTCTTCTTTATAATCATTTTGTTTTATCATGGTTCCTTTCATTACCTTATCTTATTGTTGTATTAAAACGTATTAAACAAGAAGAAAAGGTTTTAATCGAAAGATTTGGACCAAAATATCAAGATTATATGAAACATGCTGGCATGTTTCTACCACAACTTTCACAATGAAAAAACTAGATAATATTTAATCAAGCATTTATCCTATATATTATAGAAATTAAACAAGCTCAGATGAATCTCAGTGTGTATTTTTTGTTGTTCTAGATATAAATAATTTTAATGCTTGAATTTACACTTAAGTTTTTGAGTGGTGACAGTCGCAAGTATGAAGTCGATGAATCGGTATGAAAATCTGATTAATTTAAAAAAGTTTTATATGTATTTAATTTTTTGTTTATTTATAACAGACAACTGTACGACAATTTAAAGAACGATTACGTGATGAATTAGAAATTCCAACTGAACGACAACGTTTAATTTTTCAAGGCAAAGTTCTACAAGATGATACAAAACTTATCGATAGCAGTATGAAGATTTTTTTGTTTTGTATTTTTTAAATCAATTTGCTTTGTTTTCTAGATATTCAAAATAAAACAATTCATTTTGTTGAACGTGCTGAACCAATTCCACCAGCAGGACCTAATAATAGCTCTGGTGGTGCATCAAATATGTCAGGTAATGGTTCAAATGATGGTGGAATGAATCAAGCCATGATGGATGAAGTTAATGAAACAACAAGTATTTTTATAAATGCTTTTCCAGGTGCTGCAAATTTACAACCAAATGATATACAAGTTAATCAAGTTTTTTTTTCAAAACTCTATGTTTATAATTTTATTATTTGTAGAGTTTAGTACAAAATTTACTGAATGATCTTGGTGATGTTGGACGGCAAGCACAAGTAAATACAACAATGGCTGTAAGTGAAAAAATGATTGAATGATTATTATTATTATTGTTTTGTTTCTTGTGTGTTTATATAGTCAGATGGACATGGTGTAGATATTAATATTGATTTTGGTAATGTAAATCAAGTTTTAGAACAACAAGAAATTAACGAACGTTTTCGTTCTATTGGACGTATGATAACACGTCTTAAACTTCGCATTGATCGTATTGAAGTAAGATATTTATTATATATGTATAGAACTTCATAAGTAAATGTTATGTGAATTTCTAGCAAATTGTGCAGTCAAATTTTCGTCTCTCACCTACTCCACCTCCGTCAACTTCAGAAAGAACAACAAGTCCAACTCGTGTAACTGCAACGACGACAACAACAGCAACAGCATCAGCAGAAACAGCTCCTCAACCACCACCACCTACCTCAACCTCACCATCATCAACAACATTTCTTGGCATGGAAGATATAACATCAACTGAAATGGATGCCGAATCACAAGGTGCAATTAATTCAGCCGAAACACTTCATACACCTCCAAGTACAACAAGTACAACTCCTGTAGAAAATGCTACAACACCAACCACAACTAATAATCCAGTTATATCTACCCCGTAAAAAGAAATTTTTTAATTTTTAAAATTATTTTGTTTTAACAATGAAATTTTAAATTCTAGACGAACAGCTCGTGATTTAGCTGCATTAATGGATAATATTGAAGTTGAACAACATCGTTTACAAGCACATTATCAAACTTATTTACGCACTATAACACAGAGCGATGCTTCTGTAAGTTATTTATAGAAATTAAATATTTTTTGTTTCAAATTAAAATAAATTGATTTTCTTTTTAGGAACAAGAAATGGCTGGTCGTCAACGTTTCTATTCATTATTTAATGAAGCAACACATCTAATTGCTCATATCTATCATAATATAACAGATTTTACTCTTGATCTTAATGATCCAGCTGACACACGTTTATTACATTTGGGAGAATTACCTATTTCACAAGCTGGTCTTGCTTCAATTGCACAAAATAGTGCAGGTAGTTTAATACCTGGTCAAGAGGCAGGAGCAAGAATAATCCCACGCACCTCACGATCTATTGGTCGACGAGTAAGTGCATTTTTTGTATTTTTCTATAAATAGTATGAAATTTATTTTTTAGCCGACAGCAGTAGCTACAGCTCGTATTATGGGTCCAATACAAATATCAGCTGGAGCCAATCCAGCTATGATGTCTGGAGAATTTCGAATGCCATTTCAAAATCCAATGGGTCCTATGCCTCGCATGGTTTGTTTCATATTCTTTTATTCTTTTGTATTACGACTTTTTTCTTCTATTCAGGTATTTAATACTACTCCACGACCAACAATGCCTTTTCGTCCACCAACACCTACACTAGCTAATAATGGTGGTATGCAACAATCAATGCGTTTCAATTTAGGAACATTACCATATACATTCATGCAAATGGGTCCTGATGGAATAACTCTAAATCAAGTTTCAGCATCAGTTGTTGCAGATGTACAAACAGCTAATTCATCATCACCACAGCAATCACCAACAAATAATATGACAAATCGATCGATGCCACGTATAATTTCTAAAGTTAAATATTGAATTAATTGGAACTCTTTGCTATTTTCCTTCTAGCTAATATGTCTCAAGGTGGTGCTGGAACACATGTTATTTCAAGTGGTCCTATTCAAATAAATGGTGGTCAATTAGATAATAATCTTGCTGCTGAAATTGCTCAACGTGTAACAAATAGTGTACAACAACATTTTGCCCAAATGGTTGGTCAACAAACAGCAAGCAATACAAATAGTAATACTCAATCACCGAATAATAACAATAATAATCAAACTATAGCCGATACAATATTACGTTCAACATTCGCTCTTCAACCAGATTCAGCTTCATCAGGACGTGAACGTAATGAAGCAATACGATCACGTTCTGCTGATTCACGACCAAGACCAAACACTAGTTCAACATCAGGAACAACACCAAGTATTGACGATGATGATGCTGATTGGGTCGATATGCCATCAATGGATCTCCCTGTACCACCACAACAACTTCCCAATCCATCTCTAGCTGGAATTCCTCGTCTTCGAGGACCAGCTATAATACGTAAATATTTTTAAAATAAAATAAAATTTCTTTCTTAATATCTCTCTTTTGTATTTTAGAATCAATCGATCGAAGTTTACCGTGTGCGTCACCTTATTTTACTCAAACACTTCGTCCACCTTTTGATAATCCAAATAATGCCGCAAATTTAACACCAAGTGAAGCAGCTGCATTAAGTAATGCATCGAATCGTGCTGTTATATTTGCAACAGCACCACAACATCCACGTGGTCGTCATCGTCATCCAGCTGGACCATGGGCACAACAAAATCAACAACAACAACAAGCACAACAACAGATGCAAAACTTTATGTTATCATCACCTGGTGCACCAACTGGTGCTACTGTTATTACACCTGCTGGTCATGCTTATAATATGACGGCACATTCATTTGAAATTCCAATGGTTATATCAACTACAACAACAACTGAAATGCCACAACAACAAACTTCTAGTGATAATTCCCAACAACAACAGCAACAGCAACAGCAACAACAGCAGCCATCGACAAACGAAGGCGAACAAGTTCAAATGGTAAAAAAAATTTAAAGATTTTTGTTTTCAATACTTATGTTTCTTTTCTCTCTCTCTCTAGAATGCAGTTATTAGTCAAGTACTTTCACAGATTATACCTGGTGTTTTACGAAGTGGTAATGGACGAGTTCGATGTATGTAAAAACAAAATATTTTCCTATAAATTATTTTTATTATTTTCTCTAATTTAGTAAATATTGGTCAAAACAATCCGAACAATCCTAACAATCAAACTTCTCAATCTACAACATCTCAATCAACTGGAACAAATACTACTCAACAAGCAACAGCAACACCAATGGGTACTAATATTCCAGGAGTTATGGCTGGTGGTTTAGATTTTTCAAATTTTGCTCGATCAATTGGTAATATGGTACAAGGTATAACTGGACGACTTATTCCAGGAGCAACATTAGTTAATGCTAATCCATTCACAACAACTTCAACAGTAACATCAACAACAACATCGTCATCAACAACATCAAATACATCAACTTCAACACAGAATACAGCACCAGGAAATAATGCTGAAGTAGATAATGTTACTGGACAAATGTTTACAGGTAAAATTATTTCTATAAAAATAATATAAACTAGAAATTTTTGTTTTTAATAGAACTTTTACGTTTGTTGGGAGGTGGTTTGGATAATCCTGAATTAGATAATCTTACTATTGGTTCATTTATGCAACGCTTCGGTGAAGATGTTGAGTCTCGATCCACTGATGGTACTAATCTTATTAGTGAATTATTTTCTACCATGACAACACGTATGCGTTTTACCGATGTTTGGAATCTTGTTTTGGGTAATCCAGTTGGACCACGTATTAATGAAGCACGTCAATCAGCAACTGAATATCTACAGTAAATTTATTATTATCTATGTTAATTAATTCTTTTTTTTGCTTAATTTTAATTAGAAATACTGTTCTTCAAGGACGACCTATAACACCAGAAACACTTGAAGAATTAGTTAATAAACTTTATGAATCACTCTTAGAAGAAGCTTCAGTTAATTTTGTAAGTCGTCAATTACTTTTGTTATTTTATTATTTATGAAAAAAATATTTGTTTTTTGTAGAATGAACTTCGAGTTAAACCTAATATTAATTTAGCAAATGTTATGAAACGTTTCTTTCAACATCATGTTCGTAAATTATTACATATTTTATTTGATGATCGTATGTTAATAATTTATATAAAATATAAATTATATTTATTTCTTTTTTTTCCTATTAGCTGGTAATGTTTGGTTTGAACATTTTCGACAACAATTAATTACAATGCGTAATGAATATTTAGCATTATCATCACATTGTCTTGAAGATGGACAAGCAGCTGCGATTAATTTTATTCTTAATCGACATGTAATTTCATATTTCTCTATATTATTCATATTTATTTATTATTCTTATTTATTTAGCGTGTTATTTTTCGTTCAACAAATCCAATGATTGTAACATGGTCAGAAACTTATCTTCATACATCTTTAACAAATGCATTCAATGCAATTCGTTCATCACCACCAAATATATCAAGTTATTTAATAGAACCAACACCACCAATTGTTGAACGTCCTCCAGTACGAAGTGCTGCTACACCATCATCTACAACACAAATGAGTAGTATAATAAATAAAACTGATCATGAACGTCAAGCAGCAACAACATCAAATGCATCATTGCAAGGAAATTTACCTGATGATTGGATTCCTATTGTTATTCGTGATGTGAATACTCAACATAATTCACCATCACAAGCACCATTTAGTGATGTTTATAAAGAAGGTATGCCAGCTAAACGACGTCGCGTTCATATGCGTGAAGATTTAACTTCAACACATTTATTACAAACATTGGTTTTACGTGCATCATCATCATCAAGTTCAACAAATAATCAAACATCAAATGCAACAACAAATACACCAGAAAGTGTTTTAACTGGTGAACCAGCTTCACCAGCACTTGTTAATACATTTGAACAAGAACTTAAACGTTTACTAGAACAACGTATAAGACAAGATCGAGATTACCCTGAAGTACAAAATCGTATGCCAAATACAAAACGTTATTTAGATGGAGACAAATAAAATCTTATCTTCTTTTCTTTTTTTTTTATTTATCCGTGTACAGAATATTATAAACAAGAGACAAAAACAAAACAATAAAATAAAAAACTTTCTATACATTATTATACTTATTCTTTCTCGTTTTTTTCTTCTTCTTCTGTGTTCAGTCACATTGTAGAACATTTAAAACATGATATATGATTTGCATGGATGTCAAAGACTTCTGTATTTGTATGTATCTATGCGGTTTGCTTGGTTAAAATTAAGCAGTCGATATTGAATCTATTCGTTTTCTTTTTCTCTTTCTCTCTTTTTTTTGTTCAATAACTGCAAACAGAATGTGTAAGACATATAATAAACGCGCACATAAACTCTCTAATAAACTGATTGAATTTTTAGAAAAAACAAAAATATTCTGTTACTATTTTAGACCAAAAAAATGTTTAGTTCATTACGTGATACATTTGAAGTACTTCGTGATCAAGTATGGTTCTTCCGTTTTTTTCTTCTTATCTGCATCATATGTGTTTATCGTACACTCTTACATTTTGTTCTACGTACAAATCATTGTCCAAATCCATTTTGTTCAAAATGTCTGGGTTCCGGATCAGTACGTGGTCGTGCAATAAATCGTATTAAAAAAGATTATGATGATGATGAAAATAATTCATTGAAATCTATTGTACTTAATAATTTAGTACAACATGATCGTTTAGTTCGTCGAAATGATGAAAAACCAACAGTTTATTATCATCGTGGTTTAAGTAGTAATCAAGGTAAAATATCTGATGAAGAAATACTTTTGAAACATTATGATGAACTTCGACAAGAAATAATTAAATTCTTACAAAATAATGATAATATTCAATGGACTGATTTTTATTTATATAAAAATGGTGAAGAAAATGAAACGAATTGTAAAAGTTTACCAAAATTATTTGAAATTTTACATCTATTACCTAATGCTATTTGTATTAATAATGAAAATTGTATATTTGGTAATTGTTTTCTTACACGCTTAACCTCGGATAAGAATGAAAATGAAAAAAATCAAAATGGTTTAACAAATTGTTGTATACGTATGAATTTTGGATTAATTTGTGATGAACAATCACCCGCACATGTTCTTATTAATAAACATAAACGTTTACCAATAGAAAATAAACGTGCAACTTTATACAACGATGGACTTGAACATTCCATTCAAAATCCAACTAATAAACAACAAATTTTTCTTACAATTGACTTTTGGCACCCCGATTTATCATTAGATATGCGCAAAGAATTAACAACTATTTTTCATACTAATTTAGCATAGAAAAAATAATAGATCAAATGCAATAATCTGATGGCGTTCCTTTTTTTTTTAGTTTAATTTTTACGAAACTCAGAATTAGTCTGATAGACTGACGAATATTTGTTAGTTCTGTTTTTTTTTAATAGAAATAAAGAATAATACAAAATCAAAAAAAGATCTGCTTGATAAACAAAATATCATTTTTATTTCTAGTTAAATGCACATTATAATTTTTTGACTAATGGTTATTCTTGGTAAAAATTTTGTATAAACAATAATAATAAGAAAATATTTAATATTTTTCTTTAGTTATTGAAATTACTGTATGTGCTATATTGGCTATTGCTCTGATAGGAGCGTTATTATTTTGTAATAAGTAAAAATCTATCTAAATTTGTTTCTATTATTGATGATAAATTTATAGAGTTTATTCAAGAAAATCTGATAATGATAGTGATACGAAAAAGATTGATTTTACAACAACATCAATGAATGAAGAATTGCTAGTACAAAATGCACTGATGACTTATTATGAACAACAGCGTAATGAGTTGATAGAACGACAAAAGTAAGTTTATTGTATAACAGAAATAAAATCATTGATTTTCTTTTGTAGAGTTGCTTTGGAAGATTCGACACTGAACATGACTGTTTTGAAAACGAATGATTCAGGTTTTGTATCTATGGCATCACCATCTCAAACTCCACATTCTCTATATGAATATTCGGGTTTTGCTTGTGTAAGTATTTTCATATTTCGATATCTTATAATAATAAATATTTTATCTTCTAGATGGATGATACTGAAGTACCAAATCCCTTATTTTCACCAGATATATTATACGATTGTGAACGAATGTCTGTAACATCATCTTCAGCTATAAAATAGAACGTTGCTTTTTTTTTAAATATGATTATTATTTGTTGTTTGTATTTTTTTTTTGTTTAAGTCTGATATTACTATTGTGATGATATTTTTTTATAACATGATCTACAGTGCAATAAAAAGTATAGAAAGAATTACGATCTTACATATATGATTAGCGTCATCTATCTTTTCATTGGAACGATCACAGTAGTCTTTGTTTAACGTACGAATTGAATTTAACCGTCCAGCAGATGTATTTGTTCTTTCTTCACATCTATTATTGCTATGCTATATTGTAAATATTGAAAAAAAATGGAAAAAGCAATTCGAACTATACTTGATCAAGCACAAAATAATAATATTCGACATGGTGAACATCTTAAAGCACTTGCTGATCTTTATTCAAAGGTTTTTTTTATTCCAAAAATAAATTTCTTGATTAATCGAGTTTCTTTTGTTTTAAGTGCAATCAACAATCATTTCATGATGAATTTCTTCGTTGTATAGCTTCAACTATAACATCTCCATCAAATTCAACATTTGTTCAACATGCTCTTCAATTTATTTCATCTTTTCTTACCTTAGAAATAGGTTCATCAACAAATAATACGAATGATGATTCTCAAAATAATGATAGTATGCAAACTGATTTATTTCATCCAATTTTACCACGTGTTATACAATTTTTTGATGAAGTATTTTCAAATCTTTCGTTTTATTTTATTTTTAATATTTTTTTCAAAATAGCATAAAAATCATCCAAGTGATTATGTTCGAGCAAATATATGTGTTCTTATTGGTCAAACATTAGAAAAAATGGCTGAGAATGCTGAATTAGATGGTGATTTATTTGAATTACTTGTTAATATTTGTCTCGATCGAATGAATGATCGAAGTTATCAAGTACGAGCTCAAGCAGCTAAATCTAGTGGTCGATTACAAAATACAAAAGATCCTGATGATCTTATTACAAAACGTCTTATATGGTTAATGGATCATGATTCACATCCACTTGTTCGAAAAGAATCACTTCGTTCAATAGCTATAACACGTTCAAATTTACAACATTTTCTACGACGTCTTACAGATACAAATGCAACTGTTCGTTTATGTGCCTATAATGTATTTGCACAAAAAGTACAAACATTAAAAGTTTTACCAACCATTGAACGATGTCGTATTGTTCGTATGGGTATGGATGATCCGGAAGAACCTGTTGTACGTGCTTTTGTTGAATGTGTTGTACATACATGGATTGATAAATTACCAGTACCAATTGACGCTGATCCAACAAAACATCCTGATGCACATAAAACAATAACTGGTTTTCTTAAAATGATTGATGTAATGAATATTGGTGAACAAACAGGACGAATATTAAAAATGCTTTTTGATGATAATTTAACTAAACATTATGATCATTTTAAAGAAACATTTATCAATGATAGGTAAGAATGAAATAGTACTTTTTTGGTTGAAAATAAATTTTGATTTACAATTTTAAGAAAATTAATTGATGTTGAACGACTTGATTGTGAATCGGCATTTTTCTGGCAACATCTTGTTGAATATCTTGGTCGAAATAATGATTATAGTGAAAAACTTGATGCTATACTACCTGAACTTGTCGATCTTGTTGATGTACTTTACGAGTAAATAATAATATTAATAATTAATTTTATATTCTTAGTTTTTCTTGAAGATTAATTCGTTCGTATCATGATGATTCAACAAGTGATTCTGTTGCTGCAGAAATAAATTTTGTTGTTGATTGTGTTTTACATGTTATGGTTCATTGTAAATTTGATGATCTTGCTGGAAGATATCGTGTTGAAACATTATGTCGTGATATGTTTTTTATGGAAGAAATACAAACTTCAACATATAAAATGATTATGAATATAATGAAAAAAATTGAACCAAAATTTGAACATCGACAAAGAAAAACAATTGAAATGTTAGCTGATCTTGAAAAACGTGAAAGTCGATGTACAGAACATATTCTAGCTGATCGAAGAAGTGAACATGAAGTATATTAAACTATTCTTTACTCATATATATATTTCTAATTGCTTTTTTCATCAAAAGATTATTACTTTACGTGAACGTCAATCATCTTTACAAGATTGTTTACATCGTATTCGTGATCATGATATAGCATCACAGAATGTTAATGAACGTGTTCAACTTGAAAGAGATCTTATTGAAGTTAAAGAACGTCTTTCAAATTATGATCATACAATAATATCAACTCAATCACAATCACATATGACTTCAATTACATCTGCTGGTGATCGTTCAACAGTATTTACAATTTTTTTCTTCATGAAATTAAAGTTCAGTTTCTGTTTTGTCTAATAGATTGAACATCGAAATTTTATGCTTGTTAAACGTTTAACAATTCTTTGTGAACTCCTATCAACAACAATGCCAAATAAAATTTTACCACCATCATTTGTAAATTATGCACGAGATTTAGTAAGAAAAAAAGGAATTCTTTTTATAAAAAATTTTATTTGCATAAATCATATAGGCTGTATCAAGTCTTATGTCACTTGATATACAAGTTCGTCGTCATGCCGTTCGTGCATTAGGATTACTTGCAGTTTATAATAAACATCTTATGATGGAAAATCTTGAACTTATTAATAAAGTCGTAGAAAATGATGCATCAGTTGCAATTATTGAAGGTTTAAATGCATTGGGTGACATGTTTATTCGACATAATGCTTTAAATATGATGAAAAATACAAATAATAGTCGACAACTTATACAAGCTATTGAACAAGGATTTAATCTTATTGCTCAATCGATTGATAGTCGAGTAAATAAAATTAATTTTGTTTTTTCATAATAAAAATTAAATTTTCAGATTATAAATGTTCGTTTAACTGCTTTGACAAATATGATTAAATTATTCTTTGCTGGTCAAGTCAATAGTGGTGAAGCATTTGCTAAATTAATTGTTGCTTGGTATGATGAATCAACTGATATTCGTGTTGGTGGTCTTCTAACAACATTCTTTCCAACATATGCTGATAAATTTTGGTAGAAAAAAAATCAATTGTCTTTTTTTTATATAAATCTATCGATTTTTTTAAAGGCAAACTGATAAATATTTATTTAATGCATTACAACCATCCATTGATGGGCTTTTAAAAAATGATTTAACTAAACAAGAACCAACATTTGTTGCTGATGCAATCAAACTTTTTCTTCAATTACATCAAATACGTGAACGGGCAGTTCTTAATCATCTCATGCAAAATGCTCCATCATCATCATCGGATAATGATGGAATTGATGTTGATTTAAATGATCCAAATACAACAAATCTTGATTTAACAATTCATGCTCATTTAAATTGTTCAACTGTATCAACAAATAAACAAATATTAGATAAAGAAATTGTTGAAAAACAAAAACATGAAGTAAATATTTTAAACAAAAATAATCGATAGATTCATTTTATCTTGTCTAGGCTCGGTTAAAATATCATTTTTATATTGTACGTACAATACTAGGTCAATTAAAATCATCAACAAATGATGATCTTATACGTTCATTAGTTACAACATTAAATTTAATCGATATAACAACAGATGATTGGACAATTCTTAAAAATTTAAGAAGTAAATCAAAAAAAGTTAATAAAGTATGTTTCGAATTTAATTATTCTTTTGCTTTAAACTGTTTTTTTTAATTTCGTTTCTCTAGTATTTAACAGTTAGTAAACGAAAAGCTAATTTAAAATTATTTATTAAAAAATTATCAAGTCGTATTGAATTATTACGTGGATTTGATGATGATAATGATACAACACTGAATGAATCGACACTTGTAAGTTCATAAACATTTGATTTATTTATATTTATCGAGTTTTGCTTTTCGCTCTAGACTGATTCATCTCAATTAAATGCAACAGTTATTAGTTCAATTCCAGCACATGTTTCTAATGCAAATTCAACAACACCTGGTTCACCACTTATGGATACAGCTTTTCGTGGTCTTGGGAAAAAAAGTAAGTTATTTTATTTAGAAATTTGATTGACATGTTCCGATTTTTTATATAATAGAACGTATACCGAAAGATTCACTTCTTTCACAAACTTCTACGAATTCAATAATTGCACCACCAGCACCAGCAACTGTACCTATTCGTAATGAAAAAAATCAAACGAAACTTTGTATTACACCTGCTAAAAAAATGAATGATGAAAATGTTTCATCATCATGTTCATCACCTTCGTCAGAATCAGAAAATGAAGAAGCAACATCAGATATTGAAAATGAAAATCCTCAACCTCAATCTATCACATCAGTTAATAAACGAGCACGTGCAGATGCAACATCAACTGAATCACTTAGTCCACCACGTAGTAGTATTACAAGTACATCACGTATGATACTTCGATCAAGTGCACGTAAACAACAAGATTCATCACAACAAATTCCATTATCAACACCTTCATTACGTCAACAACGTAAACATCGTCGTATTGATCTTGATATTACTCCTTTAAATATCAATAATAGCAATAAGAAAAAACTACCGCCTACTCAATCATCAACACCTCAAATAAATAAATAAATAATTTCGTATGTGTGTACATATTAATATAGTTGTGTGTATTAATGTTATGTAAAAAACAAAATATCTTCAATAGATATATATATATTTTCTATGTTATATATTAGCAGCTTAATAAATAAAATTTTTTTTTTCGAAAGATGTTAAAAAGAGATGAAAGAAATATGTTATATTTAATCTGACTTCACTAATTCTTCATCAATCAAAATTTAGAGGGACGATGAATAAGTACTAACATCATACATATCAATGAATTTTTACTCAGTAATAGTTTTATTTATTTTACTAACTATAATATTACTATTTAATATTAGTAATCCACCTGATTTATGGTTCAATATACCTCATTTAAGTATTGATAAAATTTCATTAGCTGCAGACAATTTAAAAGCATCTATCAGCGTTTCTGCTAAGATTGCGAATCTTGTTTCATTTAATACTGGTGTTGATGTTACTATCGGTAAAATTAAATTAACTAGCACAGGTAAGATTTATATCAACAATTTTTATTAGAATAAAATTTATTTTTCTAGGTATTAATGCACAAGTACAATTAGCAATACATTTTGATAATATTGTCCGAATTATAAGTCGAACAATGGCTTCACTTGATCTTAATCCTTTTTTAGCATCAACTTCTAATACTGATTTTGAATAATTATCAACAAAATGGGTATTTAATTAAACAATATAGTTATCCATCTCAATCATCTGATCGTTCAACATCAGAAATTATACTCATCAACATAATATTTGATGTACATAGTCATGTTTTCAATACGAATGTTATCAACTCTCATTGAAATCGATTGATTCTACTTTTTTAATTATAATTTCATGATTGTTTCTTCCTTTTTTTCTGCGTTTTTGAATCAACAATTATTAAATGCAAGAGTATAATACTCTACTACTAAGTCTGTTGACGTTATATTGATTGATTTATTACGAAGATTAAGTGTTCCATGATGTAATAAAATCTTAGCACTATCAGTAAAATTATGTCTAACTGCATCTAATAATATTTATATTATTAACTTTAGCTTTAACCCACAATAGTGTTGCGCATTCGATTGATACTGAAGATCAATGAATAACTCAGTTGAAGTTATGTTTTTAAACATGCATTATCAGTGAAATACATCATAGAAATAAAAAATAGAATTTCCAAATTTTGTAATAATTTAATTTTCACAATAGTTTCTCAGTCATATTATTGTACTCTTTCATTGAACCTATTACAAATTGCAGTACACATTCTTGAAAACAATACAATTTATTTTTCTTATCGTCATGTAACTCTTATTGGAGAGTGAGTAATAGTTCAATATATTTAAGCGGAACAAAACATAATCATGAGTATATATAATTCAATTGTATTTGTACTGTTTATTTTAATTCGATATTTTTGTATCAAAATATTATATGCTCTGGGTGTGATTGTTCATTGTGTTTTCCCACATCCACACGTTCAAGATTGATTTAATAAGAGCATGCGTTCATTACATATTGGTATATATATTGCAGTCTTTTAACTTTTTCTTCGTCATACGAGACCTCGTTCGACACTATTACGATTCAACTCTATGGAAGTTATTCTTCTTCTCCATTTATTACAGAGAACACTCGTAAAGAATTAGAAACGTAAATATGTTTGTATAAGTCATTTATACGCATATATATATGTATGTTTATTATCTTACCAATCGACTTTGACCATTACGTTTTTATTATTTACAAACTTGTTCTCTATATGCGCGCTCGAGTCACTATGAACTAGAACTAATTCAAATACGAGTCAAAAAACATTCTTTTATTTGCTTATTAACTATTCTTTATAATTTCTTTTTTACAACTTCAATACTGTTTTTCATATTTTGAATATCCGGATGAGTTGAAGGTAATGCGCATTGTAATATGTTCAGAGCACGTTCTAAATATGAAAGTGCTTTCGAATAGTCTTGCACATTGTAATACAACTTAGCGATGTTGTTGTATGAAGTAGCTAAATCAGGATGATTTGACGGAAGAATTTTTTGGCAAATTTCAAGATCTTTTTCGTGATATGAAAGTGCTTTTGAGTACTCTCCCATGTTGTTATACACATTACCGATGTTATTGTTTGAAATAGCCAAATGAGCATGATTTGCAGGAAGAGTTTTTTCTTGAATTTCAAGTGCTTTTTTGTAATGTGAAAGTGCTTTTGAGTACTTTTTCATGTTGTTATACACCAAACCGATGTTATTGTATGAAGTAGCCAAATCAGGATGATTTGCAGGAAGAGTTTTTTGTCGAATTTCAAGTGCTTTTTCGAAAAATAAAAGTGCTTTGGAGTATTCTGCCATCTTGTAATACACTAAACCAATGTTGTTGTATGAAGTAGCCAACGAAGGATGATTTGCGGGATGAGTTTTTTGTTTAATTTCAAGTGCTTTTTCGTAATATAAAAGTGCTTTCAAGTACTCTCCCATCTCGACATACACCAAACCAATGTTGTTGTATGAATTAGCAAAATGTGGATGATTTGTAGGAAGAGTTTTTTCTTGAATTTCAAGTCCTTGTCTGTAATACCAAATAGCCTTTTCATAATCACCTTGATTCAAATGGACCAATTGCAGCTGATTGTAATAATACTGCTTTTCACCCTGATCAGATGTCTGTTCGAGTAATACGTTATAAAGTTCTTCGGCTTTATTAAATTGACCAATTTTAAGCAATAATTTACCCAATCTTTGCCATCCAGTACCACTAGCTTCTTTTTGTACCCGATTAGAAAGTAATCGTAATTGTCGATCATCATCCGATGTTAACTGTAATTCAACTTCATAAGGTTGATTGTTATTATCCATTTGTTTAATCGCATTCACTCGAAAAACTGTGTGCATTGAGAAGAGAATTTCTTCTTCGCTCTCAATAGCACTTACTTCTTTGATGGAGGCAAACGGTGTTGATTTAATACAAGGATCAATGGACATTATAAAGAGGATGCTCACCATATCCGGATTTGTTGAAGCACACTGAGCAAAATTGACCGGTACATCTTTACTTTTACTGGTAGATAAGAAGTTATTAAATGACAAAAGTCCACCTATTGTTTTTTGAAGTTTTTCAAAGTCTGATTTCATGAGACCTTGCCCTCGATAAACTAGAAAAGGTTTTTTATTATAGCTTTTAACCTGTTGTTCGTACAGCTGCTGAATTTGTTGATGCAGATGACACATAAAAAAACCCATAGTAATAATCGCATCGGCGTCCAATGTTCTGAGAGCATAATTGAGCATAAAAGAGATATTGGATGGGAAAGTGTACCACCAAATAGCTAATTGAGAACTGTATTCTTTCTCAAAACGGTCAATGTTAATTAGTGATAAGCTGTTGTTTTTTCGACAATAAGCAATAAACTGTTTGATCGCCTGCTCATCATATTTCATATCAAGAAGAATATCCTTGAATATCTGTGTATACATAAAAGTTGGCTCCAACTGATTTAAATTCTCAGTTGAAGCCATTTCTTTTAACGTGATAAAACTCATGGGCATTGAATCCTGGTCACATTGCTCAACGGCCGATTGTAATGCGTGACATATTTCTTTGATGTTTGTATGGACACCTTTGACTTTCGTCCAATTTTGAGCCCATCCCTCATGTCTGGGTTTGTCGCCACAGAAGATGTAAATTTCATCTAACTGTGGCATGTCATGAATCTTAGGAACCAGATATTGACCTAAGGAACCTGATGTTATGACAAAGACTCTTTCATTATCAACCTTGGTGAGTACTTGAATGCACTGATCCGGTTTAGTGCATAGGTTGACATGATTGATTACCTTCCTCAGCCTACCCAATGTGTCTTGACAATCCTTGTTCGTTTGGTCGATGCTAGCATCTACCCAGATGAGAAGGTACTTTGAAGCCATACATTGTCGTAGTTGACGAATCTCGGGTGATACTATTAATTTTAATGATGCAACAGCGTTTTCATTTGATTTTAATCCCCTCATTTTGATATTGTTATAATTTTTTGTTGAAGGTAAACTTGTCACTGGTGCTGTTGTTTGAATGAAAAGAAAGATTACCGTTCTTCTTTACATAGCTAGTGACTTGTTTTTTCTCGATTTTTCGTTATCGCTCAAGGACAAATTTTACCTAGTTACTTTTAAAAACAATATTACACAGAACAAGAAACAGAACAAAGCAAACACGTTTACTGGTAACATTATCGAAAGAAAGAACAAAACAAGTCAACAGTCGAACAAAAGTGCAAAAAGAGAAAAAAAACTTTGTGAAATTGTGCACATAGAGCATGTTTTAAATATTATGCCAAGGAATAAAAAAAATTGTGGACTTAATATTGATGAAAGTAAGATCGACGAAACTTTTCTAACTTATCAAATATTGTAAGAACTTTTTTGTCCTCTATCGAAACAAGCAAAATATTTCGTATACGATCATTGAAGAGTTTTATTAAGAATAGTTTTTAAAAAACACAAAAATATTAAGAGAATTTTTCATAATTTGAATATAAAATACTATTGTTAAAGAAAAAGAGTTATTCTGCACTCTTAAAGGTAAAAATGACTATTTCAACTGTTGACAGCAAATGAAAAAATAAATTTTCGTGAGGGTGTGGGTGTGGGTATGGATAATCTTTTTGTTCATCTACAAACCTATACTCACACCCTCATTCACACTTACACTTACACCCACCCCCACCATCTAGTAAATGATATCATATTGGTTCGATCAGCTGGTTCTTATTTAGAATCTTAGACTAGAATGTTATCTTGATTTTTTTGTGATAAATACTTTATTATGATGAATAAATAAATTATGATAAAAATAAGAAATACAATCATTGATAAAACAATTCGGAGAAATGCGGGTGGAGCGGGTTTAAAATGTGCCAGGCGCGGGCTGGACAGGGAATAAAAATAGAAGTTGCTCACGGGAACGGACAGGACGAGATTACTATCTACGACGGGCTTGGATCTGCGCGGCAGCAAAAAATACTGGCACGAACACCTCTGTTACAAATCGCATTGCTCTATCTTTTAATTTCATAAAATCATTATAAATTCCGTTAACACAGTGTTTCAATACACTTAGTTTTTCAGTTATTGTACGATCTGAATCAGTTAGACAATCTATTATTTGAATAATTTTTTGTAAGAGACCACGTAGACTGTTTTCTATATAATTAACATCGCTTGTAGTATTCTTCCGTTCGGAAACTCCCAGATGATAACCATAGACCACTCCAGCAATACCACAAATTATTCCTCCACAAACGGCTCCCAATATTGACACAATGATCACCACAGATAAGCTAACGAAGGTACCAGTCGCCAAAAACTCTAAAATATTCGATAAAGTATATTTGAATTTAAATGTAGATGAGGTATATGTATCATATTATGAAAGTTTATTTATAGATAGAATTTGTTCAAGCTAGAAAGAATCTGCAATGATCGATTCATAGCTAAGTATATATTAAACATATTGCATTTTTGTAAAACTTCCAGTGCAATACAATGTGGCTTATTGCAGTTACTAGTTTGTTTAGACAGCTCATTTTTCGATCACATTTAGATAAAGTTGATGCCGTTTAAAAACCTAGTAACTTATGAACAACAAAACTATTTTGAATAAGAAATATAGTGTCGCCTATAAACTATGATAATATACAGATATGACTATCTCACCTATTCTACCATGCTGTGATTGTTGATGCCAGTATAAACTTTCATCATAGTTATTTTGCATAGAAGTAATGATAGCAAGATCTTTATACGCAGCCAGACGTGATGGATCCTTTTCCGGAAGTTCATTTATACAACGATTGTAGTATTTGTAAGCCAAATCGAATTTGCCCATCATCCATAACACTTTACCCAATGTGTATAGAGTCGTCTTTTCGGTACCTATTTGTTTCTTCATGCGTTCAAGAATTGGCTTCAAACTGTGTTCATCATCACTACATAAGGACATGTGAATGTTCCAGATTTTATCGCCATCACGATTGATGAAATTGATACGAAAAATAGAACCAAGCATAAAAAGTACCTCTGCTTCGTCAGTAAAATGGCTAATCTTACTTATGTCAGCAAATGGTTTTGTCTCGACTACTGCAGGATCCGCAGTGATCACGAATAGAACTCTTTCTAAAGTATCATGTTGACCTGCGCCAGGGATATACATTTTAGCTACTTTACGATCGGTAGTAGTAGAAAGAAACGAGTTCACAGAAACAAACTGGCCAGTGTTTTGCCGAAGATATTCTATTTCAGCGTTTGACATTAACTGGCATCGATAAACTTCAACCGGACGTTTTAGTTGATAACGTTGCAACTGATAATACATGTGAGAAATGTACGAACGATACAGGATAATCATGTTAATATTTTGTTTACGTAGAGCCTCGTTTAGAGTCTTGCAGAAAAAAGAGCCTTTGGTGTACCACCACAAAGCTCTGTCGGATGAATACTTATTTTGAAATTCACGAAAACATTCTAGCTCAATTGGGTCGTCTCTGTATTCTTCCTCACAGCAAGAGATAAGTTCATTTTTATCCATTTCATTAGATTCTAATCGGAGAAGAGTGTGGATAAGTAACTGAGAAAAAGCAAAGTTGCCATTGATTCCTGTTGTTGACTGGCCTGCGTCAAATATGTTGATCGTCAATGGTTCTCCGACGTTCCATCGATTTCCACGATATTCATGAGTTTGAGATATTAGTTCATCGGATTCACCATTAACGTTCGTTGCCTAAAATGATGATATAACATGAATAATACTTGTTAGAATAATCTTACCATTGTAAACTTGTATGCCCAGCCTTCGTTAATTCTCTTGTCTTTGAACTTAATCTAAATTGTAGAGACATGTAGAACTTGATGAATGAAAGGCACTATTTATCGATCCAACTCACCACTAACGATGAGGATAAATCGATCGCGTCTTTCTATGTTTCTTTTATGTAATTTTTGAAATCTTCTACATCGTGAAAGGTATGGGTAAAGGAAAGACAAACAAACTCACTCATCCATCAAAAAGATTAAGTATGAAATGACTGTAATCAATAAAATATCTAAGTGTACGCACTTTGAAGGTTTTTTGTTATCTACTTAGACTATTGTGTCACGAAATGTCAAGATCGTGTTTTATTAGTGACTACTCTGTAAAAAAAAGGTGTCATAGTGAACCAGAAAAGATTTTAGCGAAGAGCTAGAACCCTTTATGGTTCTAGATTTGAGTACTATTTTCAGAACCTTGTTTTAAGTTCTAGAAAAAAATTCTAAACCCTTTTTTCGGTTTCGTATATCTTGGCTAAAACCATTTTAAGTTCTAAATTTTTTTGCTGACACCTAAGAAGGTTCTGAAAATGGTACCGAAATCTAGAACCATAAAGGGTTCAAGATGGCAATTTTTTTTACAGAGTACTCTTAGCACATACTGGCATCTTACTCAGTGGTAAACGCAAATCAAAACATATTAGAGCTGTCGGCACCAGTGGCTTGTCGAACTACCCTTTAACGAATAAGTGAAATATTAGTAATCTTATACGCAAGAAAGCTAACAGTATATGATCGCCACACTGTGCGGTACAAGCAGGGGAGTATTTGAATACCCATAAATATTCATTACCCAAAAACTCGGTTTCTATCAGTCCACGTCACTTCTCCCGATTCACCGCCCACTGTCCCCTTCAGTAGTCTGAGCAAATGAGGCGCACATTTGAACTCCCCGCATCCAAATATCTCTAGAAATATCTATTCCAAAAAATCGGTCTTCGATATTTTTTTGACCTCACCTCTTCATCCCCTCCCCCGCACCATAGTCGCTCAACAGACCTCAGATTCGAAGTCCCTGCATCGAAATACCTCGAGAAATGTTTTTTCTGAAAAATCGGTCTTCGGTGTTTTTTTGACCTTGTGGACAGGGGCGGCGGAGCCTCATTAACCTAAGTGAGGCTCACAATATTTTTTTTTACTGTAAGCTTTTATTAAAACATAAAGCAAAATATAAGTCTTCTTTTTATTTGACCTCAGTAAAAACTATAACGGTCATCGTGACAATAAAACAAATCAGAACGTATCAAAAAATATCTTTCTCTGTTCGTTCTTCGATGCAAAAGTTGAACAGAAACTTTTCAGATCAATAGAATCTGTCTTTTCTTTGTATACAGGATGATTGAAAGGTAACTCCCTATTTTAAATTCTTTATTACTCTCATACAACAAAAGATATCGTCCACAAAATGGCATAGTCCATGCTTCAGGATGGCGAAAAAAACAGGACGATATCTTTTGTTGTATGAGAGTAATAATGAATTTAAAATAGGCAGTTAACTTTCAATCACCCTGTATATATGTGTGTGTGTATGCGCTTGAAAAAAAACCAAACGTTCTGGAAATAAAACATATAGACGAAATAGGGAAAAGCTAAACATACGGACAAGAAAACACGTAACAAATGAGGAAAATATCTAAGTAGAAGAAAAGAAAAAAAAACATGATGTATATATATAAGCTGTATGTGGATATCTATACGATAGAAGAATAACGAAAAGAAAAATACATAAAAAATAGGGGAACCGCATTATAAGATAGATATGTCAGAACATATATCTAATTATGTTAGATGCCGAATATAACAAATTCTAATAATAAAAGATAATATTCAATCCAAAAATAGGTGAGGCTGAGCCTCAAGGACTGAAAACTAAGTGAGGCTCAAGCCTCGTGAGCCTCTACGCTCCGCCGCCACTGCTTGTGGACACACAAGCAAGCAGGCAAACAAGCAATTTATGTTTACTGGACTCTTCTGTACGAGAAAGAAAATAAGTATTATTGTCTAGACTAGAGGAATATGTCAACAAATCCGGAAACAAAAAAATCTGAAAATCTAAAATCCGGAAAAGAAAAAATTTGGAAAAACAAAATCTGGAAAAGAAGAAGTTTGGAAAAGAAATAAAACATGTCGATACGTTTTTTTTCTTTTTCTGTGCCTCTTAATAGAGGTCTGTGAGATAGTGGAATAATCTATATCATCTAACAGAGTATGGTAATGAAATTATCCATATCTTCTAACGGTGTGTCATGGTGTTTTTCCATTTCTGTTTTGGTTTGGACCAACACATACACATATATATAGCTGTCGTTATACGTATGTGTTATATATATATATCTTCATATATCTTTTCATCTTTCGTTCTCTCTATCTGTTGTTTCTCTCTTTCTCTTCTTCAATGAAGATACCTTTTCCGAAGATCGTATTTTATTGAAACTCAGGACGTAAGAAGGTCAAAGAAACAGCTATTCATATGTTTTGTATTCACGCATCCCTGGTTACCTTTGTATTATCCGCTCTCTCGCTCTGCGTTCATACTATTATGTTCTCTCTCTGGTACTATTTTAGGTACTCGCTTCTACGACGACGACATCGATCGTGTCGAACTTCTCGACGGACTCTTTCTATTGGTAGCTTTAAAGAAATAAACTTCTTATCGAATTGTCTTTCACACCTTCATTATTTCTAATTGTAAAATAAATTAATAATACTCATTTCTAGAGATTATTCAGTTTATAAAAAGAGAATACCATATAATATAATAATTCAAACAAAACTTCTAGGCTATGATTAACTTAAATTTAATAAATCACATTTCAATTTCACTTATCTATAATCTAATAAATAAATCGTATATTACTAGTTTAAATTTTCGGTCTAAAGGAATTGATCTATTGAATTAATATCACCAGTACATGAATTTGACTTCATTTTAGGATAATCGTGATTTTAATATCGAGTAAAACTCAAATACCATCTGTAGTTTGCTCTGCTTTGTGTCTACAATATGTTTGTGACGTCAATACTTTTAAAGTCACTAATGGTTATGATAAATATAAATATTTACCAATTGAAAACACACCTCCACAATATTTTCTATAGTATTTTTTTAAAATATCAATTCATATTTTACACATAGTTATTTTCGATAAGAACAGTTCTTATTACATATATATAGATAATAGACACAACTGATTCATATAGTACAATATAAATTAGGCTTTCTTATAAATAAGACAATTTCACAGCGTTTGCAAAAGATTTTTAATCGAGTTTTATTTGACATCAAATTATTACTCATTTTCTATTGATATTGTTGATGGCATGATTTTTTAAATTTGATATACTTCCGATAAAATAGTGGGACATTCCCTTGTTGGAGAAAAAATAGTTTCCCAGAAAGAAATCAGATAGATTTACTTCCTAGTTGGAAATTCCGTTAATACATTTTAGTTTATCGTCAAAAATCATGTTTATGATAAACAACATCGACTTTTCGCTGACTTTTTTCAATATTTATTCAATAAAAACATGAATTAATCGATTGACTATTTACTTCCTAATTTTGATAAATGATATTTTTATAAATATGATTTCAATTTTAAATAAATGATCTAACTTTTGAATTATTATGACATATTTGTGATATGATATTGATATTATTTTATTAAAAATTTATGTATTTGAATGACGCAAAACCTCAATATTATGTTATTTCTCCTCCGCTCTGTATGCACTTTTTCTTAGTTGTGACGTACGCAATACGATCATATGTTCTTATACATATTGATTTTGGTGTAACGAATAGACAAAATCAACTTATGAGTTAGTCAGTTTTAATGTCATGAATTTTGCTTTTGTATCAATAGATTAAAAAAAGTTTGACTCATATTTTTTTTTCGTTCTCTTTCGTGCTTGGAATAAGTGGAAAAAATACGAGAAGAACGAAAGAATATGTATATATATATACTCCCATACGAGTAAATATAGAGTATCTAATACTTAAAAGCACTTGAAGTAACACACCCTACTATTATTAATACTGACAAATGCAACGAAAATATTCTATACATTACTTTTACAATCAAAATGATGCTCAACCATATGATGTCTATGTGACAGGAACGACTTCATCTACTAGTGATCAAGACAAGGATAAGAAACGACCTAAACGATGATATGAATTAAATACAAACTTCTGGATTAAATCTATACAAATAGAAGATTAACTTCTGTAATGAACATGATCAACGGCATATCTCAAAGCAATGGAATGGACACATATTAACTGAATATTATAAGATTGTTTTTTTTTGTATCTGTTGTTAATAATTTTTATTTAATCGACAATGGGAAATGTATAACAATTAGACTAAGAAAAATCTTGATTTTTTTCAAGAAAATTACGTATTCGTTGTGCATCTTGTCTGATTTTTTCATCATCAGGTGATAATGTTAGAGCTGCTTCATAATCAAGAAGTCCTAAAACGCATCAACATAGCAAATCATTTAGAAACTTTAGATATATATACCTTCAGCATAAAGTTCTAATTCACAAAAAGCAGTACCACGACGGACATGTGCTTTTATTCGTTGTGGTAAATTATCAAGTACAGGTGGATCAAGTAATTCAAGTGCCTTACAGAAAAAGAAAATACAAATACAAAATTAATAAATTAATTAATATATATTTACACGAGAACAATCTTCAACACACTTCATCATATTTCGTACTTGAAAATGGCATGCACCACGATTTGAATATAATCTTTCGAAGAAAAAAAAGAATCATAAATCTTAAGTAAAATAAAGAAATTGATTTATTACATAGCCACTTTAGGAAAAATTCGAATAGCATGACTATAAACACCAATAGCAGATTGAAAATTACCTTGTTGAAAAAATTGACTATGAGCAACAATAGATAGAAAAAAATCGAATAAATGAAAATAATAAGAGATTTACTTTGCTTTTGTTTTAAGATAATCAATATCTTTCTCATTTTCAGATAAATCAAGTTGAAGATCTGTATTATATTGACGACTATCTATTTGTTTTCTTAACCACTATTGTATACATATATATATATAGAAAAAAAGAAATCTTAATGAAATTTTTACATACCTCATCTTCCATTTCTGTTTGAGATTCTCGAAGAGGTGTAGGAAATACACGTGATGTAAAATTGACAGCTATACGACCTGTTTCTCTTAATGGTGCAGTTATCTTTGGTTCTACATTAATTCGTGAATTTTCTTTTGAAGTATTTTCTTCAAAAATTATTTTTTTCTTTTCTATTTCGTCGACTTTTTTCTGTGATTGAACTTCATGTACATGATTTTGTATTGCTACTTGTCGTTGAATTTTTTGATTATCTTCAAATTGTTTCATTTCATCACTAATTTTATCACGTTCAGTTTTTTTAATCGTATCAATTCGATTACGTTCATCTTCCTCTAACTACAATTCAATAAAAAAGAAAATCTTTGAATGATGTTCAGCGTATAAATAAACGAAAAACCTTCATTTGTTCACGAACAGCTTCACGTTTATTTGTATTCAATAATGATGCATTTGCTTCATTACGTTGTTTTTGTTTCTCTGCTATTTGTCTTAATGCATCTTCTCGAACAATTTTCATTGCTTCTTTATCATCTAAATAGAATAAGAAAAATATATATATTTATTAAATAAAAAATTCTAAATAACCTGATTGACTATGTGAAAGTTGATTCCATTTTCGAGGATATTGTTTTGTTAATGTTGCTTCAACAAAACCATCTTGTATAATAATTCGACTTTTATCATCATCAATAAGATCATGAAGAAAAACTTCATAGAAATATGGAGAAAATGAAACTTTAAGATATTGATCTGATGAAAGTACATCGAGTTTAGTTGCTTTTGCACCTTTCATAGGAATATGTAAAACTAAATTTGTATCAGTTTCTTCCCAATTAATATCACGAATAATAACAGGCATGATTTATAATATAAACTTTATCTATTCAATATGAAATTGAAATTTTTGACCATGCGTGGAAATCATAGTTGTCATGAGTAAACCCTCATTCATAGAAAAATAGTGACATCTACAAAAGATTTTCATTTCTATTTGAAGAAAATGGAACCATCCGGAATTGTTAGATTATAAACGATCGGCGTGTCATGTCATATTCAATCGTCGATTTATAATTTAGGATTAGAAAAAAAGAGGCGGAGAAGGGTTTATCGATATTAAAATTGTTGTAGAAAATATGAATATTTTTATTATTAATTCTAATTTCAGATGGCTCAATGGTTGACAAAAGTACAGCAAGAAGCCGATAAAACTAATAATTTACTTCTTCGAGGTAGGAAATATTATTTATTTTTATATAATATTCATCTAGTTTTTTTCCTTTTCAGAATTCTGTCAACAACTTTCTGGTAAAAATTTCTTTCTTTATTGTAAATTTAAAATAATTATTTTCAATTAGATTATCTTTCTCATGGAACAACACTACATTATGGAAGGTAAATTTAATTATTTAGAAATTATACATATACTATATTTTATATCTAGAGAAAAAGTACTTGAATTTATTCGAAGTTGTCTGGAAACTGAAACACAACATATTGGAACTCTTGTTAGTCGAGGATTCGAGGTCTATATTTATTTTTTTTTACATAATTGATATAAATGTATATATGTTGTAGAAATTAATCTTGGAAGAAGAATCATGTCGTGAATGTACATTACAAGAAAAACAAGATTTTCTTCAATATATATTCGATGCATTTCCTAATGGTTCACCACTTGTTGAACGTGAACTTGTTGGTTCTATTCGAGTTCGTTCAAGCAAAAAAAAGAAATTTTCTTTTTTCTAATTAACTATTTCTTTTAGTTAATATTAGAGATTGTTCGAACTCAATGTCCTGTTTTATCTGGACATGTTCTATGTAAATTGATTCAAGTAAAACGTTTATATTTCTAATAAACGAATAAAACTAATCTTTTATATATATAAATAGTTTACATTGGGTGTTTTACGAACAACAAATTCTGATTTACGACGAGAAACATGTCAATTATGTGCATCGAAACTTGAAGCTTTTTATAATTTCCGACCATTAATGCCAAAAGAAGTAAATACAAATATAATATTTTAAAAAAACAAACGAATTATTTTATTTTAGGAACGTCAGTATACAGATGATGGAAATATAATTTTGAATCAATCGGAAATTGATTATTATCGACAATTATTAACATTAATGGAATATCAAACAACACTTGTTAATGAATTATCTCGAAAACAAGATCAAACACTTCAACGAATATTTGTACTTGAACTTCATGATTTATTGATAAGATCATTATCACGTACTGTTTATTTTTATCAACCATTTATTGATTTTATTTGGTAAAAACAATTAATCTTGATAAAAACAAAAATCTATCTTATTATTTATTGTTTAGGAAAAAATATTCTCCGGCTGTTATTTCTTTTCTTGGTAGTCCAATAATTGATGCTCGTTGTATTATGTATGTAAAAAATAATGCATCTGATCCACATCTACGACGAACAGTCTATAGAATTATTCTAAATTTAATTTGCTTTATTGCACCTATTGGTTCATTACGATCTGTAAGTGAAACACTTTTTCAACGTTTATGTTTATCTCAAACAACAAATGAACGACTGGATTTACTTATTGTATTAAATGAAGTATAAGAAATCTTTGATAAATATTCTTATACTATTTATCATTCATAGGTTATTACAAGTCGTTCATTAATCTCCGTTATATCACCACCTTGGATTCATTCAACCGAAGCAACGAATGATTCTGATTTAAGTTTATTTCGAAAGTAAGATAAGAAATAAATTAAATGCGAATTAAATTTGTTATTTTCTAGAATTATTTCAATAATTGCTGAATGTTCATCATCAGATGATCGAAATTTAGTTAACAATGCTTATCTTTGTCTTAATCATTGTCTTGAACAATTAATAAAATTTAGTACGGAAGCATTATTTTTTGATAGTGATGAAGAACAAGCAATTCGTAAAGCATATAAAAAATTTGGTTATCCAATTGTCCCATTATTTATTGATACAAATAATATTTTAAATTTAATTAATAATGAAAATATAAATACTGCTGAACAAGAAAAGGAAATTTGTTTAACAGCTGAATCAACAACATTAGATAAAGTTAAATTTTATGTTAATCATTTGAAAAATCTTCTTAAAACAAGTGATCAACAACATATCACAAGTGTATCAGATTTTGATGATGCTCTATTACAATTTTCATCATTTATTAGTAATGGTAAATCCTTTTTATAGTTGTAGTTTTTCTTTTGCAACGATTAGTCTTGTCTATAGAATATTCATCAAAAATGTCATTTTCATTTGATACATCGACAACCATTGTAACAAATCCTGATGGAATATATGCAACAACAATTTGGTTTTTATGGTATTGTTGTCGAAGACAATTACAACAATTATTTGATTCGAATATATCATCAACTATTTCAAAAGTAATTTCTCTTTTTTTTTGAACTAATGTTATATTATTTTTCTCTTTTGAAGAGTTCATTTATAACTGATATAATGAATAGTGGTTTGATGCTTTGTATTGAACCTGATTGGATGGATACATTATATGATATGTATTATGAACAGTTTAATGTTTTTGATAATCTTTCAGAACAATTTAAAACAGTTCTTCATCAAATGTTAATAGATATTCGTCCGTTTAATATTCGATCAATGAAATCTGCTATTGGAGATTCAACATCAAAACATGATGCACGTTCAACAGGTATCACATTTTTTTTGAAAATTAAAATATAATAAAAGGGAGTGATCGAAAATCACTATTTTTTCCTCACGCTAGAGATGTCATAATACGAAAGTCCTTGTCATCTAGATCTACTGGATAGTTCCATGGGATGTCGAACACAAAATACACGAAGTATTCAGAAAAATTTTCTCAGAAAATTCTCTTTTCCCTCAAACCTTGTAGAGCTTTTTTCGCTGATTATTTTCGTATCAGGAAGTTTTAAACTCTATTGAGAAATGACGAAGCTATCATCAAAATAAGAAACGTAGTAAAAACCCATTTTTTTCCTTATAAAATATAGGAAAAAGTCGAGTCTCTGATCTCGAACCGGCTATATTCCGAAGAAATATAACATAGTAGGTTTTGTAGAGAAAAATTTCTTATGTTTCATAAGGCGAAATGAAATTTTAAGCTGTTTTACTATGTTTTTATTTTGACGATAGCGTCGTCATTTCTCAATAGAGTTTAAAACTTCCTGATACGAAAATGATCAGTGAACAAAGCTCTACAAAGTTTGAGGGAAAAGAGAATTTGCTGAGAAAATTTTCTGAAAACTTTGTGTACTTGTATTTGACACTCCATGGAACTACTCTACAGAGACCTAGATACCCCTTACGAGAAAGACTGACAAAAAAGGGATCAGATCTAGGTGACAAAAACTTTCGTATTATGACATTTCTAGCGTGAGAAAAAAATAGTGATTTTTCGATCATCCTCTTTATATTATTGTTATTATTAATTAGCACTTTCGGTTTGTCATCGTTTGGTGCAAATGTGTTGGAGTGCAATATTAGGTGCATTAACACCAATGCTTACAAAAAATCATTCCATAGATTCCGATCTAACATCATCAAATTTAATTTTATCAAATACAATTAGTGAAAAACTTATTGAAACTCATGAACTTGTTTTTCAAAGTTTAAAATTAGTTTTTCAATTAGCTGTTACTGTTGGTTTACCAAATAATGCTTGTTATGTTCTTCATTGTGTGGTTAGTACAATTGAACAAGGTTGGATTGTTGAGAATCAAAAAAAAATATTTACAAAACATAATCGTCTTCATTATCTTGATGTAATGGCAATTAATTTTATTCTTCAATTATATATGAATGATATTAATAATTGTCCAAATATAACATATAAACATATTTTAAGGTAGATTAATCTATGACAAACAGAAAAGAATATTTTAATAACGATTATATATATTTCTATAGATGTTGTGTTCATTTATGTCTCTTGGAAATGCAATGTTGTCCTCCAAAAGAAAAACTTGATTTAACACTTCATCAACATGGACATGTTTCATGTGAACTTAATAATGGTGTATCATCATCGTCAAATGATTCATCAACTTCATCTCTTCTTCAATTAAATAATATTGATAAAACTGGTCATATTCATGATAAATCATGTGCAAATATTCTTCAAGCATTATCTTGTCGTTCAGACAAGTAAATATTTTTCTATTGATTTTATACATAATTTTAGAAAATAAATTTTTCTTTTAAAGATTATATGAACTTGTTGTTCGTCAACTTGATCTTGATTCATTACTTGAATTTTTTGAACAAATTCGTTTATTAACTGAAACACCATTACAAAAACGAACATCGGATATATCACCATCACTTTTACAAAATCTTTTTCCAATGCATGTCGTCATTGAACGAATAGGTGACATGACATTAGGTATTATTGCATCACTTCGACCACGTTATCATGTTTGTAAAGTATGGAGTTGTGTATCTCAATTATTCATTCAAGTAATTTCCAATATAAAGATAAAATAAGTAAATTAATATTTTTTTTTTGGTGTTAGGGAGCAACACATCACGATATTCAATTAGCAAAACGTACAATTTCTCATATGCATCGAGATTTACGTTCATGGCTTTCCGTTCGACCTGAATATCCAAATTTTCAATTAAATGAAACATTTTTCAAACCATTCGAACATTTAATATGTACAGAACAATGTGATAGTATTGTCGAAAATCAAATTGTTAATTCAATATGTGAACTTGTTGAATTAAATACAAATGCAATAATGTCAGGTTGGCGTTCAATATTTGCTTGTTTAAAAACTGTTAAAATTGAACAACATCGTCGTTCAATTGGAATAAAAAATTCAACAATGAAAGAAACAAAAACTGATGAGGATGAAACTGAACAAGCTGGTGTTGAATTATATCGTGTTAATGCGATATTAGAAGTTCTTGAAGCATTTTTTTCATGTGAAAATCTTAATGTTATTGCACAAGCATCTGTTGATTGTCTTCAATGCTTATTTTGTTATTTACGTGAACCAGAACCATTTACACCAATGGTTAATAGTCCATTTGGTGATAGTTTTGATGAGAATGATGAAGAACATAATCAAATTGAATTGGTTATGCCTGCATTAAATATGATACAAAAATTTACAACAATATTTGTACATTGTTTTGTTACATCATCAAATCATGTTTTTGCAACAAAAAAACGAACTCGACAATTTGAATCAACATCATTTACATATTCAACATTTTCAAATTTTTCTCCATCATTTTTCTCCTATCTTGATTTATCCATATCATCGGATACAATACTTCGTTCATTTGAACTTAAACTTGTTGGTTATATGAGACAATTATCAGATGATCTTGATCTTATTGATAATACAACACATCTACTTAATGTTTGGTCATATATGATTGAAGGTCTTACTGATACAATATTTTCATGTTCAAATCATTATCATACAAAAATAATTGATCAATATTTTCTTATTTTAAAATTAACCTATGATAGTGTTGGTCATCGATTTTCAATTTATCTTATTTGTTGTGTTATTATTCCATGGTTACAATCATTTGTATGTTCAAATTTTTTAAAAATGACATCATCATTAAGAAAATTAACCATATTTCGACGACATGCACAACGACAAAATTCAACATTTATGAATATTATTGCATGGCGTTTATTTCTTGGAAATTTACTTGAACATATTTTGTATATATTTGATATGGCGAAAGAATTTGAAGAATATCATCATATTTTATTTGATTGTTTTCAATCGATGTTAATTGATTGGCTTTGTGTTGCTAATGAATATGTTGGTCGACTTGGTAAATATCCATTCTAAAGTATTTCCCTATATTTTCTTATTATAATAATCTTTAGGTTTATCATGTATTAAACATCTGATTACAAATATATCAAAAAAATTTGATCCATCACTTCGATCAATCTGTATTGATAATCTTCAACATGCTCTATTACTTACATCTTTACCAACTGAATATTTAATCTATGAATTTCGTATTTCATCCCCCGAAGATCTTCTTCGTAATGTACGTGTTTATGTACAAAATGATTCGAATTCATCTCAATCATCATATGGAATGGCGAATGGTGATAGTTCAATTTTTCCACTTTGTCAACAACTTTTCAATGAACATCAACAACAACCGCAACAACAACAGAAAATTCCTGAAGGAAAATTCTTTCGATTTACATTTCGAACGGTGACAACATCAATAAATACTGATCCTAGTCCACATGAAATACAAATGAAAACATTTGTTTATTTAAATTATTTTCATTTACAATTAATACATATTATTGGTGAATTAAATTGGCCGGAATTCACACCTTGTTTAAGTCAAACAATTGATTTAGCAGAACGATTTGATTCATTTTCAAATCATTTTGGTTTAAGAAATATTTTACAACAATTATTTATTTTTGATCCACCAGCTGTCACATTTCAACATGTGAAACGAGTTGCATTTCAATATCTTGTTGATTATTTAATGCGTGGTGTTAAAGATGAACTTGTTAAACAATCAATTGATTCAGCTAATCTTAATTTACAACAAGTAAAACTAAAACTAATTTAATTATATTTTAAATTTTAATTGATGTTTTTGTTTAGGAAAATAATGAATTAATTGATAAAGCTAATGATGAATATGAATCATTTCCAGAAACTTCATCACCTCAACAACAACAGTTCGTTGGAAATATTGAAAAGAAGATTGGATTTTTTGGTCGATTTGCGACACATCTTGCTGCTACATCATATAATTATATTGATTTATTAAAATTACTTAGTGATGGTATTGCTGATTTACTTTTTACTGGCTCAAATCAACTTGAAACACATATAGAAGTAATACAAGTTCTCATATATTTAGATTTCATCTTGATTTTATTATTATAGACTGATCAATATGGATTATATCTACTAAGAGCAGATCAAGATTTACTTGATAAATTTCTTCCATCGACATGCCAAATAGTTTCAAGACGATCTTCAATATCAGAAAATGAAATAGAATATTTTATTGTTAATCAAGATATGATTTGTCGTGTATTAAATGATCATAAAATAATACGTAAAGTAGAAACACCAACATCACCATCACCTGCTCAACGTAAAAGTTCAACAATTCCATCACCATCAACTCATCAACGATTCTTTTCACAATCTTTATTGAATGAAAATACAAAAATAAATACGTAAGTTGAATTTTGTTTTAATTTAAAACTAAATAAATTATTTATTTATATATTAGTGATGATCAACGTTCATTACAAGAAACACTTTCAGCACGAAACACTGAACATATATCAATTGCTCTTAAACTTTATGTTGATGGATGGAATGATTTATGTTTATATTTAGCTAAATCATTACAAGAAAATGGTTGTTGGTTTTCAACAATAGGATCTGGTAATAGTCTACTTATGCCTTCACTTGAACGATGGTTATTTGTATGTGCAACGAATGCTTCAAATCGACAACTTAAAAATTTACTTTTGGATATTTTAATGAAATATGGAGGAAAAGATTCAATTGTAACACGAACATAAATATGTGAATATATATATATATATACGTATGTTACAGATCTGATAGGTTAGTCAATAGACACATCAAACTAACATAGTGAGTCGTATTTTTGTGCAATATAGTCAACTATACATGTGAATGTGTATTTTTTGTTTTTGTTTTGTTCTCATTATTATTATAGTAAACGTTTTATTTTATTTTATTTGTATGTGGGATATATTATTTTTATGTTCTGTTTGTTTTGATGGGATTATTTAACGAAAAATAAAAACGTTTGTGTCGGTCTTATGTGCATTATCAAAGATTATATGAATATTTGAAACTGATTTCGAAATATTGCATATATAAGTCAGTAAGAGAGGATTTTTGAAACTACTAAAAAAAAAAGTTTTTTTTTCTGTTATGTAGTTTGTTTTGAGAGTCTAAAATAAGTTTTCATAGTTTCAGTAGAGCACTGAAAGGCACATCCTTGGGTAAAAAAATATTTGATCAAAAGAACTTGTTTGATTTGTGTTTATTTTTGATTTCTAGTGGTTTAATTGTTTTCAAAATAATATCCAAGATCACTAGCGAAAATTAAAAAAATTGCAGGTGAAAGTTACAGTCTTCTGCATAGTACAAGGCATAAACTTCTGACATTCTGATGAAATAGTATGGAATATATTCAATAATCTATATTAGTTTCAAAGTATTTATTTTCACTGAATGGTAGAATCATAAATATTAAAACTATTTCAAAACTTCAATAACATCTTGTTGATAGAAAACGAGAATACTGACTTTGAACGTTCCACTTCGAAACAGCTGCAAGGCGTGCTTCTATTTATTGCAAGAAAAAGTATGATATGAGAAATAAATACTCAAAGATCAGTAAAAAAACTGAATCGTATCTAACAACTGTCTTTGAAAATGCCTGGAGTATTTCTATGATATTGTTCAAATGAGTTTTGAAAGTCAGTGAATATTATAATGATCCAATCAAGTGGAGTCATACGTCTACTTTGGTAGATCATGGACATAAAATCAATACTTTGTTGCCTTCTCAATGGTGGTCAACGATCAATTCATCTCAGAAGTCATTCACATCATCTCAAATAGTATTCATGAGTTAAAAAAACGTCAAAACTAGCAGTTTCATTTGGTTTTCTTTCTTTTATTCAACTATAATTAAAATAATTGGAAAAGTGATTTTCTTGTCTGTCTTCTGAAAATTTCCAGTGTTGATGATGTTTTTCAATTTCTTGTATCAACAATAATAGATTTAATACTAACTTAGACTAAATAGTGACGCACTACAAGAAACGACATTACTTTACACTTTCTCGTGAAAATCAAGCTACAGATACGTGAATACACAGTTAATTGAAGTTGATATCGGTTACAAATCAAATACTCGGATGAAATTTCAATAAACTATATCATTTAAAAACTGATTGGAAATTAGAAACGACATAAACTAAAATCTGATCTTCCGCTGTTTCTTTGTATATGTGAATACAGTCTGAAATGATGTAAATAACTTCTGACACGAGTTTATTGTTTAACATTATTTATTAAATCACCACTAAAACAAATTGCTGATTTTGTTATATATTTTTTAACAAATCACATGTATGACTATTCTCAATTAGATCATTATAATATTCACTGACTTTTTCAAAGTCATATATACAATGTACTATTCACGGACTTTTTAAAACTGAACTATGATATTTTAATATTCACTGACTTTGAAGAAGTCATTTAAACAACACGATAAAAACGCTCAGCTCATTTGGAGAGACAGCTGGGAGATACGATTGAATATTTTCTTGAATTTTGAATATATCTCTCTCTTATAGTATGATTTTTCTTACAATAAATGAAAGTAGGCCTTACAGCTGTCCCGGATCGTAGTGCTCGAAGTCAGCATTGTCGTACGGACATATTTAAAGAGAATGAAATCTTAAAAAATAATTGCAGTACTGAGTTTTACAATCATGATGTGGAAGCGTCTTTATGTATGGCTGGGGAAGCTCAACTTGTACGAAACCGATAACTCTTTGACAGTCGATGATCAATTGTTAGCAACTCGATTGTTCATTATTCTTCTGAATATCTCAGTTGTCATTGTCACTTTGTTTGCAACGTTGAACATGCAAACACTCGTCGGAACTGTAACATCACCTTCGGTCGATCAATTTGAACATCTGAACGATGAGTATCCAAATACTCTCGTTTGTCTTTGTTCACAAACCAATATTCGCTATGATCAATTTATGTTATTCGATCCACTTTATCATCAAGTGTGTTCAAGTCAATTTATCTCTCAACAATTCATTTCAACACTGTTCAGCATACATATGTCTGGATTTTCACCACTAGATTTTCGTCTGATGGCTATGTCTCAGGTTCAGATCTTAGCATTGTTGTGTCAAACAACGGCATGGACTATTAGTAGTGCTCTGAATCAATTTCTGACACAACAAATGGTTACCAGTCAAGCTCTATCACGTGAAGTATTCGAGGCTGAAGTTGAAGCACTTGTCGAACAAATGCAAACGACAACAATAGCAAATATGAAATACATCGATCAGCTGGTGTCCCTGGTTATTCTCAACAATGGAATTATGACAGCTTTGAATACCAATCGTTATCTCGTTCAGAATCCAGCAACATCAACTTACTATGCTCAGCACGGACGTTACCTAGTTGGGAATTATAGTATCAGTAACACCGCGAGTGATAGCTATTGCGATTGCCAGCTCTACTCAGACTGCACTTTTCAAGCTGGTTATTACAACTATTCTATTCGTCCTGGAGCGCAACAGAATAGCGAATATATACCCTCGCCACCGCCAATGTTTATCGTGCCTGGTATGATGGTTGGATGTCTGCCTCATGATTCAATGCTCCAATCGACACTGGAGTGTTTTTATAATCGTTCATGTCTCGATCTCATTGGTATCTCGCAAGCAATCATCCCACTCAATGCGACTGTTTCGTCTCGCTTTCAAGTCAATACAACCGTAAATACTATGTTCGAACAACTCTTCGTCGAAACATGGCAAAATTCGAGTAATTTCACTAGTTACTACAATGCATGCCATCCAAAAGCATGCTCCTACACTTATACACAACGTGGTAACTTTCTTTATGCAATGACGATGCTGCTTGGTCTCATCGGAGGTCTCACAACAATACTTGGTATTTTCATTCCTCTACTCGTACAATTCTTTCGTCGTTTACTACTTAAATGCCGAGGTGAAGCAATTCCTACAATAGAAAATGATCCTGCAGGTAGGCAACGTTTTTACTTTTTCCGTTTTGTTTCGTTCTCACGAAATGATACTAACGAATTGTCTAATTTACTGTTTTTCTAAAGAAGAAAATTTGAGAATAGAGGATTGTTTGAAAGACAAATTGTTGTTTGTTCTAATATTGACTTTTTATTTTATAAGTGGCAGCAGATGATAATTGTTTGAATTGTTTTAGTGCCAAGCATCGAAGAACGGCTCCTGAGCCTCGGCCGTCGAATTCGTCAACTAATCAACACATTTAACATGTTCCAAACTTCTTTTACCACCGTGAATTTGGGAATTCAAACAACGCGCCTCTATATTTTTCTGACATTTATGGGTGCCTGCATTCTCTTCAGTTATTCACTGTTGAGTGTGACTACCATAAGTGTTACCATACAACAGCCTTCTTTAGATACCTTCGAAAAACTGTATTCTCAATATTCATCGACACTCGTATGTCCTTGCACTGGCCTTTCTGTAACCTATGGTGAAATAATGACTGTTAAGCCTGATTTTCATCAGCTCTGCTCAAGTGATTTTATTCGAAATGATCGCTGGTTACTCTATTTCCGGTTTGCCGCAGTCACCACGGCCTCTTTCTCTTTTTATACTGGTGATTTTCGTGCATCTTCCGGTTCTAGTTTATTTTCTCTTATAAAAACACTATGTGAAACAGCCAACACAACTGTTATCAATGCCGTAACTGTTTTCGGTGCCACAGAATTAGTGAATGCATATCCGATGCCACGTATATTATTCGAAAATAAGACGACTGAACTGGTACAACAATTTCAAAACGAAACACAAGCTTCTTTTTTGACTCTGTTCTCTCAAATAAGCACGGTGATTCGAGATAATCAATTCTACTCTCCCATAAGCAATGCAGCTGCTCCATTGGCCTCGTCTGATCGTACACAAGTTCGGTTACGTCTGCGAAACATATACCCTTCGGGACCTGTCTGCTCATGCGCCGTGTCCAGTGAATGTACTCGACCACAAGGGTTCTATTGCAATGCTAGCGCATGCCATAGTATCAGTGTACAACCGAACGTTACTATTCCCGGTATGTTTTTGAGCTGCACACCCATAGACTCGTTACTATTCTCAACACTTACCTGTCTCTACAACCAATCATGTATTCAATTTCTGCTTGATTGGCGTTTATTTGGCATTATTGGTAAGGTGTTTCCGATCGATCCTCGTGGAGCCAACACAACAGCACTCGACCCAGATTTACCAAGTCGATTTTTACCCAATTCCACATTTGAACCACTAGTATTAAACATGTTTATCGAAAACTGGACATCATCCAGTAATTACAGCACCTACTATACAACCTGCAATCCTGACAGTTGCACATACACATATGATCAACGATATGCTCTTGTTGCTGCCATTACAGTTCTCATCGGTTTGTTGGGTGGACTTAGTGTTGCACTAAAGCTGATTCTGCCACCGTGTGTAAAGCTGGTTGCGGGTATTTTTCATCGTTGTAAGGGCGTCGATAGATTAGGTAAGTTCATAAATTTATTATCTATATACTTCACCCTGTATCTCATTGTATCAGAAGTGAAACAGATGTTTTATCTAGACTCTTACTCTTAAGATAAGTACAATGATCGTTATTTTATTGTTTATAGAAATACAGACAGTTTCTAACTTCGATTGTTGCAGATCTTTAACATTGTTATATAGAGGTGTAGGGAATACAAATATCTTTTTCTGTAGACGAGCTATCTCTGCAATTGTTGGATACATACAAATATTTCTTGCATTTTATGGCAGAAGATCTTCCGTTGTGAAGTAATGGATGGAATGAAATATAGAGCTGTCGTGATCCACAAACTCGTGGGAGTTGCGATGCTCCCCAAATAAGAAAATATGGTCTAGATTTCTTCTATTATATAGTTTAGTGATCAAGATTAATTAATTGTTTTGGGTTTTAACCTAATCAATGTCCGACCTTAGTAACTCACTTGAATACTACCAGATGTTCAGAAAAATTTAATATGTTTTTCTAGTTAAGAAATCTTTCCTGAGGATCAGTGCATATTGATTCTGTTCTCTTTCAAACATTTTGTTCTTGGAAAGATTATGGATTTGCGAATAGTTTTAATATGAATACAATAAATATGAAAGATGGGATCGAACATACTCTACTCATATTTACTAAAAGTACGTATATAGAGCAGATAGACGAATGAATGTCTACAATGTAATAGATTTTAAATCATAAAAAACCGACGATTCTTCTATCTTAGTCTGCGCGCGACGCTCTAAAAAATTAAAATATATTCTTACATCCAAAACATCTCTGATTTTGAGCGGCTAGGTTGCATCTCCTTAGAATTCACTTTCCTTGAAAGTATAAACAGAAATGTTGCCCAATTATCAACTCACAAGGAAGCGATTCTAGTCTGACAACACTCCTATGATCTCAATACAATCGTTTGACGATCGTAGTTCATAAAAACAGTGCGATATATAACTAGCGTTTTAGCTTTGTAAGAGATTAATACAGCATGTTAAGCATCTAACCTAAGCTTTCACATCTACATGCAAAAATCTCAAATGATTACACAAGTAAAAAAAAGAAATTCGTGCAAGTATTCCCTTCTTCGATATACAAAGTCACTGTACTCTGAAAAGTATTAGTGCTTAGGTGAATATTGAACTCATTTGCTCATTCTAGATCCACAAACAACTGAGCGAAACAATCCGCAGTACTTACTATTAGCTCGTGTACGGAATACACTGTTGAACATAGATGTTTTCAAAGATAATGTACCAGCGAACCATGATATCGACACAAGAAGACCTAGTCGACTCTACATCATTTTGTTGTCTCTAGCCTTCGGCATCATCATTTTCTTCACAAGCTTTAGTCAACAAACACGCACTATCACAGTTCTATCACCATCTCAAACAACATTTTTGTACTTGCAAGATCAACAAAAGTCAAGTCTCTCATGTTTGTGTTCACAGACCTCTATTCAACAAAATGTATTTCTCTCGATTTCACCTCGTTTACATCAGGTATGCTCTAGTGATTTCGTTAAAGAACAATGGTGGGGTTATTTGTGGGGACTGGATGCTGTGACCAATTTTCTGGATCTTCAACTTCTTAGCACTCAGTTTCGTCTTCTTGCATCATTATGTTCATTAGTACAGCAATCTATCGACAATGACACAAGTGCATTTCTTACCAATAAATTAGTTACTCTAGAAGCAATGTCGTTCAGTTTATTTCAAGCTCAAACTGATTCCCTTACAGCCGCATTTATTGCTCAAACACCAGATAAATTTCGTCGTACTCAATCGTTCATTTATGAAACATTTCGCGCAAATCAGCTGTTGACTATATTTGGAACAAATTGGCAATTAGCTTACACAACTGCAGCAAATAATTACATTATTGGTACTGTGCCACGTACTTCGTTTGGGAATAATTATTCATGTATCACATCATTAGACAGCTTCTCGCGACCTTTGTATATTGATGCGAATTCTAACACAATAGCATTACCTGGTGTGGTGGCTAGTTGTTTACCAATTGATGGTATTCGTCTGTCTACTCTAGAATGTTTCTTTAATTCAAACTGTATTCTTAACTTGACAAGCATTGCATCTACACGCAGTACCACTATTTGGATTGCCAAACCGCTGAATGCTTCAACACCCAGTAATTATACTTCAAATACTCTCATAGGCAGCCTCATTGATAGTTTATTCGTGGAAGATTGGGGAATTCAAAGTAATTATTCAAGCTACTACGCTTCGTGTGCTCCATATTCGTGTTCATACAAATATATTGATCACAACACAATACTCTATATAATCACCACTATGCTTGGACTGTATGGTGGTTTGGTAGTGATTCTTCGTTTTGTTGTCTGGTATGGATGGCGTATATATCGAAAGATAATGGGATGGATACAAACCGCTCCTCATGCAACATCAGCACGTGTAGTTCCCTTTCAGCCCACCATTGATATTGGATGAACACTAAATCATGACTTTTAAAAACAGAATCTTTGTTGTATTGCTTTTTGTCTCATAATTTCATATTTAATCAATATTTCTTCTTGCTTCATTCACTTCATACTTAATTAACATTACCTCTTGTTTCATCGTTACATATTTAATCAATACTGCTTCTTGTTTTATCATTTTATATTTAATCAATAAATATATGTTACAAATATCAAGTAAATTTCCTACTTTTAGTGTATCCTGAGTAAGATAACGAAAACAGAAAAAAAGAACGCAAATAAAGGTGAAAAGTCACTCAGTTCTAACACAGCTAGATTATTGGATCTCGACATCAACTACGACAAAGAGGGTTTGGGTGTGGGTGTGGTTGTCAGTATTGCCTTTACTCAACATCCACACCCATCTACACCTAGATCCTTATACACACACCCACACCCACCCTCAAGATTTAGATGTATATCTTTATAGAATAAATAAATAATGTTTAGCATCTGAGACTATTTTGAGATTTTTTTGTTTATTTTAATGTCTTTTACAAATCTAACAAACAAACAATACTGCCTACATTTTAACAAAAACAAGTTCATGTTTTTTAACCATTAGTTCTTGCCCAGAATTTGATAATAGTAGGAATATGTTCCTGTAATGAACTAATACTTGATTGATCACGACTTTTATCAGATATATCTTGTGTTTTAAGAGTATTCTGACGATAATAATCTTCATCCTCTTTTCGAATTAATCGCCAATCAGGATTAATAGCACTTTTAATTTTCATTTCACGACCACCATTCAATAAAACACCACGATCAACAATACGACCAAAAAATTCACTTTGAGTATCAGGTAGTTTTCGTGTAATTGTAGCTATTTCATCGAGTTTACCAACAATGACTTTTGGTGGAGTTTGTGTTATTACTGGACGACTTCGTGTTAATACAACATAAGATACTTCTATAAAATAAGAAATGATATTTACCAATATATAATACTATTATAATTAATATAACCTCTATTTTGATCTTGAGCAGTACGTACAAAAGTACGTCCAACACCAAAATTTTTTAGTTTTGAACATAACTCTGGTAGAGTATTCCCATATGATAAACTAATCTGCCCAATAAACTGAACGCGTGGCATCTGAAGTAATGAAGAAAAAGTTTATTTCTGTCTGCTCGAATCATTATATTTTCCTCTCTCTTTTTTTTTTTATTCAAAATAACAACAATAAATGTTGACGGATATAACAAAGAAAAAATCGTTTAGTTTAAGCAGACAAGATAATAATAATAATAATAATGATATTCTTGTTTTTGCCTTTTTGACTACGGTTTGTGTTCGACTTCTTCGGATTTAATAAGAAATTCAACAAGTTCTTCACCAACATTAGATGATTGTTGATCAAATAAGGAATCTGTATCAACACCTCTACGTAAATCGATACGTTGTTGTTTTTGTATAGCCAAACGTTTGGTATTTTTCTCTTTAAGTTTTTGAAATTCATCAAGTTGTTTTCGTCGTTGTTCTTGTTGTTTAGCTGATTCACCGGTACGTAAAATACGATCTCGTTGATCTAATCTTGGTGTCCATACATTTCGATTTTTACGAACATCCTAAATATTACAAAAAATAATTAATTTATGGTATGATTTATTTTGTTGGTGTTTCTTACTTTAACCATATCTTCTGTAAGCAATGATGGTGGTCGTGGACGCCAATGGAATGCGACCAATCTATCAACAGTCTTTTCAAATATCATATTACCTTGAAAGGTCCAGATTTTAAATGAATGATCACGCTAATTTAATATAAGAATAAGATATTAAAATCAAAAATCAAAAGATTTCAAATATACTTTAGCATTCCATAAATTAACTGATGATGCGACATAACGACCTGTTGGACACCATTCAACATCAGATAAATCTGGATGTTCTTGTTTTGTCATTACTGACATATCAGCAGTATCAACAAAGATTAATTGTCCACCCGAAGATGAGCTATAACAACAAAAAAAACATGAATTTATCATAAATAAATAGATAATGAACATACCCAGTTTTCATTGCGGCTAATACTACATATTGACCATTAGGTGCCCAAATAGCTGTAGTTACCGCAAGAGGCATTACTTTAAGTGTTTCAATTTTTCCGCTCTTTTGTCCTTGTCCCATTTTATAGAATGTGACATTGGTTCGTAGATTTTCACCTGTGATTACAACTAATTTATGTCCAGCTGGTTCGATAGCAAATGATTGAACTATTTCTATTAAAAAGAAATAAATATTATTTTAACTCTATTACATATATGTATATGTATTACCTTTAACTTCTAATGTATCCAATGGAACATTTTTTTCGCGCATATGAAAGATTTCGAAATTATAAATTAAACCCTAGAAATTATTACAAAATGAAATATATAAAAACTTGAGAATTTTATTTACTGAATATTTTGGATTATTTTTTTCACCACTCTTTTTTGTATATCGATCAACTTTGACAACAAGATAATCACCACGTTTTTGCCAACATAATCTACAATCGATAACATTGAATAAAGTCTAGAAGAAAAATACCAATAAATCTTATGTTCCAAATACAAGTATAAAGTCATACTTTCGATCGAATTTCATCCAATCTAGTACCATTAACTTCGGCAAGTACTAAACGTGCTGGTACATTTCCATCTTCAGCTGTCCAATAGGCAAGACGATTATCGGTGGGTGACCATTGAAAATCAGCAAGTGATGGAATTTTAAATGGTTTCTTATCAACTAATTGAAAACTCTATAATTCAATACAAAAATTTTCATTTTTAGTTTTCTTGTATTAGAATATTTATTTACTTCGGTATCATACATATAGATACCATCGGGACCTTGTTTAGCAAAATATTGATCTTGAAAAGACCACCTAATAGAATAAGAATAATTATAATGAAGAAATAGAAATTCTCAAATAAAATAAAACAAAGTCAGTATATCGCTTCGGCAGTTATGTCATGGCATAAAACAGTAAAGAATATGCATTTAACTCGGCCTTTTCTTATCATCATTCTTTGTTTGTAAATTTTATAAAAAAAACAAAAAAAAATATTTACTTGAAATAAGATGGACCTTGAGAAAAATGTTGATCAAGTGGAAATGAACGTTTCTTTGTTCCAGTTATAACATCCCAAACAATAAATGCTTCAGGATTATTTGGACGTGGTGAAATTGTTACCAAATAACGTTCACATGGTGAGAAATCAATGTAATTAACACCACGATGAGCAAATCTATTCAAATAAAATATGACAATTTTGTTAATTATGATGATTATATCAATGATACACATACCGTTGTACTTGGCGAAATTCTTTACCACCCCAGAAGGCAATACCTTGCTCATGAAATGATGCTAAATAAGTGCCTTTTGGTGACCAAACAAAATTATTTTCTGTCCATTTCTAAATTAAAATTTTAAGAAAAAAGATAAAACAAAATCTAATTTTGAAATAAGTTTTACATTTCGTTCGTCAAGAATAGTAGGTCCCGATAATGCATTTGAAAAGATAGTGGTTTTCTTTGGTTCATCCGATTGAACAGCAAATTGATCGACAGCATCAGGTTCACTTAACCAAGATAATAGATTACCCTATATATAAAAATTAATAATTCAAAAATTAGAAATTTAATAAATATATTATATACAGTATCAGCAGATTCAGGTGGAACTTGTGTTAATCTAAAAATAAATCATAGCTTTATTTTGTAAATAAATCATTTTTTCATACCGTTCAAAATCCGACATTAAATTTACGGAAAAGGTATGATTTTTATCTAATCGATAACCATCAGTTTGTTTTACTGCTTCTATAGCCATCTGTTCATTTTGAAATTCAAAAAATCCATAACTATATAATATAAACAAATAATGAGATCATTTTCTTTCTATTGAAATAAATACCCTTTGGTGTTTCCATCCTTATCCAATGGATAATATTCATTTCGACATATTCCGAATTTACTGTATACTTTTGATATTACTTGTTTTAATTTTTCGAGTTTAACTGAATCAACTTTTGGTAAATTATCCACAACAATTATATTATTAAGACTTTCATGCTCTTGTGGACGTTCAGCCATTAATTCCGGACAAAGAACTATAATGATAAAATTAAAATAAAAGTTTAATTTTGCAAAACAAATATCTACCATCATCAGGAAAATCTGATCCATAATCATCATCCGTAAAATCAGGTGTTGGTTCATCATTATCATCCTAAATAAATCAATAGAAAATCTAAATATTATTTTGTATTTTATATAACAAACTTCTTGATCATCATCTTCTTCACTTTGATGTTCATCATCGTCTTCTCCACCAGAATGTTCGTTATTATGTGATGGTGAATTTTCATCCAGTTCATGCTGTTGTTTACCAGCATCATCACTTTCGAATGGTCGTTCAGGCATGTTGTTTGATTTGAAAGTTCTTGAACTGCAAGATATCTATAAAAATCAATAGAAATTAATATATTCTCGAATACTATCTCCAGTAAAATGAATAAAGAAAAACGATACAAAAAAATACTGCCATTGTTTATTTTCGAATGCCAATCGGAAAGTGCAGATTTTAGTCTGATCTTTATTGGTGGCTTTAATAAATATTTGTTAGATGTCACTGTCAATTAATTAAATATCAATTACAAACGAAAACTAATTATACATATCATTAATAAATATTAATATAATTTCTTCTATAAGAAAATATTCGATTATAATTGTCAATATAGAAATCAACATATTAAATGTGCAACTTTCTAAACGATATAAATATTACAAAAGAATTTTTTACATGATCTTTAAATAGAATTTTGTAAAGTGAATTGGGAAAAAAGTGTATTACGAAACTGTTGTTACATAATTATCACGAATGAGTAAAATTAAGCAGTTCTCCAGTAATCGTTAAATAGATATATCTAACAATGACATCTTTCGAATATGTTTCTATTGGATATATTGTTTATCAATAGTACCATATTTTGAGTTTGCCGTCGTGTCACTCATATTTAAATTTAATTTATTTTGTTCCTAATTTTTGGAATTAATAAAGTGAATATGGAAATTGAGAAGCTCGATATTGATTCAATATTTGTAAAATATACAATAAATGAAATACGTGATATTGAACAAGAAATTAAAGATGATATGGATCGAAAAAAAGAAGAATTACGATCAATGGTTGGGTATGATACATTCCTATATATTATAAATTTAATTTTTGTCAAATTTCTTTCATTAGAGAACGATATCGTGATTTAATTGAAGCTGCTGATGCAATTTTTGAAATGAAAACATGTGCAAAAGGCGTATGTTTTGTTCTTTTTTCATTAATAATTTAATATTTCATATTTGAAAATAATTCAAGGTCGAACAATTTGTACATTTACTCAATGATAAATGTGGTAAAATCGATCATACATTAGTAACACAATCAACTTCATCATCAAATTCAAAATCGGATAGACAATCATTTAAATTAACAATTGTTCTATCAGTACAAATTTTAACAGAAACACGCCGACGATGTTGGATGTTTCTCGAAGAAAATAATTTCGTAGCAGCAGCTCGGTAATTTATTATTGTTTTTATTTTTATCTATTGATTAAATAAATCAATTTTTAGTCAGTATTTATTGGCACAACATATGGCAGCTTCGCTATCATCAAGTAATGATGATGAACGATTAGATGCTGATTCACAAAAAGCTATCGTAGCTGCTAATCGATTATGGGATCAAACTCGACAAATGAAAAAAACTATTTTAAAGAAATGTCGATTATATTTAAAGAATACGGATGCTGATGTTGAAGTAAATCTATTCTCATTATAACTAAACATCTGTGTAAAAGAAAGAGGGATTAGAAGGTCAGATGTTTTAAGCTTTTCGACAAATTGTAGCTTGTAATTATGTGTTTTTTTGTTCGTGAGGATCACCAGTTGACTCAATACAATCCAGAGTATCTATCAGAGTAATCAAAAACAGATGATTATAGTTTTCAGGTAGAATTTTTCGCGAAGACTTAGATATACACTTAACTTGACCGGAGTATAGTTTATTGAGATATATCTGTCTAGTATCAAATATTTTTGAACAACATCAAGTTTTCTTTAAGAGATTTGTATTTTTATATTAATTATTTAGATTCTTGCTAATGCTCTATCAACTCTTATCGCATTTGGTAATGAATCAATCGAACAAATATTAAAAGATTTTCTCGCTGCTAAACTGGTACATTTATTATTACATATATATAATCATTTTTATACTGATTTCTTAGGATACAATCAAAGAATCGTATCAGAATGCTAATGTCAGTAAGTATTCATTATGATATATGTTTTAAGAAGAAAAGTATATTGTTTTGTTTTATTTTAATTCAGAACAAAGTTCAAAAGATACAGTTCGACAATTACTTGTTGTTTTAATCAATACTATTTTTGAATTAGATATACTCTTCAGTAAAAATGATGATACTACTGGTATGAAGAAAAAAAAAATAAACGTGATTTCAAAGAATTCGTTTTTCTAGATAAATATGATTTATTAAAGAAATATATTTCAACGTTTTTTAATACATCAAATAGTGATATGAATTTAAAAAATAATAATATTTTATCATATTCTCAACAACAAATGTTAAATGTTCAAGAAACATTTTTTAAAAGTAATATTATTTCATATATTTATGATATTAAATAATTTTGTTATAGATTGCGATCCTGTAGATCTTACGGAATATGAATCTCAACAACAACAACTTGTTCAAAATGCTGTCGAAAACTGGTTGAAAACGTATAAAAAAACTTCTTCTTTTAATTTTATCTTGACATTTCTTCTTTTTGTTTTCTAGAGTATTGGACGTTGTTAAATCAGGTCTGAATGAATTACTTAATCATATAACATCACTAAAACCATTACTTCATCTCAAATCAAGTCTTGTCTCATTATTAACAGAAGTAAAAACTTTTTTTTATTTTTCAAAATCAAATTAGATTTTATGTTTTTAGGAACGTATGAAAAATTGGTCAGTAATATGTAATCGATTATTAAATGGTAATGATAAAGAAATTCAATTATGGAATAATTTAATTAAAATACAATTACGAACACGTGCTAAAGTAAGAGAAAAAGAAATTATTTAGTTTATTCTATTTTTCTTTGAACGATATTAGGAAGTATTACATGTTCGTTTTGATCAATTTAATCAAACAGCGATACAAAAAATTGAACATTGTCTTGATGCATTTCAAAAATCTGCAAATAAAAATGAGAAGCATTTTTCACGTGAATTTAATGTTTTACAATATATATGGAGTGATATTGATAATAATATTCCAAGTGATTATGTATGGACACCATCACAAAGTCGAATACCAGTTGGTGATGCGAAATTTTCATTGAAAGCTGTTGCAATTTCAATGGATCTTCAAAGGTAATATTTGATTTTATTCTTTAATATTTTCAAAATCAAATTATTTAGTCTATGTCGAGAATTAGATGATGAACTACGACAAATACTTGATGATGTTAATGAATTTTCTATTGCGGAATTTTCTACAATATCATCTTTATCAGATACAATATTATCATCATCATCAACAAATAATAATAATAATAATGCTTCAATGTATTCCGATAGTGGTTTTATTGAAGAACATTTAGAAGAATGTGTTATGAAATTTTGTACAACGTATGGAAATATTTAATTGTGATTATAATTTAAATAATTAAGAATTGTTTAGATTTCTTGCACGTTTACGACAAATAGCAAATGATAATGAAAAAATTGGAGATGAAGAACAAACTTTAAATAGGTGAGTTTTTTTTTGATTTTCAGATAATTGAACTATTGTTTTGTATTTAGTTTAATTTGGCTTGGTTCATGTGCACGTGCGATACCAATTGTTTGTAAAAATCTTAAAAATTCACTTGAACTTGTAACGAATATGACTGATTCAACAAATAATACTTCAATGGATAGGTAAACATTTTTATTCGACTTTCATATTTTTCATATATTATATTTTAGAAAAGTACGAGGTATTTCACAACCAAAACGAACACTTGAAAAAGTTAGTTACTCATAATTTCATTCTATAATTCGTTGTTTAATTTTAGACAGAAAAAACATCATGGTTAAAAACCCGTGAAATGTTTATGACAACACACATTGATTTATTTAAGTAAAATTATTCGTTTTTTTCTTTATTGTTGACTGTATTTTTATACTTTCTTAGGCAATGGATTATTCATTTAAGTGCGAATATTGATATGCATTTACGAAATAAATTATCAACATTTCTTGATGATATTCCCACAGTTGTAATTATCTTATTGAATTTAAATCTATAGATATTCTATTTTTCCGTTTATTTCTTAGCTTTGGAATAAAATTGAAATTGTCGAAACTCTTGAAACTGATAAAACATATAAAAGTGTTATACGTGTACCAATGTATTGTACACCATTTATTGAAGAACTTCTATTTTATTCTTGTCAACAAATAAATCAAGCACTAGCACATGGCCTCGACAAGTAAGTAATAGAATATTTATCTCATACTTCATATATTCTCTTTCGCGTAAAGAAGAGTCTTACAAACATAAATTGTCTGATTGATTGGTCCAAGACTTAGTTAAAGATATAAGAGAAATAATTTTTATAAGGGTGATCGGGGTCGATGAACTCCAGTGATTTATCTAGAGGGAAGGCAAAGATGCCGGCGCCCTCCCGGAAATCGCTATCGCACTCTCCGAAGGAAAAACCTAGATAAAACACTGATGAACTTGAATCTGATGTTAGTTTTTGAGATTGTTTGAATAAATAGTTTACTGGTAACGAAGACCCATCGTTTCTACGTATATATATATATATATATTTATTTTAAAGAGAATTATCAAGTGATATGGCCTATCGTTTATTACAAACATTTTTAAATGTTTATGAATCATGGTGGTTAAATGACGCTCAAAAACGAATAAGTCAAAAACGTATCCAAACACGAATTATTCAAATCGTTTATGATCTCCGATTTGTTCATATGTTACTTGAACGTAAAGATAATACGAATGTAAAATTAATTTTTTGAATTAATAAAAATTCATAAATTATATTTGAATTTTAGAATACAAAAGATATTAATGAACGTTTTTTTAAATTAATTGAAAATATTGAAAGTGAAATTGATCCATTTGATTTAAATGTTCTTTCACCATATATGCATGATCATTTACAACAAATTGTTCCTCGTTCTTCAGTAAGAATTTTTGTAGAATTGACTTTTTTTATTCTTCTTCTATAGCTTTTATTTGGACATTTAATAACAAATGATCGTCTCATTCCATCAAAACCACTTCAAATGAATACTAAAGATACAAACAACATCCTTTCACTTTCATCATGTTCTCAACGTTTTTCATTACTACCGATAGCTACTAATCTTTCGTCAACATCAACATCATCTGGTCAAATAATAAGTTCGAAAGGAACTATTCTTAAATCGAATATTATTCATGAGCATAATAATAATAATATTAATGATAATACAGAAAATGATTCTGGTTTAGCATCATTTCGTCCATTAACAACAAATGTGGCTGAAGTTGCAACATATTATTCGAAATGGTTTCAAAATATGGTCAAATAATAATTCTAATAAACATTTATTTCATGTGATATTTACTATTTTAAATTTGGTTTGCTTGTTTCTTTATTAGTTTAAACTTATTTTATTTATATATTAATTGAAGAACAAAAAAGAAAAAGAAAAAGAAAATTATATTTTTTTGTTTTATTAAGCGACAAGTAAAAACAGAATAGAAATAATATGTGTTTTTCTGCTTTTTGTATAATTATAACCAATCTTTTGTATCACTATTGTTTTTGTTTTCTTCATTTGTCGATAGAGATGATGCTTGTTTATTGATATTATGATTACCATCATCATGAAATTCATGTTCAGGAACTTTAATACTTGCAACTTTAGCATCATTTTTTTCTTTCGTATCAGATTGTGAAACTAAAAATTTAGACAAATTTAATAAAATCATATTTAAGAAATATTTTTACTATGATCTTTTTCTTCTGCGATTGTCAGTTTTGTTTCTAATGGTTTATTATTAGTTGAAGAAGGAGGTTTTGGAGCTAAGAAATTCATGTATATGATTAATTAAAGAAAAAAACAGTTAAACTTACCTTCTCGTTTTTGACTTGGTATTGTCACTTTTGTTATCACTTGAGTAGTAGTATCAGTTTGAATTGGTGGTTGAGGAGCTGTATAGTACTAAAGTAAATATCGACAATAGATGATGATAATAATAAACAAACCTTGTCGTTTTTCTCCTTCAGGTTTTGTATCGATAATAACTGGAACATTTTCAACAGCATTATCAATACGTTCTAAAAGATTATCAAGATTTTGTACACCTTCAATATCTACATGAATTTGATCATTGTCAAATGATGCTGTTTTAGTCGATGTAGATGATGATGATGGATCTTGACTACTTTTTAAAATACTTCTCTGTGGTGCTAATGGATCATCATCTTCATTCGGAGTTGTTGGTATTGGTGGAATCTCATTTTCTTTGGAAGTTGATGGTGAAACTGTTGAAGTTTGATTAGTATTCTTCTGAACAAGAACCGAATCATCAGGTGCATTTTCAAGTACAACATTTCGATTTCCTGGTTGTTTATGAATTAGGAGAAGAAGATCTTCAATTCTATGTATATCGTTGTAATTGATACGTATTGGTTCGTCTTCGTTTTCGTCTTCGCTTTCACTAGTTGCCACTTTATTTTTATCTTCAGATTTTTTTAGAGGTTTTCTCTCGAGATCAGCAGGAGTAGGACGTGGTTTGTCTATTTTTCCTCCTATATTAAAATTAGTTTTGCTTTTATCACCCTCTAGAATAATTTTTGCACCTTCAATAGCTTCATCTATACGATCAAGTAAATCATCAACAGTTGACACACCTAAGAAAAAAGAAAATGAGATATTTAACGAGTTTTGTTTTTTTTTTCAAACCATCAAATGAAAGATGAACTCGATCGTTATTGTCATTTTCGGCAGATGATCTTTTTGTTGTATCATCAGTTTTATTACTAGATGATGGACCTGCAGATGTTTTTATAGTTGACTTATCATCAGGTTTTGTAGAATCATTTGGTTTATTAGTAGTTGATGGACCTGCGGATATTTTTGTAGTTGATTTATCATCAGTTTTTGCAGGATCATTTGATTTGTTAGTGGATGATGGACCTACGGATGGTTTTTCAGCTGATTTATCATCAGATGACCCTAAATAGATTGATTTAAATAGTATGCCTTACAAGAAATATAACTTGCTCGAAGATGATGGTGGACGAGCAGTAGCATGAGAATCTTTATGATCATCAGACGGTTTATCAGCTGGACGTTCTAAAAAGTAAAATATTTTGTTACTCTAGATTATAATTAATCTTGATAGAATTTTCAACTTGAGCTTGTAGGAGCTGCAGCACTTTTATTGTCTGATATAGTTGTTGATGGTGGTGGTTTTGATCCTGGGCTAGGTCCTCTTCCAGTATCGCGAGCATTATCTTTTGGTTTTTCTTTAATGAAAATAATTATTTTGAATAATAAATAGTTTATCTTCATATACACATACCCAACCTAAGTGATGGTCGTTTTGTAGTTTTGGGTGGTCCATCTTCATCACTTGAATCTGAACTTGAACCTTTTTTACCACTTGCTGCAGGTTTCGACGCATGATTTGGTTTTCCATCTTTTGCTTTTGGAATTGAATCTTTTTTATCTTTTTTTGCATTACTATGTGTTAAATTATGCGTTTTTTCTTTAACTTCATCAGTTAAATCATGAACTTTATCTCGTATTGAATGAGCAGTTTTTGTAAAAAAGTTTTCTTCTTTTTTCTCACTAGTTTTATTATGACTTGATGATGCACTTGCACTTGACTTCTTTTTATCCATTACAGTTAATTAACAGCTTTGTATCGACTATAAAATTACGAAGATTTTCAGTAAAAATCTATCGATTTTGTTGCAAAAATATGAAAAAGTAATTCAAATACTTTTCTATAGAACAATAAAAAACGACAAAGCAACGCGTGAATGACCGAATAACTCGACGTGCATGATTGATCACATATCATCGTATTGAGTAATATTAGTCGATATTTACTAATGCATATAATAAGTAAACGAATCGAGGTTTAACATGTATATATATATATATAGATAGATATCGATATAAGTAGATAGATACAGATGCATTATCAATGTACTTTTTTGCCCTAGAAATTTTATTAATAAAATAATAATTAAATAGAGAAAAAGGTGCAGCCGTCCAGCGGAATATTGTTTCGAAATTTAGTTACTGTTATAGTCTTAATTTTCATAGATATTTAAGTTAAATGGTGTTCACTTAAATTATTTAACTGAATGCTATTAGTGTTCAGTTAAATAGCGGATGATTGGCCCCCCAGCCTCAAAGAGGTGGTATATTTTTTTGTGAAATAATAATCCGCTTTAGACTGCATCGAACTCGGTAGTAGAAATTGAATATATTCTGCAACAAATTGGGATTGTGTAAGATTTTATTTTTTTATCGAACAGGTATGAAAAATAGAACAGAAAAATATGTTTATCTTGTTGTTTTTTGTTAAAAATAAATAAACAAGATATAATATCTTATGAAAAATGATCAATTTTAAGAAAATAATTTTAGGCATCAGTAATAAAATTTAATGAAATTTTTCGCATTTTATGTATTGTATATGTAAGGTTGAAATTACAACTGTAACAACTAATTTTCAGAAAGTTATTTTAGATCAACTGATATTAAATAATTATCAAAATTTTGTGTTAAATGAAATGAATCTATAGGATACTGTATACATTGAGTTAAGCGAAGATTTCATCGGACTAGGTTTTTTATATTTATCATGTCTCAGTGTCACTAGTTTAGCGAACTACTCTATATTTAGAGCTAGTTTATTTTCATCGTTAGATAAGTGCTCGCTTTATCTGCATTATCAGTCTCGACATTTTATATCAAATTCATAGAAAGATTCGCGAATATCAGAATAAATTAATGGTAAGAACGGCTTTAATTATAGGTCTAAGATCTACAATCATACATAATCATCAATATAAATAATTATTCGATTGCATTTTATATCTATTATTTCTAAGAATATCTTTAAGTTGTAAAAGAAAAAGTTCACTAGATTAATTAGAACATTTTAAAGCTTATCAAAAATGTGATGCTGGTGATCCGTTTATTATAAGGTATTTTTACTAGTGTGCAACACTTTTGTTTCGCGGATGATTGATATGGCCTCTCAGTATAAGTATTGAGCATGAGCTCTATTGATAAATATGTACGAACCTTGCCTACGGAGTACTAGCATCACATTATAAAGATTTCACAACTAACAGTATAATGTTCTGAAATAGATTGACGTGATGTAATAACATTGTTTTTTCCCAGTTGGAAAACTAAATGAATTTTAATTTCTTTTTGTTAATTCATATACGTATTTATTTTTGATATGAAATATATGTCATTTTAATAAAATGTTCATATCATAAAACTTTGTATAACAGAGACAAGAAAAGAAGAAATTGTTTATCACGCAAAAATAGCTACACTACATTTTATTTTTTTTTATAATCATTGGTTCGTATGTTCTTCATCACTTGATTCATCTAGAGCTCTACTAGCTAGTTGACGAATTTCTGAAACAAGACATTGAATATCACCATCATCCGATGGTAATGTTGGTGAAGAATAGGATTTTTCTTGATGAATTGTTTTCATAAGTAAATTTCTTTCACGTTCAAGTGTCATTATACGTTTTGTAAGTTTATCTAATTCAGTATCAGATTGTAATTGTGCATCAGCTATTTGTCGTTGCCAACGTTCTTTTTCACGATTTGTTGTTCGTTCCATTTGTCTAACAAAAACAAAAATTTTATAAAAAGTGATTATCAATGAAAAATTCTTTACCTGCAATTTGCTGCTAATTTTGCTTGTTCACGTTTTGCTTCATTTAATTGTTTTTCTAAATTATCTTTTTCATTTAATAATGTTTCTTCTCGTTCCTTAAGAAAAAATTTGTTCGAATTAAAAAAAATCCTATACTTTCGAAATAATTTACTTGAAAATCTCGTTTTAATAAATCAGTATTATCTGCTTGTTTTTTCTGTTCATTTAACCATTGATCAGTTAAATCTTTTAATTGTTTATCTTTTTCAATTAATGTTGTTTCATATAATTGAATTTTATTTATATTTTCTTCCGATATTAATTGCATCATTATTAATTTTTCATTATTTATAGCTAATTCTTGTTTATATTTATCTTCAAATTGTTCAGCATATGTTTTAGATTTTTGATATTCATCATTAAGTTTATGTGCAAGTAAATCACGTTCATTTGAAACGGTTTTTAATTCACGTTCAAGTAATGTTAAATCTATATATTGTTCATCTTCTGTTTGTATTGCAATTGTTATATTTTGTTTGGTTGACAAAGATAATAATTGACGATTAAATAATGTTTGTAAAATAAGAAAACGTTTATTTATATAATTAAGACGTTGTTCATAGATAGAAAGTGTTTTATTTATTGTTTTAAATAAATTATCATATTGAGGATTTGTTGTATGTTTAATAATCATTTCACGAATTACTTGTTCAGTTTGTTCATAAGAACGAAGACGTTGCTTAAGAGATGTATTTTCATCAAGAATGATTGTTAAATTTGAATCGGATTGATGTAATTTTGATTCAAGATATCTAAATAATTAAATTTTGTGATATGAGAAATTTAATTATAGAATATACGTACTGAATATGAATTTTACGTTCATCATATTGAGTTTGTAAAAGTTTATTTTCATGAAGCAGTTCATTAACTTTACCTTGTAATTGTTCGACATCTAAAGAGAATATTTTTTTTCAATTATTTTAGATTAAAATATTCAAAACAAAATAATCTATGTAAGTATCAATTTTCATGATTCGAAAGGCTTTCAGTAGGGGGTATCATGGCTTCCCTATTCAATAAATAAAAATTAAGAAAAAAGTGATAACGCATAGATCTGATACATAATTGAATACATGGAAACAATTTTTTAATGAATTGTACATATTCAATTTGAATAGCGAATGATTCATTAGATTATATCTGTTCTCTTTTCATGTTATAGCATACTGAAGAGGATATTGCGCCAGATATTTGTAAGGATATAAAAATAGAGATGAATTTTCGTTTTATACATCAATTTATAAGACATTCTAGTTATCTCCTAATAAAATACTTTCATCGTATGTTCGAGTATCCGTTAATAATTTAATTTTCTGTCACATTATGATAATAATGATGAACACTATTAGAATTAGTTGATCATTCGAGTCCTGGGTTTTTCTGCGAAACTCGAACTTTTCAAATATAATCTTTAATTGTATACGAAAAAATGATATTTCTGTCGGAAAAGCGTTACTAGTTTATCTTCTAACAATAATCGGAATTGAGAGTTATTCATAATATCCTTAATTTCTTGCTTAGTCAAATATCTTTTTCTTGAAGTTATCGTTGTTAAAATTTACGATTATTATGTAAAGTAAACTGTTTTTAGCTCGTTCTTATCGTTAGGCATACGCTGCAGTTTCGGAACAGAAAAAACTTACTAGATTTTCTAGATAAGATATTTCCAACTAGAACTTTACAAAAAATATTAGGGAGAGCAATACAGATGTGTAATACAAACAAATAGAAAGAAGCATTTGTATTTGTGACATCATATAATAAAAAGATGTTCCAACATATTAGAAGAATCTTTGTCGAATAACTGTATTTAGTCGTCGACTCAAAGGAATAATACATAGTCAAAGTTTAATTCATTCTGTTAATAAGAACTAGATTTCGGATTTCGAACGTATCCTAGATCAAGAATAATATCCTATTAATAGAACACAAACAACATAATCGTTGATAATCAGATATTTTGGTAAAATAAAAACAACAAATTTTCCTCATTAGAAATCGTTTTTCAAATTCTTTTGAGGTACAAAGAAAATATAATCTATGTCATCGTTTATTTTTATAGTGTAAATAAAAACATGATTATTTTTTTTTGAAAGTACATATAGAAGTTGTTTTGTTAGCCGAAAACAAAAAAAAAGAAAATTTTAATGTACATCGCAAAAAAGAATAAATAAAATTCGTTTCTTTTTAATGGATGTTAGTTTTTCTAGTCTTCATATATAAAAAAGTAATCTTACCATTAGAAAATTTACTACTATTATTTTTAAGAATCAATTCCATTGATTTAAGTTGCATAAGTAAATCATAAACTTTTGTTCTCCAACAGTTAAGAAGTGATTGTCGTTTTTCATGATTATTTGATGTTGTTTGTTCGAGTTTTTCTTCTTGTAAAGTTAATACATCATTCATTGATGTTAATCTTAAAATAAACACAAAGATTATTATTATTATTAATATTTATGATCAATTTTACCTTATAGTTAATAAACGCATTTCTTCATTTAATGCAGCATTTTCTTTTTCACGTTGTTCAAGTTGTTGTGATAATTTATTATTACTATTATCTGTTGATATTAAGGATTTTTGAGATGATAATAATTGTTCATAATAAAGTTTTTCTTTTCGAACTTTTTGTAATTCAGCTGAACGTATTTCGAATTCATTTAATTGTGCTTTCCATGTTAATTCTTTTGAACGTAAAGTTTGTTCAACTTCATTAATTGCCATAAGACAACGAGATTTTTCACGTTCAAGTTCATTACGTAGACGATCTATTTCTGTTGCTTGTTGTTGAATGAGATCTTCAAGAGTTTCTTGTACAATATTTGAATGACGTGGTAAATTTACTAATGGTGGTGCACGGTCAAGTAAATCTTTAAATAAATAGAACAAGAATTTAAAGAAAAATTGTTGTTGTTTTCGTTTTTACCTCGTCCAGATATTTTAAGAGCTTCATTATTTGTTCTTAATCGTCCCATTTCAACTTGTAATTGTTCAAGTTGTTCATGAACTGTTTTTGTTTGATGTTCTTTTTCACTAGTTGAATTAAATGATAATGTTGATTGAAATGCTGATGGTGGTAATAAAAGCATATTAGAACTTGGTGAACTTGTCATGATTTGATTTTAAAAAATATTAATTTATCTGTTAATAAGTAATAAAACATCTAGAATAAGAAGGAAAAAATGATGAAATTGAAATAGTAACCATTTATTTTTTGTTAATATGAGATTTAAGCAAACAAAATAAGAAAAGAAACAATAAGCCAAGGTTAGTTACAAAATAAATATGTATATACCGTCTAATGATAACGATAAAAAAAATCATGAAGTATGTTTTTTCTTTATAGTATATATAGTAATAAGAACTTTGAAGTTTTTAAAATGAAAATAATAATTGTGATTATTTAGTTTCAGCGGTTGATTGTCTTTTAGTTGAAAAATTTTGAGCACGCAAGAAAGAGAGAAAAAAATAGATTGGTTGCTATTCTCGTTATATAGGTCTATATTTCCCGTTGCTAAGAAGAGAAAAAAAGTCTTAGTTTTATAATGACTATTAGAAATTAATCGACTAAGGGATAAAAAAAATAAGTTTTGATATAAATAGATTTAATTTACCTGTTCTTATATATATTTTTTTGATACAATTCTAGAAAATAGTTTGACTTGTACGAAATAAATCAATGAGTTCAACGTACGATGACGTTCTTATTACTACTTTCTCCTTTTTTTTGTTCTTCTGTGTACGGGCATCATTTAAAGATTTGTTTCACCTTTCTAACGCTGCTGTTGTTACTTGCAGAAACATGAATAGAGTTTGTCTCTGTCGTTCTTTTCTTTTTCTTTCTTTCTTTCTTTTTTTCTTTCCTCCTCATTCTCCACATGTAAATGAAAAATGGCTGATATGTATACACATAGAAGAAGAAGAAGAATTGTGTCTGTTGGATATTTGTTTTGCTTTAGATAAATGTTACTTGAAATTTTATTTGGCAGTCAAACAGGTACAGCAGAAGATGTTAGTGAACGTTTCTCATCTATGGCACAATCGACAGGTGTTGAATGTCGTGTTCAATCATTAGATTCAATTAAATCTATTGAAGATCTTGGGACACATATTCTTTTTATTGTGTCAACAACTGGTGATGGTGAAGAACCAGAAAATATGCGTCATTTTTGGCGATTAATCATGAGAAGATCAGTATCACCAGGCACATTATCGCATATTCATTATGGTTTAATTGGTTTAGGTGATTCAACATATCCAAAATTTAATTATGTAGCAAAAAAATTATCTAAACGATTACATCAATTAGGTGCTCAATCTATATGTGAAAGAGTTCTTGCTGATGAACAACATCCACATGGTACGATTTTTTCAAGGTACAATAGAGATGAATGATTCTATGATAATCTTTTTTTTCTACAATAATCTTAGGTATTGATGGATGTGTTGATCAAACATTTACAGGAATATTTTGGCAAGCATTTGGTGAACTTATTGGTAGAGAACTTAAACCACGTATTGATCAACGTTTACCAAGTAAATACCAAATACAATGGATTGATAATACTGAACAAGATTTACCCAGGTATATTATTTAGAGTAATTTAACAATTAGATAATGCAAGATTAATCATTATAATGATAGAATTATTCATTCAAGAGAAGAAAAAAAGTAATAGATTGATTAAAAATATTTGCCAGATGAGTTGTTTGAAGATTACATCAATTCCTTTTTTTTCTTTTCATTGGATTGAGATCAAAGTCAGTAAATAGACTAGTACTAATCCAAATTTTCCGATTAATTTATTCAATAGTATAGATTGATATTGAAACAAAATATTTCTGATTTACATAATTAAAACATCAATTTCTTTAATTCATATAGTTTACAATCATCAGTGAATACTCCTAAAATTCCACCTGGTTATTCTTCTATACCTCTTATATCCAATACACGTGTAACATCCGATGATCATTGGCAAGATGTACGTTTACTTGAATTCGATACAGATCTTCCATATAAATGTGGTGATGTTGCTGTTATTCTTCCACAATGTCCGTTACCAGTTGTTAGTCTTCTTGCTGAATTACTTAATGTACAAAATAAACTTCATCAAAAGTTTATTGCTTCGAATGATGTATCAACTCTATCGATGACCGTATTAGAATTATTTCGTGATTATTTACATATAACACGTGTACCATCACGATCATTTTTCGAAAAATTAGTTTGGTTTTCTGAAGATGAAAGAGAGCGTGAACGTTTATTAGAATTTTTAGAAGCTGGTAATATGGATGATCTTTATACTTATTGTCATCGACCACGACGCACAAGCGTAGAAGTTTTACAAGATTTTCCTCATACAACATCACGTATACCATTTGAATATGTTTTTGATCTTTTTTCATCAATACGTCCACGTTCATTTTCAATTGCATCAAGTCCTAAAATTCATCCTAATCGAATACAATTATTAGTTGCTATTGTTCGTTATAAAACAATAATTGCTCTCTATCGTGAAGGTTTATGTAGTAACTATTTATGTCAACTTCAACCCGGTACACATATTTTAATGCGTATAGCAACATCATTTAATTTAATTGATGATAATCGACCTGCAATTATGATTGGACCTGGAACGGGTGTTGCACCATTTCGTGGTTGGATTCTTGAAAGAAGTTTAAATAATGAAAAATTAAATATGCTTTTTTTTGGTTGTCGTTATCGAAATAAAGATGCTTATGTTGAAAAGGATCTTTTAAAAGATACAATTAATCTTATTTATATTCCTGCATATTCACGTGATCAAGAAGATAAAATTTATGTTCAACATAAAATTATTGAATATGGTCATTTAATATGGGAATGGATATTACATAAACAAGCACGAATTTATCTTGCTGGTAGTGCTAAACAAGTACCTGAACAAGTTTCTGATGCATTAAAAACAGTTTTTATCAATAATGGTCATATGACAAATGAACAGGCCGATGATTATTTACAAGAATTAGAACGTACAAAACAATATCAAAGAGAAACTTGGTCATAAGAATTCGTTTTTTTTCCTACTTTATTTGCTTGTTTTAAATAAAAAAAAGAATAAGCGTTTTTGTCATGGATACACAAAAAAAAGAAATTGAACAATACAGGGCTTGTGCAAATACAAAAAAAAATGAAAAAAAAAGACTGACTGGTTACGCCACATACAATAGAAATCTAAGGAACTATGTAAAATAAAGAAAAAAAAATAGATGGATTTTGCTATGATAGTTGTTCGTATGACTAACTTTAAAATTTCTATATTTGTTTTTTTTACCAAAGATGTGTTTCGCGTACTTCAGATATAATTTGATTTGCTTTATGTAATGCCTAGGAAAAGAGATTGAGATTAGTTTGAATATATAAAAGAAATAATAAATTTACTTCAAGCATTTCTTGTGCATCTTTACGTCTTTGAGCAATATGACCAGATTCATCAAGCAATTCATCATGTTCATGTGTTGATGTCTTATAAAGTGATGCAACAAGTTCACTTTGTAATTGATCTTTTACATAATTGACAAGAAAATGCATGATTGCTTTTGGTACAGTATCTTGAATATTTTTTCGAACAATTAAAAAATATGAACGAATTAATTTTTCTAAATAAAAAATAAAGAATTTTTATGTTTTTTTCAAACAGTATAAAATTATATTTACCTATAACTTCACAATCACGTTGTTCACGTGGTGAAAGTTTTCGAGCATTGACTGTTGTCTAAAGATAAACGAAACATTTTGAATTAGTAGATTTTTCATTAAAAATAAAAGTTAATTATGAATTAGAATATTATCAACGATTGTACAAGATATAAATAGGATATACTCATTGAAGAGATAACCATGAATATGATACTCTCATAGCTGTGGTGTGCTCCGACTGAGATCATACAGTTCCCTAATGAATTCGTCCCATACTAATTGATTCCGAATCTGTCTCATCAATATGTAAAAGAAATGCGCGATTTGTATTGATTTCGTTTCTTGTAAAATGATATGATCTTTTAACGGGATTGTTACAGTATGAATTATTCGTGCTAAGTATTCCTCTTTCTTCCATTCTATATTTCGTACAGATAATAAGTATGACATATACACATATTAGCTAGGAGGATCGTTCATATTAATTCTTCTTTTCAATTTACACTGAATTATCGAATCTTTAGTCATTTTCTCGGAATTCAAGAATGCAATCTACTATTTAAAACTTACTCCATCACCAATAGGTGCCATTGATGTTGAAGAAGTAACAGCAGCATTCGACATATATGGTGATGATTGTTCACCATTGGTTATTGGCTCAGTCTCACTACCATCACTCAGATGTTGTTGAATTAATGATCGACTATATGAAGTGATTTTTCCCAATGTTGATTCATCATTATTCTATAAAAGACAAATCGGGAATATTAGAAATCTTCATATCTAATAGATGTATTAGTCCAACGAACTCGATTTTCTTTTCCTCGAGATGCATCTCGTTGAGGTTTTGTTTGTGTTTGGACTGGATTTGTTGCTATTGCCGGTGATGAAGATGATGATGGTGCTGCTGTTGTTGCAATATAATCTCCACCAGTTAATGCTTTATGTATAACTCCAGCTTCATGAAAATCTGGATGTTTTGTATTAATATATGCTAATTCAATACCAACCAGATTTTCAACCATTCGATTTGTTTCTGGTAAACGACGACGTAATAAATGTGTAACAACATCAACTATTTTTTCATGTAAACGAGGAAATCGAATAAATTCTTGCTAAAAAAGATAAATTGAAATATATTTTTAAAAAAAGCTAATGAAAATACAATACTTGAGCACCACAATGTTGAATAATTCGTTGTAATTCTTCATGTACAAGTTCAACACATCGTAAGCCTGGATCTTCTAAACGTTTTATTTGTCGTTTGACAAGTAATTCAAATGAAACTTCAGGTACAAATAAGGCAGGTCTTGGACCCTTAAGAAACAAAAAAAGAAGTTACATATTACTCAAATAAATAAATATAAATCTTACAGTAGCATTTCTTATCGCTGTAAGTATATCAAATGTTGTTAAAGTATCCAATGGATTAAGTGATTCAAGAGCACGTGCAAATGTTTCATGGAATATATAACAAATTCGTGCACCACCACATCTAAATATATAATTAGAATCTGATGATATATTTATCTATTTCCACGGAAAAACTACGAACAGTTCTGAAACTTCAATATTTTTCGCTGTGCCTTCAATAGTAGCACAATAACTTGATGCAAATTTTGTTATAATTTGAAGTAATAGTCTACCCTAGAAGAAGAAGAAGAGAGCGAATATAAAATATAATATTTCTTTTAAAATACAACTTTATCTTCAATTGGTTCACCAAATGAATTAACAAGTGTTTGAAAATGCGATACCATTTGATTAATACGTGTTTTTAAAGCTGGTAAACAGTCTCGAATATGATGCATCAATAACTATGAAATTAAATACACTAGTTAAGTTTATTTCCCATGAGAATTAACAATACATACTCTATTTAATGTTTTAGCAAGAAATGATGTTCCATTTCGGGTAGCAATTGATGGATAATTTTTTTGAAGAAAAGCCGTTTCATAACGAAGAGCTTCTTCAATTGGCTAAAAAGAAAAAGTGAAATAAATAGAACTTTTCATGAATAACTAAAACAAACTTTTTTTTTATGAATATCTTCTTGACTTCGATTAACTACACCGATAATACCCAATTTAACAGGAATAATTCTTCCACAAAGAACATCATATGCATCTGTTCCACGATCCATTAAATCAAGTTTAGTTAAAACAGCTAAAGTTCGTCTTCCTATTAAAAAGAAGAAGAAAAAAAGAATCGTTGACTATTGATTTGATTTTAATCAATAATAAAAATTAACCATCAGGATCAACTTCTTTAGCAAATTTTACAGCTTCAGATGTTGAGAAATCTACATTAGCTGGTGTAATGGCAAGTATTATTGCATTTGGATTCGATATATAATGCATAATTAAATCTCGTACTTGTTTTTCAATATCAACTGGTTGATCTTCTACGGGTATCTAAAAAAAATTTTTTTTTGATTAAATAAATTTTCAACGAAATAATATTTCAATTTTACCTTTGTTAATCCTGGTAAATCAATTAAGGTAAGTGTAACAACTTTCGGTGAATAAATTTTTAATGTTATTGGTTCGTGATAGATATTCTATATATAAAAAAAATAAGTAATAAGAAAATATTATCATATTTAACATACTTTTTTTCCACCAAGTCGATCTGTTTCGGCTTCGATTTCGTGACGAATTTCATTAAAATCTGTAAAAATTTTACCTTTAACATGTGAAAATATTGCAAATTCATTTTCATCCGGTGGATGAACTATAAAGACAAAATCAATGATAATAATATTTTTGTTTGAATTTTATTCAAAAGAAATATTACGTCCTAAATTTTGACATTGCACTTCTTTATCTTCTGGTGGTGTATAAACAAGTTGAAGGGTTAAAGGACGTCGTGTAACAATACCAGCACCACGTGGAAGAAAATCTCGTCCGACAATATTTTCCAATACAGAACTTTTACCCGCACTCTATAATAAAACGATATTCATTGATTAAATATTTATATGAGAACGATTAAATAACAAACTTGTGAGCCAACAACGACTATTTGTGGTAATTGGATACTTTCAGAGCCGACTGTATTGAATACATCTTGAAGTTTATTAAGAATAGGAATTAAGGCGTCCATCAAACTAAAAAATAAAAATAATAGTACGATATATATTTATGAGGGATATTGATTTTTATTTTCGGATAAAAATGATGCAGTATACTCAATGATTTGACTTTTATCCTTATACTATTGGATTAAATGATCATCCAATGAAACTTATTCTCCATTCCTCGATACACATTGCTTCACATTAATGCATTTTATATTATATAGTAAGGTTATTCCTAAGCAACAGTAATATATGAATAATTTTATATGATTAAACCACTGATGATCTCTTTTTACTTGGTTAAAGCATAATAAATATGATTTTATACAAATCTATTCCATATCTCTTTCTTCCGTTAATCTCATTAACAATTATTTCTGCTCAAACACCATTGTATACAGCTTATCAAACAGGTTTTCCATATAACACAACATGCTCAACAAATCAATATTTTGATGTTGCCTTATTACAATGTTCACCTTGTCCACAAAATGCACAACAGAAAGTAAATGGTAAGTTATTTTAAAAAACAATTCATATGTATCAATTATTAATACTGGAGGATATTTTTCTTATACACAACTAACGAATAAATTCAAACTCTATTAATATTATTTAGATCCAACACAATGTGATTGTGTCAATAATTCATACTATTATGATGTAAATCAAGGTGGCGGTTCATTGAGATGTATACTTTGCAATTCAGCTTATGTATGAGTGTCAAATTATATTTTATGACAACGAAATACTTCTTTTTTTAACTTTTTTAAGACACGATCAAGTGATGGATTTGGATGTATTGCATCAGCTATTACATGCAATTCAACAATATCGAATGCAGTTCTTAGTAATTAATTCTCGTTTTTATTCTCAGATTTTTAATATAATGTATATATGTTTTACTTTAGCTGAATCAGATATCACTGGTAATCAAATTGGAACTTTATCAAGTTCTTCAAGTCAACCAAGACTTGGAAGTGAAATCTGTACTACATGTCAAGGCGCGACATGGCCTGACGTAGCTGGTCAACGGTTAGATATAAATCTTTAAAAAAAATGATAAACTATTCTATTTCTTTTCTTATAAGATGTATGCCATGTGCCAGTGTTACTCCTCGAAAAGATAATGGAACAACTATTTCATGTTGCACCGCTAATTCAACTGATGTAAATTTTTTCTTCAGTGGTATTTTGTTTTCTGGAAAATCTATTTTTATTATTTCATTAAGGATGGTGTTTGTTTAACCTATGTAACAGATACGGTGACATTTGCTTCTAGTTATCTAAATACATTTAGCGTATGTCATCTTTCTTATATTGATTTAATAAACAATATTTTGCTGAAATATAGAGTTCAGTATTATCAACATTTATTCAACAACATCTTAAAGCATCGTTTTATCTTTGTCGAGTACGTACATATATATTCTTTTTAACAAAAAAGATTAGTTAATTTTTTAGATGAATTTAAATTCAACAGCAACAATGTCAATACCACGTCTACTTCTAACAAATGCAACAGCATGCCAAGTGTTAGCAAATATTGCTGCAATGCAATTCTATTTTGATTCGTCTGGATATGCTTACACTTATTATAATACCTACATATGGAATCCAGCAGATACACCAGCCATTTGGACAATTTCAACTCCTCGGTAAAGAGATAGATAGTGATATTATTATTATTAACAGATATTATATTTTAGACCATCAATACCATTTCTAGCTTATCCAGATAGTTATTACACTGAAATAACTAGTTCAACATATAATTGGATACCAGCAACGTTTAATACAAATGATTTAATAACATTTAAATTAGCTAAATATTCACCAACTGGACAATTTATTGGTCTAGTTGATGTTATTGATACTTATGTTCAACTATGTGGTGGTGGATATACAGATGGTCGCGCTGCTTTTACATTCGGAACACAATATACAAAATCAGTAAGTTAATTGTTCTGTAAAATTTTCGATTAATTACATAAGTTTGACAAATTGTCTCACTACTAAAGATTCTTCTGATATAATTGACTAGAAATTCATTAGTTAAAATTTAATATTTTTAGTGTAATATTCGAGTTGATGCTTTATGGAATTCATCATTATATGAAACGGCTTTCTATGATCCATGTAAATCATTCGGTTTAATTTTTATTTCTATAATTTATTCATAAAATTATAGATATTGTATTTACAAAATCTGGTGTTGATAATATGTTACCTGGTTCTGTTGTTATTAAAAATTATAAAACAGCTTCTGGTTCTCTTCCTAATCAAGGGTGTAAGTTTTAATTTAAAAGATTTGTACAAAAAAATGACAACAATAAAACATATCTTTTTAGCAATTGAATCGGCATGGACTTACCATCGTCGTTTTTTTCTACTCGATCGTATTTCAGGAGTTACAACCGGTGGCCGTATGCATATATTTATAATATTTTCTTATTATATTATATAAAATTTTTCAATATAGAATTAACCAGTATCCGTTATGCCAAAACAATTACAATCTTGAATACATTATCAGATGGAGGATCGTATATTCAACCTCCAGCAGTTGTCGTTGAATATGGTGAATTATCATTATCTGATTTTGGTACAGGAAAAGTTGTACAGGTAAGAAAAATGAATAGCAATAAAAATAAAAGCAATCAGTTATACATCAACTGAAGTATATATCTATGTATTTAGTAATATTAAACTTTTTGTTATCAAAAATATGTTGTATGTTGTCTCGCTTTCTTTTATTTATTCTTCGCATGATTTTTAATAAGATGATCAAATGTGCGCGCGCACGAATGCTTTCATACATAGATTAAATTCTCTTTTTTTTTGTTTTTCTATTGTTCATCAATAATGTATTTGAATAGGTTTCATTTCAATCTACTTATCGAATGAATCTTGATACACATATTCGTGATATATGGATTGCAGTTGGTGTTTTAGCTGGTATAGGTGCTCTTTTTGCATTTGTTCTAACATCTGTTTGGCAACCACGAGCAGGAAAAGATTTTATTGATTTAGGAGTATGAAAAGATTTTTTTCTTAAATAAAATTTTTCTTTCTTTGTTTTTTGATAGACAATTGGTAAATTATTCCTTTATATATGTAAAATTCTTGCAACAGTATTTTTTATTGTTATGGCTGGGGTTTCATTATGGTGGTTAATATTTTTTAAAGTAAAATCTTTTTCTTAATTTTTAAAATTAAAAATAGTTTATTTTGAATTTAATTTTATATAGAGACAAGATGCAATTTATCTTGTTTTGCCAACAAGTGTACAACAAATATCATTTACTGTATTAGTTGTTGTTGCATTCGTACTTAAAACAATTGATATTCTTCATTTAATTATTTATCAGGCTTATATGGATATATTTTTTATTGATTGGGAAAAACCAAAAGCAGGTATAAAGACTATTTTGATTATTCTAATAGAATTTCTTTTTTCCTCTTAATATTAGGAAATGGAAATACTGTTTCGGTATGGCGAACATATTTTGCTGCAAATGAATTTCATGAAATTCAAACATTTCGTCGTATTAATCTAACATTTCAAATATTCTTTGTTTTATTTTTACTCAAAGTAATTACTCATCTTTTCATTTTCTCTCCATTAATAAAGATTTTATTTTCTTAGGTAATTAATTTAGAAAATGTTGCTACAGCACAACCAGGTGTCAGTCTTTTTCCATCAGATACTGATTATCATCCTGGTTACAATGGTATTCTTCGTGTGGGAATTGCATTTTCGATGTGGCTTGCAACAGGTATAGGATATGAATTCTTATATATTTACTTGAGAGTGTGGGTGGGTGGGTGTACGTGTGGGTTCAACTTTTATTTAACTACACGCACACTTACACCCACCCACACTCACATTCTCACCCTCACCTCAGCATCCACACCCACACTCACATCCTCACCCCACCTCAGCATCCACATCCGCACCCATCCACACCCGCAACGACCTACACCCACACTCACATCTTCATCCCCACCCTCAAGATTAAACTTTTTCTTTATATTTCGTAAATTTATTATTTTCTAGCGCTTATTCAATATGTGGTTTATGTAATATTCTATCAACGATTTTTTGAAGATCGTTTACTTAATTTTATTGATTTATGTTCTGTATCAAATATAAGTGTTTTTATTTTAATCGATCGAAATTATGGATATTATATTCATGGTCGATCACCACATGGTACAACTGATGTTAATATGAAAGATATGTTAATAAATTTAGAACGTGAATCAAATCAAATGAGTGGTACACGTGGTTTACAAGCGAAAGCTAATGATCAAACATTTATTATATTAATTGATCATATATTTCGTGCACAATATGATTTATTACTTCAAAATTATCAAGTAAAAAATAATTTGAAATAAGATTTTATTAAATTAAATTTTGTCTTGTTTTTTTCATTGACTTAGGAACATATGCGTACACGTACAATAAAGAAAAGTGCTGAAAATTCTCTCGATGTTTTAATGAAATCATATAAAAATTTAAATGAATTTTTATGTTCATTTATTGATCATGCATTACCATCACATAATTATATTGTTCGTGATCGAACTTTCATTGAAAAACTTCTTAATTATGAATTTCAACAAGCAATTCCATCTGTTTTACAAGGTGAAAGTCGAAATGTATTCTTAGTTGGTAAGAAAAACTAACATATGTACAATTAGAAAATCATATTTTCATTTCTTTAGATGAAGACAAAAATTTTTCAAATGTTATGTTTTCTGGTCACGAAAATTCATTACTTATTTGGAATATGGCAACATTTCTTTTCATTGATTACTTTGCATTTAATTATGTTTTAGCAGCAATTATTACATACATACTTAATTTCGTAAGAATAATATTTTCTTTTTTTCTTTTTTTTAAATTTCCTTTATTTATAGATTGCCGTTAAAATACGTTTGGCATTAGGACGAAAAAATTTATCGACAAAATCATCAGTTCCAAAAGATTTTCTTATTTGAATTATTTGTTTATTAGCAAAAAGTTTTTTTTTTGTATGTTTTTACCGCCGTGTTTTAAATAATAAAATATATATTGTAAGAATTTAGAAATAAGATTTGTGCTTTTATTTGATTTTTAAAACGAAATGATTGAGATAAATGAAAATGATGATGATGATGATGATGATGATGATGATGATGATGATGAATATGATAGTCGACAAACAGAAATAAAAATAATCGCAGAAAGATTTCTACTTAAGAAAAAAATTGGTGGTGGAAGTTTTGGACAGATTTATCTTGCACATGATTTAGAGGACAAAATATCTGTTGCAGTTAAAACTGAACGGATTCAAGCAATTGTACCACAATTACCTGGTGAGTTATGGAAACTTAGAATAGGAATCTACAAAATCTATTGAGATAATTTCTAGTTGAAAAAATGGCTTTTGAACGAATGAAAGATTTCATTGGTTTTCCAAAAATGATTTTTTATGGACAAGAAAAACAATATTATGTTTTAGTGATGGATTTACTTGGTCCATCATTAGAAGATCTTTTTAATTTTTGTAATCGATCGTTTACATTACATACAACTTGTATGATAATCGATCAAGCTATTAGTCGAACAAAACAAATGCATAATCAATCATTATTACATCGTGATATTAAACCTGATAGTATGTTTTATGTTAGCAAATAATTTTCTTTATTTGTCTTTTAGATTTTTTGATGGGTATTGGTCATTATTCTCATATATTATATTTTGTGGATTTTGGTCTTACAAAAGAATATCGTGATCTTGTGTCTTATGTTCATCATAATTTAGTTAAAGGGAAAAATTTAGCTGGTACAGCACGATATGCATCATTACATACTCATAATGGTTTAGCAGAAGCTCGTCGAGATGATTTAGAATCAATTGTCTATAGTTTATTATATTTTTTGAAAGGTTCTTTACCATGGCAAGGTATAAAAGCGAAAACAAAACGACAAAAATATGAAAAAATTGCTGAACTTAAACAAACAATTCCATTGAAAGAATTATGTTCTGGTATGCCTTCACAAATTATGACTGTCTATATCTATGTTAAATCTTTAACTTTTGATGAACAACCTGATTATGATTATATTAAACGACAATTACGTACTATTATTATTGCTAATAATCAAAAGTATGATTATCAATTTGATTGGCTTAATAAAGTCAAGCGATTCAATCTTAATAACGATGAATCAGTTATAAATATCAAAATATAGCATTTGTGCAGAATGAATATAGTATAAATATTTGAAAGAGGGTCTTCATAACGTGCTAGTTTAATACTACTCTTATTTCAATGAAATACAATATTCATGAAAAAGCTATTTGATGAATTAGAAAAAATAAATCCATGCCTGTATCAAAATTGAAATATCAATTTTCATTTAATCTTTATGTATTAAAGTTTTCACAATTAATTCTGAAGATTAATAGGCCTATATCCTAGTTGCTATGTGATTTGTTACATAGCTGTGATACAATCTGATTCCACGCAAACATTCTACCTTGTTCTATTTCTTTTATAGATGATTTTCATTATTATTTGTATCTTTCTTTTTCAACAATTACAAAACGATCGAGTTCTTGCTGATATTGTTGATGTCAGCGCTGATTTAGAACTTATTCGTGTGTATTATAATATGCCTGGACTATCTGCTTTAGCTTTCAAAAATGGAAGTATTGTTGCACAAGGAGCATCAGGTTATCGACGACTAGGTAATCCAACACCACTTCTCGTCACTGATCGTATTAATCTTGGTTCATGCTCGAAATGGATGACAGCTACACTGGCTGGTCGTCTAGTTGATTGAAAAATTCTATCATGGACGACACAAGTGCATGAATGTTTTTCTAACTTTATGAGTTTTAATAGTGCTTTTCGAAATGCTACTTTAGAACAGTTCTTAGCACATCGTTCTGGTGTACAACAAAGTACTACTTTCTACCGTCTTCACTTGGATGCATTATCAGCACAAAAAGGTACCTTTCGTCAAATTCGTTATTGGGTTACTGAAACTGTTCTAAAAGATGTTCCAGAAGTTCGACCTGGTGAATTTCTTTATGCTAATCAAGGTTATGCTGTTGCAGCTGCTATGATGGAACAAATAACTGGTCGAGATTGGGAATCTCTAGTGCAAGAACATGTCTTTGCTCCATTGCAAATGACAAGTGCTACTATTGGTATAGGTTATGATGACATTATTCCACCTAAAACACCAGTTGGTCATGATCTACCTCTTGATAAACAGATACCTATTCCACGTCCGGTTCTTAGTTCTACCCTACTACATAATGATCAAGCTGCAACAGGACCTGGTGGTTATATTGCTTGTACAATGCAAGATTGGGTTAAATTTTTACATGCACATGTAATAGGTGTTAGTACTGGATATTTGACTGATGTAACAGCAGATAAGCTTAAACGTCCATTTATAGGTGTAGAAGGTTATGGTTTAGGAGTTTCAGCTTACAATCGTACATGGGCAACGCCTGGTCAAGCTCTAGTACATAGTGGAGATATTTTCGGACAGGATACAGTCTTTTGGATGACTCCTGGTCGTGATTTAATTGTGGCTGCTTATACGAATTGTTTATCAGTTGATAAATCTACTGGATTAGCTTTAGACAATGCTGCCGGCATGCTTATTGGAAGATATGCTGCTAATACAACAACGAGTAAAGCATTTGTCCATGCTCCAGTTATACTTGATCATTTGTCCATTTTTCCTCGTGGTGTATAGAAAGTTATTACTTCTCTTAATATTTGCAAGTTTTTATTTGCTATCTTATGATTATCTTAAAATATTGATAAAAAACCCTTCATTCTTTATTGAAATAAAAAATTTCATGGTTAAATATTTATTAGCATACATATAAGACCTAACTCAATATGATATTGAAAGTATTTAGAACATGCTTTTTGTCGGGTTTAATAAACATTTTATACTGATTAACTCTGTGGAATAATGAAAAAAACCAGAACTATTTTAATGAAAATCGATTTTATGAATTAATTTTTTAAAGCGGTCAGATTATAGCCGCTAATAAATTATCCACAGACATATTGTTCCAGTATATGATATCTTATCATTATCATAAAATATGAAGTGAAATTGATTAAAAAATTTCAAAGCTACTTATCTCTTGTTCTAATACAGGTACATGAAAAAAGAGAACATGAAATATTTTATGAAAATAATAATGATCGATAACAATCGAAAATTTCCACTAAATTAAGATTTTCATTACATTATTGTACATTTATTTCTTTTATTTATATCTTATTCCAATGAACTACTATACTGATGAAAAATCTATTTGATGAATTCGAAAAAATAAATTTATGCTTGTAGCAAAATCGAAGTATCAACTTTCATTTAATCTTTATACATTAAAGTTTGGGAAAATGTACTTGTGATCACCAAACTAATTAGCACGTAGTGAGCGATAGCGAGTTCATTTTATGAGTACTGGATAATACATGTATGATAGATCATATAGTTGTCGTAATGGTTGATTAATCAATGTAACAAGATTACATAAGAAAAGGATAATCCATTTCGATCTGAATGGTCCAATTAACTAAAAATACTTTTAAAGCTCCAAGCGGTCCAAAAAATGTTTGCACAGCATGGTTACCATGATTTGTTATCAACATTATTTTTTCTGTATCTATTTTGTGTGTCGTATTATCTTTCGTGTGTGCGATTGTTATTCATGTTTCATCTATTTATTAAGGACAAATTTGTTGATTAAATGTACTTTTTTTTGGTAATCATTTTGCACTTAAAGAATTTGATAATCATTTCACACTTAAAGAGTTTGGCGATCATTTGCATATTATTTTGGTCATCATTTTGCACTTAAAAAATTTGGCAATCATTTGCATATTGTTTTGGTGATCATTACGCACTTAAAGAATTAGGTCATCATTTGTATAGTTTTTTGATCATCATTACGCACCAAAATCATTTGGCGATCACTTGTACCTTTTTTTGGTGATCAAAAAATTGCCACCCTTAAACTTTTGCCGATTAACCGTGAAGATTAATAGGCCTATATCCTAGTTGTTAAGTGATTTGTTACATAGCTATGATACAATCAGATTCCACGCAAACATTCTACCTTGTTCTTTTTTATTTTATAGATGATTTTCATTATTATTTGTATCCTTTTTTTTCAACAACTACAAAACGATCGAGTTCTTGCTGCTATTGCTAATGTCAGCGCTGATTTAGAACTTATTCGTGTGAATCATAATATGCCTGGACTATCTGCTTTAGCTTTCAAAAATGGAAGTATTGTTGCACAAGGAGCATCAGGTTATCGACGACTAGGTAATCCAACACCACTTCTCGTCACTGATCGTATTAATCTTGGTTCAAACTCGAAATGGATGACAGCCACAGTAGCTGGTCGTCTAGTTGATCAAAAAGTTCTTTCATGGACGACACAAGTGCATGAATGTTTTTCTAACTTTATGAGTTTTAATAGTGCTTTTCGAAATGCTACTTTAGAACAATTCTTAGCACATCGTTCCGGTGTACAACAAAGTACTACTTTCTATAGTCGTTACTATGATGCATTATTAGCACAAAAAGGTACCTTTTGTCAAATTCGTTATTGGGTTACTGAAACTGTTCTAAAAGATGTTCCAGAAGTTCAACCGGGTGAATTTCTTTATGCGAATCAAGGTTATGCTGTTGCTGCTGCTATGATGGAACAAATAACTGGTCGAGATTGGGAATCTCTAGTGCAAGAACATGTCTTTACTGCATTACAAATGACAAGTGCTACTATTGGTGTAGTTTATGATGACATTATTCCACCTAAAACACCAGTTGGTCATGATTTAGCTCCTAATAAAACAATACCTGTTCCACGTCCGCTTCC